ATAATTCTTTCGTCAGTTACGGCCGCCACCTGCTGTAACAAATTCCTCGCCAATTTGTTCGTTCGATGTTTTTTCTTCTGGTTACGGCTGTTTTTTCACGTAATCCGATGAGGTAGCGATTCGGTGGAATGTGGATTTCTTTGTTTTTTTTTGGTCATGGTCTTTCTTAATTTTAAATTTTCTTGATCCAAAACGCTTCGAATTTGGGTTAGGTTGGCTTTTTCAACTGTAAAAAGAGAATATTTATTTTCGTAAAATCTTTTGAAATACTCGAAAACCTTCTTTACTAATTTCTTGAGAGCTTTGTAGAGACCTTTGTTTTTATTTTTTTATGGCTTGTGATTGATAGAAGGCTCTTTTTTTGTGAAGTTTAAAAAAATCGAGGTTCAAAGTGGAGATGTTTTTTTGATACTAGTTTTTCGGTGGAGAAAAAAATATTTGAAATATTTATTTTTTTAATGTACGTGAGAACAAGAAGTTTTCGCAGAATTCGAAAAAAAAAGTACAAAACAAATGTAGAAAAACGAGAGATTAATTTGTTTGGGGAAGAAAATTAGGGTGCACGCGGCGACTACCGTAACCGAATCAGTCGGGCGCGGTTGGCGTCTGTGTTTCTCTCTTTTTCTTGACGTTCAACCGCTGATAGGCTTATAAATGTCTGGAAAATTGGCTTGGAATGAAGAAAAGAGGCGTAATCGGAATGAGAGACCAAAGTTTTTAACCGAAAATACTGAAAAAAATGAGGTTTTTTTGAGTTTATTGACATTGTTCGCTTTTTTTAAAATGAATAAATTTTTCCTTTTATAATTATCAAATCGTTTATTTTTTTCTCCATTTTTTTGTGGTCAGAAAAAAAGTTATAATATATAGAATGCGCTTCGTACGCGGGACGCTGCTTTTTGGCAGGGAACTTCGTTTTTTTAAATTTATTATACTTTTTATTCGTTGAAATAAATTTTTTTCAGAAACATATGAATCAAAAAAATTGTTGAGGACAAGGAGGAAAACATAGAAAAAAGGCGGCTCGCGTTTGATTTCGTTTTTTTTCCGCCAAATACCGCATCGCGTACGCAACGCTTTGCATCCATCTCTGTCGGCTTTTAATTCCGAAAAAAATCGACCATAAACCATCTTTTAAAAATGATAGTGGATGAGAAGGTCTAGAGCACATACAAGACAGAGTATTGCAATTTATGGCTAATGCTATGCCAAAAAATAATAATGAAAAAACGCTGTACTCTTGTAAGGATAAAGGGTTCAAAAATTATGCCAAAAAATAGGCGTATAAAACATCAAAAACCCGTTTCTCACAATTACAGTCAACGTCATTTGAACTCTAAACAAAGATTACAAATAGTTTCCCTGAGAAAAATCCGTTCTAGGCTTTTTTTAGGTTTAAAAGACATTATTTACCCCCAAATCTTCAAAATATCTGGAATTCAATAATCGATTGCAAAAAGTTTTTCCAAAGTATTTTGTAGTACAGCTAATTTGAACTAAATTTAATTTACTGGGAAAATTTTTAGTGGCCACTATAGAGTCTCGCCAAGAAGGACTACTTGGAGAGGACACTAAAGTGCCCACTAAACCCACCTCTAGTGGCCGTTATTTTCCGTTTTAGTGGTCACTTTAGTAGTTTTTCATCCAGTATTCCTTCCAGTAACTCGGATAATTCTAAAACAAACAGATTGGACAAGTCATGTTGGTCCATTGACCCCTAAAGCGGCCACTAAAATTTTTAGTGGTCTAGTAGTAGCACTTAGACCCCTAAAGTGGCCACTTATTTGACTACTATAATGGCCACTAAAACGTCAAAGCCCTATAGTACCCACTGAATATTTTCCCAGTACCTTCAAAAATAATTTATTCAAGCTTTGAACTCGAAAAGAGGATTCTTCAAATGCATTCATTGAACTACTGTTTGAATTGTTTGAACTTGGAAGAGAACTCGGAAAAAAAATTGCGGTTAACTTTCGATATGCGCCCTGGGGCTACAGTATCCCGTGTCGTCGATACGTCTAACAGCGTTACATGGAAAACGACGCGTTAAAATTCTCCGTTGTTGTGCGTTCTCTCCTCAATTTCTCTCTCTTTTCAACGAATAATAGTTGGTCGCTCAATTGAACTCCGAGAGAAATAGATTTGAAGATAAAAATTTCCGCTATAGATATCTGGATTCTTTTTTTTCAAAAGAAGGTTACGGTAACGAAGGTGAGAATGAGAATGAAGCTGCAAATAATGAAATAAAAGTTGAAATTGTTCTACAATAACAAATCGAATAGAAAATTTAATTTTTCAGAAGGAATTCATTCAAAGTTAGGGTTTGAAAAGATGGAAAAGTTTAAAATTACAAAGCTAGAAAGAGCTTCCGAAAGCGATTGATGAATTGAATATAAAAGCCTGAAGAAGATGAAATAATCTGAAGAAAAAACCGAAAGAGTCAATGGTCAACGATACCTTCTGAAAAAAAGGGCTAAACGTTATGTCGTTCAATTTTTAAATTTTTGAAATTTCTTGGACATTGCTCTGCAATCTCATTTTGAATCTACTTTGATCTGGCTCTATTTGAATTTTGACCTACAGTGGAGAGATCACGAGCGTTTGACCGAATCGTCACACATTCCTGATTCGGGCATCGTGCGACACTCACATGTGTTCCATGGGGCGTCTCTCATCCAATTAGTACAACAAAAAAAAAGAAAAAAGAAATTTTTGTACCAAAATGTTCAAGGCAATCGATTGGAAATTTTGTAACCGAGAAGAAAAAGTGAAAAAAAAGATGAGGAGAAGCCTTCTCCGAATGGTTTGATTATTAGAAAAAAGTTCATTCAAAAGTTCTCGCTTACCAAATCGTTTTAGTATGAATTTTTGACCAAAATTTTGTGAAAGCCCAGATTTTTCTTTATCAGATGATATAGGATTCGTCTATGCATGAAATTTTTCAAGAAAAGGCTTGTGCTGCTTAATTTTCGTTGATACAGCAAATACCGTTCAAACTACAAGTGCTGCAAATACTGCAAGTCTGTGTCAAGGTCCTTGAAAGGCGCTACCTGTACAGTTAGTTGATTTTCAAACGTTGCTTTGAAGATTCTCGCTTACAACAACTACTTTGAAGCTTGGGAAATTCCCATCCTCAAAACTTGAACCTTATCGATTTTGAGAAAGATTCAGATTAGAGAGTTTTTGAGCTAATTGTGGAAAAAAAAACCAAATTTGCACACAGAAAAGACCGCTTTTAAGAAGTTGGGACATTGCGCCTCTTCAGAAGCTTGCTCGGAAACAATATTTTAAAAACGGCTCATCTTCCATAATCTCCAATTCATCGACTCCTTAGAATAAAATAGCTTGGGGTCCTAAGGCGTCGCGGTGCCTCAGAATCACTGTCTGGGGCTCCTTATCACCGCTCAATAATCCAATGACGAAAAAGCCAGTAAATGAAGAAAAGGGTTTGTTATTTCTTGTGGATACTGCCGTCGAAGCTCAAAACATCATTCATCCGAGTCATTCAAGAAATCTACGATAACAAGCTTGAAAACTGCATTCGTCATTGTTTCTTTTCGATTTTTTGATAAGAAAGGTGTTTCAGTACGTGATAATGATCTTCATACGGCGTCCGGAAGTTGAAAAACGAACATTTTTTGCATTCCTATTGTAGTTTTTATTTTTCAAAGGAATACGCCTCTTTGAGAAAAATATAGGGAGCCACTGGAAAGAAATGAAAATAATTGCACAAAATGAATTAAAGTATTCCAGAACGGCTAAAATCGTTAGAAGAAAGCCTAACAAAAAATTGTGACGTTAATTAGTGAAGGTGCACTTTTTGGTATTCAAACTTTTATCAGACTTTTATTATTTGCTGAGTACATACCTCAGTTTGATAGGCTCGTTTTGAATTTCATAGTTTAGAAAAAAAGACACCTGAAATTTTCAAAGAAAAACTAGATAACTTTTAAAATTATTTGATGTTATAGTTTATTTCTCAAGCAAAAGTTCGGAAATAATTGCCTAGGGGAAGAAAGACATCAAACTATGACCCAACTAGTATAAAGAAATCAGAATTTGGAAGTTTTCAATAATAATTACGGATTTTTCTAGTGGAGAGTATGCTTTTCGCAACCAAAGTGTTGAAATTAATTTTTTCTCACACATTGGAGAACGTTTGCGAAAATAGAGCTCCACTGTTAAAAATAGACTGTGACAAAAATAAACTAACGAATCAAAAAGTCCAATTACTAAGGAACTTGACTGTTCAGCATCGAAACGAGAAAAGATGCTTCCTTGGGGAACAACCGAACTGTTAAGCATTCCTCGAATAACCTCGACGTCTGCCCCGACGCTATTTCTGCTGCCTCGTTTTGCATAAAACTTGATTCTGAAGCGGCGACGTCTATTTTTAGCTTCATTATTATGACGACCTGCATACCGCAACTCAAAAACTCGCGTCTGTTTCCCGACAAGAAGGAATGTCACTTCGACCCAACAAACAATGCCATCGGTCCACTTCTTAGTGTCTTTTTGCAGAAAACAAGGACTTTCACGAGAAAAAAAAACCTTGAAACGAAATTTTTGAGGTTAAAACAAAGTACAACTACAAAATTTTGTCTTCATGATCATTAGAAGCTTTATAGAAAGACTAGTGAGAAAAATTAGAAGTTCTGAAACTTTCACTTTTTTTCCGGATCAATGAAACTGTTGAATTTGAATGGCTGGAGCTCAAAGTCTACATTTTTATTAATTTTCATTTGGAAAGAGGTTTTCATTTAAATCCATTTTAGGTAGAACCAAGCAGGCAAGTTCGAAAATGTGCTTTTCAAGGAACATCAATGGAAGTTTCAACGTCTTTCTCGTTTATACGATTTCAGTAGTACTTTCGCCTTTTTTTTTGACTTACCAAGTATTTAGTTATATTTTTCCAAAAACACGTGACATCAGTTTTAAATTTCTATCAAAGCATTACAATTATTTCATTAAAATTATTTGGTTCAAGAACAAAAAGAAATATGCGTGAATCAGATCTTATTTCTAGGATGGCGAAGCACGACAAACCGAAACCGAATCAAAAGTATTTTTATTTTACATTTATGTTGAACTTTCCTCCCGCTCAAAAAAAGCCTTGAAACGGTATGGGAACTAGTCCGCTTAGACGGAATGAAATCTTTTCGCATCTGAAACAGTTTCAAAAAAAAAAGTATAATGACAAGAAGAAATTTGGACCATTCCATTAGTCACAGTAATATTGGATTTTTAGAAAAACCAAGAAAACGAGGCGCGAAAAGAAGGTCGAAGCCGCTCCTAACGACGTATTTTTTTTGAATCTTCCAGATAGTTTACTTTTCACCTTCCAAAAGTATATTCAAACTGCCGAAATGGATTTTCTAACGAAATTTCACAAGAGAATGTTATTTGTGATCGGCTCTCGGCAACGCAAAACGGACGAGCCCCAGACGTTTCTGAGCTTTTGTAGTGAACACTTAAGAGGGCAGAAGCCGCTGAAGGGACCACTCTGAAACGTCCGTTTTGTGCTACCGAGGTCCGAGCTCTCAGAAATCCTTGTCTTGATGTCTCCAGAGCCAGCTTGATGGAAATATCGGAGCGAGGAGCTCTTCTTGGTGTTATTTTTGGTCATTGGTTCTTAGTTTTTCAAAGTTTCAATACCAAGCGTTTTTTGGAAAGATAAATTAAAATTGTAAACTTCACGCTTTTTTATTATTTCCATGATTTTAGGACAAATCCATTAACAAATCCAATAAAACTATTACGAGGACGGAATGCTCATCGAAAAAAGCGACTTCGAAGAATCCAAAAAGAAAAGAAAAAGCAGGCGTCAATTTCTCGAAAGTCCGGTTTCCTCTTGAGTCAAACCCTTATCGCGTATTTTACAGGAACCTTCTATGCTCATAAATACTACAACCGAGTCGAGTTCGGCTCACCCTAAGCAGAAAAAAGTCGGATTTCTTCTTTCCGTTTTTTATATATTCAGACATTTTCAGGCATTGCCGGTGACACCCCGATGGACTGGAGAAGCAGCGGCGAAAGCTTTCGTCGAAAATAACAGCGGTGAGTTCTTGTGAGGATAGTTAGCCCTTTCTCGACCGTGTTCATCACCACATGGTGCTCCGACAAGGACGATTTCTCTTTTTTCCGAAGAGTACTGTATGTGAAAGTCCGCATTTGGCGTGTTTGCACACTCTGAGTGCTCCTGTTTCCGTGAAAAAAAAAACGTGTAAATAGAAAACGTGGAGATGGGACTCCTCAGAATGTGCAAACACGCAAAATACGGACTTTCACATACAGTACTCTTCGGAAAAGGAGAACTTTTCGTTGTCGTCTTGCACGTAGTTTTACCGAGATCAATAGTTTTCGAATCTTATTTTATCAGAGGAGGGGACTATCGAGTAATAATAGAAAAAGTTCGGTGGTATGATCTGGTTAAAAGTTCCAGTGTGTCACAAAATTTTGGTATAAGTCAAGCAAAAAATAAAACTTTATTTCCGGCGTTCGTTTGTGATAAGGAGAAAAATAAAAAAGCTAAAATTTCAGTGACAGTAAAAATAAAAACAACTTTTTTGACAGATTTGGTTGAAAGATTCCTTATTTGGAAGAATAATTGAAAGAATATGAAAACCGTACGCTTGTAGACATCAAGGTCATCCGAGCCGAGTTCGATGCGATGATCGCGACGACGGAGTTGCTCGACTCCACCTACACGGCTTTCTCGGCCAACATGAAGCGCAATCGCAGCGAAGTTTCCTTAAAAGGCTGTACCGCCCTCTGAGCAAGCTTCCAGAACTTTCCCTGTTTGGATAAGAACCGCGTAGTTTTGCAAAAGAGCAACGGTCAGCAGAACGACTACATCAACGCCACTCTCATGGAGATACAGGTTCCAACTCAGATGCGGTGGGAAAAAACTCGAAAAATGATCTCAGTTTCCTCGAAAAGTCATCATCGCACAAATGCCGATATCTGGTGTCGAAGGCTGCGTCGAAGACTTTTGGCGGATGATTTATCAGGTTCAGTCATCCTTTCTTCTCTCGCTAAGTGGCTCTAGGAAGGCGTGGTGACGGTCCATCTGATGTGCATGCCTTTTGAGAACGAGAAGAACTTTGCCGAGATTTTCCCCCAATCAACCGGAAACTTTGAGTACTACGGCACCATGTTCGTCAACAACAGAAAGGTCCAATAGTCTTTTTGAAATATATTGAAGAACTCAATTTTTTTAGTCGGAGCCCGGTAAGGAGGTCAATGTCAATACTCTGGAAGTGCTGCCGGACGGATGCTCCCATTCGGTCATCGTCCAGGTTTTCTTTCTGACCGGTGAAAATCCGAGATTGTTTTAAAATGGGTCTTTCTCCTCCCGAGGAAATCTGTGAGGCAAACTTGGTCCAAACTCCGTTGGCAGGTGGTTCTGGGGTAAATTGATCAAAAACAGAAGAAATGATCCGCTAAGCGCCTCAGGGAACGAAGTAAAAGCCAGTTATAAATTTACAGAAAACGGCGAAAACTGCTTTTCTTTAGATTTTCAGGTTCAAGAATAAATTTCTCTTTGTGTTCTTATTGTTAGCGGAACGAGAAAATACTTATATATGATAGACTTGAAAAAAAAAGTCTCCATTTATTTGTTTTAGATGAATCAACACCTTCTTTGGAAAGCCGAAATGGGTCCTAACACGCTAGCCGCTCTCAACCGCGCCGCGCATCAGCTCTACACTGAGAAAGAGGTCAGAAACGAGCAGAAAGAGAACTTTCTAGTAGATTTCTGAAGGCGTATGCTGTGTATAGCGTAGTTCCTTCAACTAAATTTTGTTTTGAAGTTTAGATAATTGAGGCTTTATTTTTCTAGGGTTCTTGAACTTGATGGCCTGAGTTTTTAATGCAGTATAGTCCGTCCGCCGCGACTTGACAGTTTTCACGTGTCTGCGTCTCTCTGTTCCCTCATCGGAGAGGTCAGAGAAACATGGAAATAGCACATAAACAGGAGAGAGACGTCGAGAGATGAGGAGGGCGCAGAGAAGTCCCGCCCTTTCAAGTCGCGAAAAACGGATTATATATGCAATTTTTCTTGAAAAACTTTGGAAGAAAAAAAACAACGGGGGGTTGTTTTTTTGATTTTTCGAGACTGTATATGTACTTTAGACCGAGAATATGATTAACGTCAGAAAAAACTCATTACAAAAGACTTTTCCAGAAATATTTTTGTTGGCAATTGGAACTAATATTAGTTTTATTTGTACTTTTCCTCCACTGCCGCAGAATTGTGCGAGAATAAATGAATTGGATTAATTAATTCAAAACTTTCAAATTTCGCGCTTCTATGTTCCTTTGCTATGTGCTTCTACTCCGCAGTACTGAACAAAAAAAAAATAAGATGGGTACTTCTCATCTCGCGAAGTTCCATGCAACTTTCGGACTAAATCTTTCCTTTCAAAACTTTTTTGTTTTTCACAGACTGGTCCAGTCTGCCTAGTAAGTCTTCTGGGCGCCGGCCGGGCCGGAACGCTGCTCGCGACGGCTGTCGCAATGTACCAAATTTCCCAGGGCATCGAGCCAAAGGTTTCTTTTCTCCTTTTCCTTCTTCTTGAACCCCTTTAGATCAAAGAAATAATGGATTCTCTCAAAAAACAACGACCGGGCATCTTGGAAAACCTCGTGCAGTACATTAGCATATATACGTCGCTTTTCAAGTACATTAGGGTGACTTCAATCATTTTTCCTATCATTTGAATCGAGTTCAGAAGAAAACACAGGATCGCAAGTTGCACGAAAAAATGGACGTATTCTTGAAAGTTCTTGCTGAGTCGGTCCAACGCGGAAGCATTCTTTTCACCTTAAACGGATGACTTTTCCCAAATTTGACCGTTTTTATGTTTTTTGCTCCATTCTATGCAATTCTCTTGAGATCTGTTCCTAATGGTTGACTGGTAAATAAAACGCTTTCCTATCGCAGAGGATAACATTGAGTTCTGGGCCCTCTCCACGCAGCATCTTCGGTAGTATAGTGGTGAGTATCCGCGTCTGTCACATGCGAGACCCGGGTTCAATTCCCGGCCGGAGAGAAATATTTTTGCTTCACGAGAAACTGAGAAAAAAAGATAAATTTATTGCAAACTTGTATCTGAACTTTTTCGAAATCAAACCCGTGTATAGAGGATAAAGCAAGAAGTTGAAACTAGGGCCGCTAGCGAGGAAAATGGAGGTGATGGAATGTGAGGACAACGATGAGGGTTAAAGCTTATTACATTATGCTGGACAATAAATACAGACATTTCTGAGCGAAACTATCTAAGTAGGCTTTCTAATTGTCAAACTTGTGGTATCAACTGCATGCCAATCGCGTTTCGCGACGGATGTTCTTCCAAGGAAGTCGCATGCGCCGAACTGCTTTTCGTTTTCAAACTCAGCTGGAATGGCCGGTCGGAAACACCTGTAACATCTCTACTTAATCGCGAAGCTCTCAGGAATGAGCTCACCTTCAATCTTTCTTATCAGCCGTTTCAAAGTCTGTCGCATCAGTGTGCGATATCGCTTGGAAACCACGCAATACAGACAGAAGTTCAAAGAAGCGTTCAGAAAGACGAGCTGAAAAGGAATATTAATCAAGAGGTTGGAGCAACCTATTTACCTGTTGTGTTAAGCAGGTGTAGACGATGGCTTTTGGATGGTACTGGCCATAAATATCGAAAAGAAGTCTGGCAGGAGCCTGAGGACCGACGCAGATCAACAGCATGATGACGACGGCGAAGAGCATCGCGTTGGCGTTCAGAGTTCTTGAAGAAGAAGATTCCTAAAAAGTACTTTTGAATCAAGATTTCCTTTTTATTTGAAGTAAAGTCTACTCTAAATTCAAAGCTCTGTTCCTGGAATGGAGTTTGTATTTTTATCCCTTTTTTTCTATTTAGCAAATTTCTAATGTTCTGTAATTTATAAGATTTTTGTAAACATTTTTTTACGAATTTTTTTCTCGATAGTTTTCTGAGTCGCCGTTCATTTCTTCGGAGCTTGAGTTTCCGAAAGTTAAAGAGCGTTCGAAATTAAGAGGGCGCTCTTTTTTTTCTCTCTCAATGCCCTCTTGTTTATCAGTGCTTTCTAGCTTTTGAAGATTTGAATCCCGAAGATTAGAACGTAAAATCGGTTTTTTTATTTTAAAAAACAGTAGCGAACCTGCTGAACGAGAGCTCCGTCGGCGAGTTTCGTCTCCTCGTCGCGTCGAGAATCTTCATCCACAACCCGTCTCAAGGTGAAGATGATACGACAGTTCATGTAGAGCAGGCCGAGGATCGGCAAGACGTTGAACCCGAAAAGCGAGACATAGTCCATTGTCCGGTAGTAGAACTGCAAAATGTTTTCGTTCTCATGGGAAAATTTCCTTAACCTAAAAAGTGTCTCAACACATCCTCAAAGTGTTATTTATTTTTCTACTTGTTTCTTTTTTTTTGTCATCCTCCAGTTGGAGTGTTTTTCTTCCTCTCCACAATAACAAAGTGATTAAAAGCGTGTAAAACGAACGCTTCTTGTTGAAAGAAAAAAAACTTGAAGTCATAAAAAATTTCTTTTCTCATAGTTTGTTCGAGAAACCTTGCTTGAAGGAACTAAAATGTGAAAACAGCCTTTTATTGTTACTTTTCTATAAATATAGTCAGGGCGTTTAGAGAACCTCAGCAAGGTTTTTTTTTGGCTATGACTGTGATTTCTTTTTCACAGGTTTTCTACTCGTCACAGTTTCGGCGGTGTAGAATTTCCGAGGTTCAAAAAAGCCACGGGAGTAAGTACACAATGAATTTGACAAATTTACAGGCGCCAGTTCAAGAAAAGCGCATCTCAAGTTACCAAATTTTCTCTCTTGGGTTTTGGAATGAAATAGACAAGAAAAAAGTCGTAGAAACTGGTTTTCGCACGTTTCCGCGTGTCTAAAAATAGGCTTTCAGGTGATAGAAACCTTTTCTCAATTACTCTGTGATGTCTGGTGAGAGTCCCATCTTTAGAAGTTCGAAAGGAAGAAAAAACGAACCTTCAAGGCTTGATTTGTAGTGAGAAGAATGACATAGTAGTATTCGTTGGAGCCGGGAAGGTTGCAGTGACGGACTTCGTAGGCGAGTGGCCACTGTAGGGAACACAAAAACGATATCGCGATTCTGAAAAGTCGTGCTTCTGTTTCTTGATGAACAGTTCCGGAAAAAAAAGATAGAAAAAGGGGTTTGAACAGTTTGAATTTCTTCGTGAAGCACAAAATAATCGTAAGAAAAATCTCATTAAGCACCCTGACTTCAATTTTGAACATAAAAGAACGACATCTTCAGGCGTGAATGATAACAAATTTTTCCAGAAAAGAGTTATTTTGAAATGCTTTTAATGCAACTAGTTTATGAATTCAGAAGAAAACCGGATTTTTTTTATGAGAAAGATCTCATTCATCAGGACTTAAAATTGCCCAGCTCGTGCTCTTATTCTTCAAAAAATTAATAGAAAATTGAAACTTCTAGGAACAAGAACGTCACATAGAGATCAAAAAGCACAATCAAATCAAAATTTCAAATCAACAAAAGTCATCATTCAAGGCAAAAGTCAAAAGCTCACGCAGCGCAGATGGCGTTACGGGAAGTCCGATTCGTACAGATTCTATGTGATCGAAGCGGATAAACGACGCAGATGTACCTCTCGACGTTGAACGCCAAAACTATTCTGAAATCTTGGCTGTGTCCACGGAATAGCTGAAGATCACTCACAAAACGCTGCTTTTGTAGAAAGTTGAAGCCAAGGTCCTTATGTACAAGACGACGTGAGAGAAGAAGTGGTTGAAGGAAGGCGAGAAGGCCAACGACGGGATGGAGAGCGGCGTGACGTCGAGGGTGGCGAAGACGAGGAAGAGACAGTCGCAGACGGCGAGGGCCAGGAGCAACGTCCAGCTGGGAATCCGCCGGGCGGCCCGGTTGCTCGTCAGGATCGCCACGTTGAGAAGATTGCAGCACAGGCCGATCAGGGCGATCACTGGAAGGACGGCGACGTTGCTCCAGAAGACCATATCGATCGATTGCTGCAAACGGTTTGGCTACGGAGATGAACAAGCCAGGATTTTCGGAATTTTCAAGGAAGTCTGGTGAAACCCTATGAGGGGATTACGAAATATCCTGATTTTTTGAGAGGTTAAGGTGAAATTTCCGGATTGGCTATTGAACAGGCTTTGAGAGTGAAAATTAAAGATTCAATACTGAAACGAAAAATTGAGGTCTTTGTGGATTGACAGCTTTTGCTTTGAAGTGAGTTTCATCAAAAAGAATAAAATGAATAAAAAAAATCTACCTTTTTAGAAAGATAAATTAGTTTCAACATTCTATAAGGAGGATTTTTTTTCCCGAACTTGCCGCTTTATCCATCTCAAAACCTCAACTCTAAACTAGCTTTTTCTCAATCTTGATTTGATCCCTTTTAAAATTGAAAAAAAGAATATACTTCAATAATTTCTAGCTTCTCACCTGGTCGTGCTCATGTTCAGTAATATTATCAAAACTGCAAAATGAGTGACTCAAAATAAGTTCTTCGGCCTGTGACGCTCCTTCCATCGGTGTTAATTCCTCCATAACTGAAAAATATTTCTGAGTCCCCAGAAAAACTTCTGCAGCAGGGAAAACGGCACAAAATGAGAAATAAAAACGATGAAACGGTGTGCCGCGGATTGAAACGAAACATTCTATATTTAGGAGAAAAAAGGAGTAGCGTCATGCAGAAAAGAGAAGAATGGTTTTCGAAAGAAGAGATTATGGAGAGTATCAGTAGTAACCGTGTGGGACGGGGTTATAAATAGCGAAACTATTGTGGGACTTCACTAGGAGGAGTAGAAACTGAGAGGAAGGAAACAGTATGAAGAAAAGTGGGCGGAGTCTTGCGGTCGCAAATTTAACTTGACCTTGAACAAAAGCGTAGTTTGTAAGAGAGAAAATAAAGAGCTTCCGAGGGAAAATCGCGATTTTTTGCACTTTGTTTTGAGATTTCCGAAGAGGAAGAATAGCAAAATCGGGAACTCCATTTCATTATTGCTTTTATATTTTGAACTGGCTTCAGAATGACTAGCCTTTGAGACTATGCATTATGAAAAACACGAAAAATCAAAATTTTAAAGAAAGTCTGTTGTTTTCTTTATGACTTGTACAAATTATCAACTTACTCACAGCCTTTTTCACTGAATTCTGAAGCGTTCTCAAACTCTTCACGAAAACTTTTTTTCCTTGAAGGGACGCCTGAAAAGCTGCTAACGCCACTTAAGCGACTGCTAAATGATCAAAATCGTCCTTTGCAAATGACGAAGGGACGCTCTCCCTCTTGCTGACTGACCGGAATGTTTTTTTTTTCAATTTTTCGTGTTTTTCTTTAATTTTGAAATTTCAAATTATTCTTCTAGTCTCTCTGATTTTCCCATGAAAAATTCCACTTCCTTCCGATTCTCCCTGGAATTATTCCGTCGAACTCAAACGTTTTTTAATATTGTGTTTCAGACGATCAACGTCGAAAGACCAGAGAAGATAAATTTCCCCGAAAAAATACGTTGTCGATTCAGAAACCACGGCGGCATTTACGTACACAAAAAAGGGAAGAGAATCGGAACCACTTGATTGATAACCATCACTTGGCATCAGTGAAGAGCTTTTTTAAATAATAAAAAAAATAACTCAGATCGTTTTTATGATGACTTTGAATATCATTTCTAATGTTTTTTGATTAATTTTCATAAAAGAGAAAATTGAGATCCAAAAAAATTTCAACGTTGCGCAGGTCAAATTTCAGAACTGAAAATTTAATTTTTCTAGAAAACTCATCTACCGTTCTTTTTTTCTGGGAGTTCTTCATATCTAAATTCATCAAAGCAGATCTTTTTTCATTTTTTTCATGAAATTGTTCTGGGCCGTCTGTTATATATCAAAAAAATGTTCTCTTTTTGATTGATTGCTTTTAAATTTTTTTCAGATTATTCAATTCTGAGTGAGTTTTTAAAAAAATTGATAAAGAAAACCATCAATGATTGAATTAGAAAAAAATAAACTTTTTCATCATCGAAATTTTATAGATTCCCGGTTTTTAAAAGTATGAACAAACGCGAGTTTTCAGGTAACTAAATTCAAACTATTGCCATGGTTTCAAGGTTTTTTTTTTCGGTTTTTATGCTCGATTTATAAAACCTAAACTTAAGAAATCCCTTAATTCGTCAGAAACCGAAGCAAAAATGACCGAAAAACTCTACGCTTTGCGAGAAAAAAACTAAAATTAGAACTGGAACGCTGTAAAAATGGAGATAATAACATTAAAGAGCTCCTAACGAGTTTTCCATTCATAGTAGCGTCGTGAGAAAAGGACATTGCAGAAAATGGGCAAATATATAAAGAAAGGTCGTGCAAACAGTTCTGGAGTTGGTCTTTTTAGGTAACCATTCAGAATGACATCATCTCGAAAAATCTAACCATTGAACGGTTATAGATGATTTTAAAAAGCTGTCTTACTCATAGAACAAATTGAAATATCCAATAAGAATCTAAAAGCTGGCAAACAAAGATCGAAACTTCCAAATGACAGTTTTCAAAGATAAAAATAGAGTTTGTGTTTGGATAAAAGAGGAAAAAAGTCTGCTTCCCAAAGGGAAACGGAAAAAGAAACGGCGAAGCGTTCAATGTGCAGAAAAAGGTCTACGGTAGCAAATATGATTTTTTTCTTTTGGGATTTTCGAAGTGTATTTTCCCGAATAGTACGGTGCTTCAATTTTTTGAAGAGTTTGTAAAAAAAACTCTTTTTTTTTCTCGGAAAACTCAAAATAATGTCGAGAACAGCCTTCTGCTTCATGAAGCTTGATTATGTAAGAAACCAGCAGGGACCTTTTTCTTCGATTTTTGATTTTTCGGCCATTCCAATATTAGAAAGACCTGTTTATTTCAAAACTGCGTCATTTTGGCCGGAGAGCCTTCAAACGTTTTGTTGTGCTGACTAATTTGTGCCAAAAAAGGCCACTTGAAATTCCTCCAATTGAGTCATTCCAAACGGAAAGTGCGAGGATCAATGTCTGACAACGATCGTGAGCTCGTTCTCGTTGAGAAACGTTGGACACGAGCCTCGGAGCACAACAAACAGTCAAATAAGGACGACCGGAGGCTCTTCAAGAGGCCCCTGAAGGGCTCAGCCGATTCCTGGTCCGTTAGGGAAACTCCAAGAGACAAAAATCAGGAGAAAAGCTTTGAGATGCTCTATTAGAACATGTAAAAAAAGTAGAGGCTACTGAAATGTTTTTTGGAATAAAGTTGTGAAGGAGAAGCAATCTGCAGCTCAAAAAAACATCACAAAAATAAGAGACATTTTTAAAAAATGACAAAAACGCAACAGTAAGACAGGGGCTTTTTTTGCTATTTGTTCAAAAGGAAAGTTTTAAAAATTCTTGAAAAGTTGGAATAAATTTGATGGTAGGAAAAACTGAAAAAAACTTCTGCTAGCCAAAGAAAAATACTGTAGTCCTAAAATCCAGCGTTCGCCACTCAATTTTTAGAAAAAAAGTGCTGTATTTCAGCGACTAGGAAAAAAATTGGCTCGAAAAAAATTAAAAAAATGAGTGAAAAAGAAATAAAGTGAAGGTCTTTCTAAAATTGAAGTTTGAATAAACGATATCTGAGAGAAAGGTTGCTGCAAAGATCTTTTCCTTATTTTTAAAAAAAGCTTTACTTCCCCAGAAATAAAATTTATCTTATCTAAATTTTTTTAAAGTACAAGTTTTTAGAGAGGCGAATGATGAAGCTTTATTCATCCTAGCAGATCGCTATGATAAAATGAATCTACGAAGAAACTGCAGCGAATCCGTGCCAAAAAATCGGTAGGAACTCGAAAAATTGTCAGGAATCGAGATATATTCGAAGAAACCATAATCTCTGAGCGGAGGTTGTCGCCGGGAGGAACTTCAGATCAGTTGTAAGGAAAAGTCTATTAGATATTCATGCAGTTCGGAACGTGAGGATTTTCCTGATCAGACTATTATCAATGAACTCGTGGGCCGAAAAGTACGTCGACGAAAACGAGAGGAAGTGTTTGATTTTGGGGGTATTGGGTTGGAGTCGAAATGGAGAAATCGAGGCGATCCGCCGATGTCGATGCTATTTCGAGGAGAGGCCGTCTGTGTGTGTGTGTACAACTCCCTTCGTTCGTACATTCAGAAAACAGCGACGGTCCGACCGAGGGACTCACGAACCGCGGCTGTGTACACAGTCGTCGCGGAGAGCCCCGTATAACTGTCCGTTTTTTTCTTCCTTCTGCTGCCTATTTTCATCCAATTTCCCCCTATTTCAGCTCCACGTCATCTCCTCCGACGTGTTGGAGTCGTGTGCTGAGGCTTTCAAGTTTTCTGAGGACCCGAAGAGCTCGAAAAAAAAGACAGTCGACTTTTTCTTTTGACGCATTTTCTGTACCTTCAAAGGAAACTGTCTGAGCTGCGCTCTTCATACTTTTGTTGATGAAGTCATAAAAAGTTGAAACAACTGATTAGCTGGAGAATGCCGCTGAGGGGTCGAGAGGGTACAGACAGGTCAGACAGTTTTGAAAAGCTTGATTAGATTAACTATCGACATCGCTATTCTTTCTGTCGTTTTAGAAATCATCTACGTACCAGGATTTTAAAAAACGAGTTAGCTTTGAAGCCTTTTGCTGAAACACAACGAAAAAATAAAGCTTTCAAGTCATATTCAAGGTCTCGGTTTTTGAAAAAGCTTGCTCTCCGTGGTTTTTGTGCAGCATCCTTAAAACCTATCTTTCCACCGTCCAGTAATTCATCGGTTAATATTACAAAATTAACGTTCAATCCATTGTAACTTTTGTCGCAGAATTGAAAAAAAAAAACAAAAATTTCGACCACGGCAGGATTCGAACCTGCAATCTTCTGCTCCGTAGGCAGACGCGTTATCCATTGCGCCACGCGGCCACGTGCCACAGCATGTGTGCGAGGAAGTGGACATCTGCGCGAGAGCTCACCTTTTTTCCACGTGAGCTTTTCTCAAAAGAGAAAAGGTAACTGTACAGAAATCAAAATTCAAAATCCTAGCACAATCCAATTATGATGGAACTAATTTTATGCGGGGGAAAATTTAGGTAAAATCTCCGAAAACTAATGGAAAAAGACCAGATAGAAGAACCGAGAAAACGTTGGAGATATCATATAGCCAGGGCAAAAAGTGAATCCGGGCGGGGCTGGAAGGCCAAAAAGGCCGATCACCATATCTCGGTGATTAGCCAACGGGAAACACGAGCATGTTGCGAACGAACGCCTCGGGCGTAAAACAGGAAAAGCCAAAACGAAACGACGAAACAAATCGAGAGCGAACCGGCTTCTGATAGACGACGACTGACTGACAAGCTGCGAACGTCGCCTTCTCGTTTTCTTTTTTTCCGTTTCTCGCCATAGACCTTTCCCTTTTTTCCAATCTTCTTATCAAGCCGATCAGGCTTTTTTTAGTCAACATTTTTGGAACACTTTTTTCTGAACTAGACTCTGTCGAGAGAGTTAGAGCCTCAGCAGGCTCGTAACACAAAAACACACCGTTGTTCAGTAAGAAAAAAACTAACTATCTGTTCAAACTAGCACGAAAAAATATCGGAAAACTTTGAGCTTGCAGAAATTTAGAAAATATGTCAATTTCTCCAAATCAAAAGTTCTCAACTCCACAGAACAAAAAAAAATTGACAAAACTCTCATAAATGTTTAAAAAAGCTACCGTAGATAACTTTAAAAAAAACGGTTTATCAAATTATCAAGTAGACTTCCCTCAAGATATTTCCTCCTATGTTCCAGAAACAGAGAACTTCAAGCGATTTCCTTCCTATTTTCTGACAGAACACTTTTTTCAAATATTTCGTTCCTTGCTGATTGAACAGAAACGACACGTTCGCTTTTCAATACGGCGCCATCGTCAGACGTTAAACAAATCAACAAAAGCTGCCGCGGCTCTTCGCCGTTTAGATAATGTGTTTTGTCGCCTTGAAGTTTACTCAAATCCCCTCAAACTACCAAACTTTTTCCAGGTTGAAAAAGCACAAAGAGTAGAAAAGAGAGAAAAGTTAGATTTTTTGAACTTTTTTCTTCGCGGAGTCTGATTTTAGTATTGTGGAAGCAGTGAAAGAAAAAAAAGAATTCATTGCAATTTTCCAGTTTTCAGCTTACAAAGTTTTTTACCAATTTGAGAACTTTTTCGGAAAGTCGTACCGAAAATAGTTAAATTTCAACCGAAATCATTTAGAAAAAAGGAGCGATCTGTTATACTTATTTCAACTCTCAAAAAAAAAGAAAAAAATAAAACGTTTTTAATTAAAAAGGAATATCCTGAAACCAAAAAAGCGAGGAAAGATTCCTCTCAAATGAAACATGGAACGTTTTGTAGCAGATCGAAGTCACAACATATAAGAAAAATTCCGAGGAATTAATCCAAATTGGTGCAATAAAAATAAAACATCGGTGAAAAATAGCGTGATTGACGGGCGCAGAGAAAAATTGTTTGGTAGGACTGAAAAAGAAGAAGAAAAAAGGCTGAACAAACAGCTTCTTCGCCCAACCGAAGCGGCAAAATACCGTGGACCATAGCTGCTTTTGTCGAAAAAGCCGCCAAACATGGAGAACGACGTGGAAAAAATTCAAAACAGTCTAGATTTGTTCAGAAGTTTGCTATGCAGAAATGATTACGTGAGAATCCTTCAAAAATTTTGAGTCAAAGCGGAGAAAAAGGTCCAAAAGGTGGACGTTTCTTGGGAATTATTCAAGAAATCAGTTTAGGCTAACATAATTCCTACAGGAAAACAACTCATGTCACTAATAAATTGAGGCATTTTAGGCTTTTACACTTCTGAAGCGTGAAAATATAAGGTTTGAAATCCCAAAAGGAAAATTTCATTTTAAAAAATCCCTGTGCAATAAAGAGTCCTGAAATATAATTCCTACAAGGAAAATCCGAAACAATGAGACGACTATGTACAAATTTCAGTAATTGTGATATGAGCAGTTTGTAGCTAGAAAACAACGGAAAAAACAGAGAAAGGAAAATTTTCGAGAAAGAATCAGAAAATAGTCCTGAAGACATAATCGTTCTGATATTCGTATATATATTCACTCATATAGGGAATAATACGACTTAGCTGAAAGCTGCGAGACTCGCCTCCCGAAAAACAACAACAAAAACGACAATAAGTCTGAAAATGTGCACGTTCGAGCGGTTTTTCGAGGCCAATAGTAAATAATTAAGGAGAGGAAGAGTTGGTCAAGAGATGGCCTTCTTTGAGTTCGTACTTTCGGATCTTTTCTAGGAGTTGGCTATATTTGCACAGAACGCTTAGTCACACACTGAAAAACAAGAGACGAAAATCGCAATTTATTGTGACGTCCATTAAATAAACATTTTCTGCAGTCAAACTAATAAAAACAAAAATGTCATCAAAAAACCTAAAAACAAAAAAAAAAGAAAGGAAACAAGACGAGTAGAGGAAGAATGAAAATTTTGTCTAAAACTTGAAAATACCCAAAAAATGACGATGCCTGATCAAAAAGTTCCGGTAAGCTTTCGGGCTAATAACCGCCACAAAATCAAAGGATTTCGGCGCTGTAGATGAGGCGAGTAGACGTCGAAATCCTTCTGAAGACGATTCGAATGAATTTGAGGACTAAAGAGACTTCAAACTTTCTTCAGGACCCGAAGGATGTGGTCTGTACTGGCAGCGACGCCGGAAAGGGCAGGTCGGAGCGCTGTCGGGACGGTTCTTGTTTTCCCACGCGCCGACGACAAGTACGAGTCCGCTACCTGAAATTGCCTTCCTTAGTCAATTTTTTTTCAAACAACAATTTGATAGATTTCATATCAACAAGTAAACAAAAAAGCAATAAAAAACCATAAAAAACCTAGAGCATTTTCCGAACAACACTTTTTTTTTGGTTTGATGATTTCACCTTGACCAAATCCTTGATGAGCGCTTTGGTCTCCTGCGGCTTTTTCTTGTTGTAGATGGAGTCGGCAGTGACGCCATGCAGCGACATCAGATCCGAAGGCAGCAGGACAACGCCTCGAGACAAAAGTGGCAATGTTGACCTCCAAATCATAGCTTGAACTTTGAAAGGAGCAAAAAATTTTTGTGTCGGTTTTACCCAAAGTTTGTCGGAAAACGTCTGAAATTCATTTTCTGGAGTTTTTTCCGTTTTTTGAATCGCATAGCTTTGAAACTACAATGAAAACCCAGCTTTTCCAGTTGTAAGGTTCTGACTTTCCGATTTCCTCCCAATGATTAATCTATCATCACCGTAAAAAATGCTTCAAAAACTAACCTGATCAAGTTCGCTACCCCGAAGGCGGCGCCGAGATCCGCGCAGACGTGATCAAGATGAGGGAGAGCCTCGATTTTCAGATGACGGGCCAGAGCTTCTAATTGGAGGGTAAGCAGAGAACCAGTAGTGTACCGACCGTAGTCGGTCAACTGAACAATTGTGAATGAAAATGTAAATTTGATTTGTTTTGAAATTACTGAATAATCATAAATTTGAACGAAAGTTTTCGTTTTTTTCGTGTAGGTTTTGTTGGATAATTAAAACCTAACCTACTGAGGGACGCCAGAGTAGCCCTTATAGGTCCTAGGAAGAAACCCTCTATGGACCACTCAATCATTAGTGGCCCCTATATGATGAGATAAAGTCTTCTCTAGAAGGGAGCCGTTAAAGGTCCCTATAAGGACCACTCTGGAGTTGCTAATTAGATCATTAAAACACCATTATGAGTAAAATTAACACAAACTACCAATGAAACACTGAATAAAACAATAAAAAAATGGTTAAAATCCAAAAACTAACCGCTTTTGTAGTGGTGAAAGGTCTGTCGCCGATGGTCGACTGTCGAGTTTCGACGAGTTTTTGCAAGAGTTGATGGCGAGCGTTGGGAGCAAAGGCGCAGAGAGATATGGCCACGGGCTGTCTGGATCAGGAGAAATTCGGATTGTGGCTGAGAGAGAAAGGCAAACCGCGGCACGGGGAGGTTCGACTGTGCGTAGATGGAAGAAATGGCGTCGCGCCAGAATTGCAGCCGGTACATCCCCGTGGTGTCGCCTTTTCTGGCGTCAACCTTGTCGCGGACCATCGCCAGTTCCACGTTGAATGCGTGCAACTGAAACAACCGCTTAAAAATTATTTTGAACGAAAAATGTCCATCACTTGAATAAAAAAAGGTTTTAGTAAATACAAAAAAACAACGAAATTTTTTTCTTTTTGATTTTTTTCTATCATTTTTTTGTATTTCGCAGTCGGAAAACTCCACATTTCTTATGAAAAAAACAAAATCTGAATATATTGGTTATAATTTTCGTCACATCGTTGGGGCTTCCACTAATTTCACTTATTATGATTACAATCTCTCACTCCTTCAAACTTCTTCTCATTCTGAAACGAATATAATTTGCCTCGGACCCCAAACGCACCGCAATGAGCTCGGGTTGGACTTTTTTGGGCATCATCAGGATCGACATGTAACTGTCGACATCTCGAGTACGAACAAGCTGAATATCAACTAGATTCTTCATTTCTGTTATATTCAACGCACTTCTAGACAATTTTTGAAGGCTTCATCAGCTTGGGCTTGGCTAATTTCAAGGACACGAGTTTTTTGAGCAGCAGATTTGGGGATCCTGAATATCGAAATCAAATCAAAGCAAAGAAATCGAAAAGACGTACCTGGCACCAGGAAGTTGACTGAAGTCAGGTTTGGGCAGATTTTCAGAAAATGGAGACGTTTTTGACTTTGGCGGAGTTGAAAAATAACGGCACTGTTTATGTAAAACATGAGAGGATAAAGCTCGAGATGACAACGGAGAGAATAAAAAGGTAAGCTGAAAAGAGAAAGTAGGAGACCCGAGGGAGCAAAGATTTTTCGTGGGTTTTTGGTTCAAGAGTCGGAGTCCGTGGTCGAATTCGTCTCGACTTCGACCCCCTCTGTCGAGGAAGCTGCGCCGGTGGAAATCGTGCGAGAATTGCGCTGAAACTCATAATATTTTCAAAAAAAAGTTACACAAAAAGTCTTTAAACAATGAATTACAACGATCAAGGAAAAGAAACCTCCTGACGAAGGTTGTTGAGGACGTAGAAACCGGGCGACATGGCCTTTGCCCGATGCTCGAAGGTGATGAAAGACGGACAGTTGAGGGCTTCGTCGCATGTTCTGTCGTGGTGCTGAAACATTGGAATAGGAAAAATGATGAAAAATGAAGAGTTTGGGGGCCAATTTTTCGCTCATCTTTTTACACATCCCGCTTCAAGACATCAAAGAATAAAAAAAAATGCTTAAACCTCTCTAAAATAATAATTTTATCCGTACTTGATCTTTCTTGATGTACTGGAAGGAGCCGGCAATGTAGGCAGCACCGTAGATCAAAGCCGCCAAAGAAAGCAAAGTTTGGACGATAACGTCAGTGGGAAGGGTGACGAAAGGCTGCTCGGTGAGCCGCAGATAGAAACGGTGCTGAAATATCCAAATATTTCCTTTCAACTCGATCTTGGATTACCTGGGCGGCCGAATAGGCGCAGTGAATGAGGGAGACCAAGGCGGCGATTGTGATTATTCCGTAGATGTTCTTGGTCATTGCTCGACCAGATTTCGGCGAGCCGACGAATCAAACGGAGGCTTAGTTAACTTCTAAAAAAGGAACTTCAAAGTCTAAAAATTAGATTATAGATAGAAAATAATGGTATAAACCACTAAAAACAAAAAAACAAAAAAACAAAAAAACGAAAAAAAGTATTTACATTTATTAAGAGGAATATAACAACTCTGAAACAAGGAAAGATCTCTTTGCTGGAAATGTAGAAGAAGGTCAAACTCGACAATCGATTGGGGTAAGTGAACTGCGGGCCAAAGTTTTAGTCCATTCATCGCTGGCTTGGAAAGTCTCTAATCAAGATTTATTCGGTTATCGAAATCTTATATATAGAGAGAGGTTCAGATGTCTCACTAATTTTCTCTTACCAAGATAGCGATGAAAAGATTATCAATTACAATTTAAATCTCTCAAAATTCACGTTATACAGCCTCTTCTTCACATTTAACGTGTGTGACGAGGTTCGAAGACGACTGTATCAGCTTGTCTTTCAACATTTTCATCTTTTGGTTTTCCTGAGGGCGAGGTCCAAATTTCTCTTCGAGTTTTTCGAAAATTCCTTTGGTCGTGTTAGTAATCTAAAAACCAACTTTCTGGAAAACGCAAAGTTAAAATATTACCAACCGACTTCTTGAACCCGACAACCATCACTTTCTCGTATACTGAACTTAATCTCCCACAGTCAATATTAATTTGAACACTCCGCAAAACGTCAGTCAGAAACGTTCCATCCTGAAAGAGATTTGGAAAGTTTCGAAAATATGAAAATTAAAAATCACATATAATCAGAAGAATTTTCTTTAATGCAGAAAGAGGCAGAGTCGAAGAGGGTGGAAAAAAAGGCTCCATAGAAATGTTTCTTTTTAGGGTTAAAAAAAGCTCCTTTTTTTGCTGCCTTTTTTGCGCGAAAAAAATTCTATTTTATCAAAACTAAAACGGAATCCTAAATTATTGTTCCATGATTTCCGAAGTTCAATGAAATTTTAATAACATCGTGCTAAGAACAGAAAAATATAATTTAAGTTATCAAAGCTTAGAACCGTTCTTTTTATGAAAGTTTCCTTATGAGGTAAAACTTCAGTACCTCAACAAAATTTCAAGACATTAAATTTAACCTCGTTTTATTTATAATAACCAACCTGATTTTCCTTGTGCCTGTAAACACATCGCTCATTCATTTGAAATAATTCATTGTGCGATACATTCCGAGTGTAGGTGATCAGACTTTTACTTAACCGGTCGTACACACTTTCCTCAATAACTGGGACTGTTCTGATTTCTGTCATACGAGACAGCCATCGAGGTACCCTTTTGAGGATGTTGCTTCCTGCAAAATCTTAATGTAGAAATAATTAAAAAATGATAATTACCATGCTTCACAATTAACTTCTTCGTGACGATGGTGTTTTCTGTCACTCGCCTTTCCAAAACGTCTTCAGAAACGATGTGTTTTGTGAACGAATTCGGGTACCTATTTTGATAAATATCTTCAAAGATTGGAAAAAACCAAAAAACACCTGTCCCAAAAAGCAGCACAAACTTCGTCAAAAGTGTAGGGAAAAGAAGAAGTCGGTGAATCCCAAAAACGCATCCTACAAAAAAAAAGTAGCTTCAGAATTCTTTTCTGAACATAAAGAAAAAAAAAATGAAAACTAGAAAATGATAATAGTTTGAAAATGAAATGTTTATCTAAAAGCCCTAGAGGGATTATTTTTCACATTCAAGTGACCGCCATTCTCTTTAGGGGCTCCTTACAATTTCGTTGGCGCGCGAATGCTTTAACTCTTTTTTTACGCGTGAGAACATTTTTTTGTTTCAAAAAAATTTAAGGTTCAGTTGACTTTCTGAGCTTATTTTTTTCCATAAATTAGAAGTATAATGGTGAAAAAAATGAGTGGAGTTTTTAAATAAAAGATTTTTAAGTCCTGTTATGTCGTAGGTTAAACGTTTTTTAATCGAAAAGAAAAAAAAAGATGTTCCCAGGTTGAAAGTTTGATCTTTCTTTCTCAGGTGACCATGAATCAAATTTTATCAAAATACAGTCGATCAGGATGATAATGGTTTTTTCTTTGAAAAAGAAACTTCTTTCGTCTTACAGCATGTCGTTTTATGTTCATCGACAATTAATTGTTTCCCCATTTTTTTTTGTCGCACATTTTTTCCTTCTTTTCCGGTTTTCATTTACATTTCTGCGGTTTTAATGATTTTTTAAAATATTTGAGGCACGTCTCAGACTCAAAGCAAGGGCGAGTAATCGCATTGCTCTTTGGAGGCGGCGCCTAAAACGGGTTTTAGCCAGTGATTCGTCTTTGAACTGTCGCCTTAAAGTTCACTCACAAATTATGTTTGCGTCTTCGACCCGTGCCCTGCACAGAACCTCGCGGAGCCTTTCCACATGGCGTTCTGGAAGGAAAGCAATAATTGCACTCCCGTCGCGTGGCGCAGTTCCGAGGCTCCACTCTGGTCTTATCATTAACCCCGGCGCCTTGTGGAGTCATTGTAATCGAACCATCACCGACTATTCCAACGCCAAACGGACTTCCACTGGCAAAATGGACGGCGCCGCGATCATCGCTTCTTCTCTCAAGCACCAGGTTGGAGATAAACTAAATAATGTACCTAAGAAGTGTTAGAAGATATATTTGAAGTCAGTTATAAGAAACAAGAAAATAACGAATTTTCTGACGACTGCTAAATCCAAAAAAACATCCTATCGAAGAAAGATGTTCTCAATCTTTATCTTGTACCTTAAAAACCTTCTTTGAAAGTTCCAAGCTTTTTTTGGACTACCATGAGGAAAGGATTGAGTCTGATATTCAATTTATCTAAAAAAAAAGTGGAAAGTTTGGATTTCAACAGTTTGAAAAAGAAGAAACCCAAACAAGACCTAACGATATTCATAACCGACTTGTCGTTAGGTCTATTTTTATTCTAATTCTTAGCACAACTTTTTTTTTTGAGATTCGCACATACTGAAAAGTTATTTTCGTTTTCTGAGTGAAACTTATTATTAGTTTGAATTTTATTCATGTGTTATTCTTCTGAATGTCTAATTTATTTTAAGTTCAATTTTTTTCCTAAGCGTCTTTCTCATATCGAAAAAAACATAAAAGGAAAGAGAATGACCGAATTGATAACACTGATAAGAGAATTCGCGTGTGTTATTGAATATCAGCGGGTTGTGACTTCTCAGCAAGATTCTTTTCAAAGGAACCTGGGATTTCAGATGTTTCCAAGAGAAAATGACTTAAAAAGGAATTCCAAAATTTCATTTGGAAGACTCAAAAATATTTTTTTGGCATAAATCAAAAAAACGGAAAAAACTCTATAGCTATACTACTCTAAAAATAGTTTAACTCGAACAAAAAAAAAAGAAAGATCAAAGTGATTCATAGTAAATCGATAAGATTTGGATTTGAGGGTGTCGAATACATGTTCGGCGTGGTCGGATTTCCAGTCATCGAGGTTGGAATGGCGGCCCAGGCGCACGGAATCAAATACATCGGATGTCGCAATGAGCAAGCTGTGAGTACATCCGGAAAATCCATTCCCGAACTTGATTCACGAGATCAGTTCAGGCAGCCTACGCCGCACAGGCGATGGGCTACTTGACCGGAAAGCCGGTGGCTCTTTTGGTCGTTTCCGGACCCGGAATCCTGCACGCGATTGGAGGCTTGGCCAACGCTACTGTCAACTGTTGGTCCGTTTTTTTTGAGGGTTTATCTTAAAGTCCGCCAGTAGGACTTAATTAAAATAATATTCAAATAGTTCAGAGTTTATTATTGGTATCGTATTGGAAAATAACCAAATGATTCAATAATTGCGAAGATTTCTTTTTTCTTAAGCTTAGAAAACGCTTTTCAAAGTTTCTTATGGAAATATTTAATGAATGTCTTCAGCCAAGTGAACAAAAGCGTGACGAAAAAAAAAGTTTGCGTCCGTAATTTCTACGCACCCTGTAATAATAACTTTGTGTAAAAACTCCGAACCGCTCTTTAACCCCTTTTTGTGATTTGACTTGGTTAAGGCCGGTGATCTGTCTCGGCGGAACTGCCGACGTCGATTTGGAAGGCCGCGGGGCTTTCCAGGAATGGCCGCAAGTCGAAGCAGTACGGAGCGCCTGCAAACACGTTAGTCGTCCGACGACTCTCCAGTCCATTCCCGCCCACATCGAGAAGGTCGGAACCAGTCTAATCAAAAATAGATTAGAATATTTGTTGATTAATAATCCTCTAACTTGGGGGTTATTCAGCGAACCACTTTTCAGCAAAAGATCATTTAAAAACGACAAAGATTGAAAAAGAGACCTTTTCAAGAGAAAAAGAAAATATAAAAGAAAATCCTCAAAATTTCGTAGAAGATTGTTTTTGAGTTCTGAGTGAAATGATCGTTTTTGTTAGGAACTTTATTTCCATAACCTCTGAGTTTCTCTCTTCTTGAAAACTGGATAAATGAATATCTTCCTCATTTTATTCGAATTATCTTCTCTGTAGGCGGTTCGCGAGTCCTTGTACGGTCGGCCGGGAGCTGTCTACGTCGACATTCCTGGAAACTTGGTCCTTACCAGTACTGAGGACGAGATTGTGTTAGTTAATTCCAAAAATCCAAAAGAGTTTCTGGATTTCAGGCAGCCGCCAAAAGTATCTCTGCCGGCTCCAGTTTCGGTCCCACCATCGGGAGTCATTGGAAAAGCGATCGAGGTGATCCAGGAGGCCAAGAAACCCCTGGTCATCGTTGGAAAAGGTGGGGAAAGGTCCACTGAAAAAGCAAAATAAGTATTCTCAGGAGCCGCTTGGTCGGAACGGGGAGCGACGTTGGTCCAGCACTTCTTGACGCGCTCCAAGCTGCCTTGGTTGGCGACTCCCGGCGGAAAAGGCGTCTGCAGCGATCTCAACAAGAGGTCCGCCTCTCCCAATGATTCTCCGATAGGTCATCCTCAGGTCTGTTGCTCCGGCTCGATCTCTCGCTCTGAGGGAAGCCGACACAATCGTCCTCATCGGCGCCAGACTCAACTGGATCCTCCATTTCGGACTTGCGCCTCGGTTCCAGAAGAACGTCAAGATTGTTCAGGTTTACAGAGAATAATTTGGAGCGGCTTCTTGATCTTTCATTCAATTAAATAGAAGAGTTTTTGCATTAAATAAAATGTATTGAAACTCAAAATCGAGAAAGATATTAATTAATAAATAAAAAAAGGTTTGAAATCTGTGAATTCTTAATATTCCTATAAAGTTGTTCGGAGGTTGACTGCAAAATTATTTTTCATTTTCGCTTTTATGATTATTTCCTAACATAAAGTAACTTCGAGGACTTGTTCAAATATTCCAACTATCTATTTTATCACTGGAAAATCCTTTCCTGACTTTTTCTGATTTCAGTTTGACCTTCTATTTTCTTCTGACTTCAGCTCGACCTCTGTCCGGAAGAGTTCCACCAGAACGTGGAGACGACGGTTCCGCTGCTCGGAGACATCGGCGAGACCCTCTCCCAGATGGTCCACCAACTCGGCGACTGGAACTACGACGAGTCGAGTGCCTGGTTCAAACAGCTCCAGGAAAACTCGGAGAAAAATCGGCAGGTCGTCGAGAAACTCGCCAACGACCACTCCACGCCGCTCAACTACTACGCCGCCTATCATCCCGTTCGTCTGATTACAAAGAAAAGATATCCGAGTTCAGATCCGCGAGTTCCTCTCCAAACACGACGTCTTGGTTGTGAATGAAGGCGCCAACACGATGGACATTGGCCGGACGATGATGCCGTCGGTTCTGCCGAAGCGACGTCTCGACGCTGGAACCTTCGGTCGGTTTTCAGGAAATTGAGTGTCTACCAAGGATAGGCCTGACCTCACAAAGAGAAAAGAAGGATAATATCGTTTTTTTGAGTTTGAGCTGTCAATTATTTTCTTTGAGGGTACTTTTGAGATTAGATTCCAAACCAGCGTGAAAAAAAGATCACTTGGTTTTCAAATTTCATTCAGAATTGTCTTATTTTTTTAGTTTAGAAATGACCTGGTTTACGCAGTCTTCAGAGAAGGCTCTCTGCTAATCACAGAATAATTGAAAATTTTTTTTTTCGGTTGATAAAGAGAAGCTCGCCTTTTGTGACAGTATTATAGAAGTTTTCGGCTTTTCGAAGATTTTCCCCAGACCTTCAAAACTGATAATATTGAAGGAATGGTCAGAAATGGCATTCTGATTATTTATAGTTGATTGAGAAAGACAGGAGGTTCATAACATGAAGATGATCTCCCAACTGTTACATTTGTTCTGCAGGAACGATGGGCGTAGGACAAGGCTACGCCCTCGCGGCGGCCCTGTACTGCCGCGACCACTCGCCGAAGACGAAGGTGCTCGTCGTTCAGGGCGACAGCGCGTTCGGCTTCTCCGCCATGGAACTCGAGACGATCGCCCGCTACAAACTGCCCGTCGTCACGGTCATCATCAACAACAGCGGCATCTACCGAGGACTTCTGCCCGACGACATGGCCAGCGTCGAGGGAGACCTCACTCTGAAGTCTCCTTCCTTCCATTTTTCATCGAAATGCGAATACTTTCAGCCTGCCTGTCCTTTCTCTGACAGCCGAGTGCCGCTACGAGAAGATGTGTCAGGCTTTTGGAGGCGAAGGTCACTTCGTTCGCAGTGTTCCTGAAGTGAGTCTGTTCATCGCGGAATTTCGAACGATTTTCCCTGAAGATAAAATGTAAAAATGACCCGTGAAACGATCCCAAGGATTGAGGGATCGCATATAAATCAGGCTATTTCAAACTGTTGTTAATAGATTATCACTTCGGCTATAGTCCATTGGCAGTTTTCGCGTGTCTGCGTCTCTTTGTTCCCTCATCGGATCAGAGGTCAGAGAAAAATGGTAATAGCACGTAAACAGAAGAGAGACGTCGAAAGTTAAGGAGGGCGCAGAGAAGTCCCTCCCTTTCATTTGGCGAAAAACAAACTATACCTACGTTTTCGAACTTCAGAGTAAATTTAGAAATCAGAAAAGCCGTGAATTGAATTCATCTGTATAACTGAAAGAATCAAGTTTGGTAGACTGCAGAGCTTTCATTCATAAAATTCAAACATATCTTTCAGATCAAGGATGCTTTGGAGAAGGCTTTCGCCAAGACGGACGGCCCCACAGTCATCAACGCCATCATTTCAACGGACTCCGAGAGAAAGCCCCAGAAAGATCATTGGCTGACCCGCTCCAAGATGTAAATATTCACTCGCCCCTTACGTAGTAGATCTTGCTCGACATTGCCACTTATTGTGATATGTTTTTATCAATATTATGTACGATATTTAAATGTGAAGAGATAAATAAGAAAATATGAGAGTTTACGGGAAGAATTCGCCGACGGAAGCTTCTCCGCTGACTTGGTCGTTGTCGAGGAAAGAAGGCCTCCGAACGGCCTTCACCTCGGCGCTGCTCAACATTTCCGCCGAGGTCAGCTCGTCGAGCCGCCAACGAACGAAGTCAGCTGAGCCTGTCTTGGCTCCGCGCACTTTGAACGGAGTCTGGAACGTTTTTCTCTCTTCTGAAGATTCCTTTTGACGGAGGAACCTTCCATGTCGGCTTTCTACCTGCTTGAGGTGCGCGCAGAAAACGCAAGGACTTCGCTCGCGGCGCAACTTTTGGCGCGTCGAAAGTTCGTACCGGTTGCACCTCTGTTCTGAATATTCAACAGGAGATTTAGTATGAATTTTAAAGGAAAGAAAGTTCAGGTTTTTCTTTGGAAGGAATTGATTGCTGAGCTCCGAATTAGAAGTTACAGACTCGTCTTTTGAAAATTCAATTTCAGAAATGTTTTTTTAATTTGCCCTTTCTCTTTCCTTTTTAACAAATAAACTTCATATTTTTGATGGCTGACTCAAAAAAACCGCGGAATCTTTATTGTTCTACGAGGAAAACGAGTGCACATTCGCAATATTTTTTCCTAAAAATTCTTTTTTGATTTTTCAAACTCACCTGAGCTCTTTCAGACGTCTCACTGTCTCGGCTGAACATTGAGAAAAGCACGCAACTAGGAAAAACAATACAAAAAACTTGAACATTTTATTCCTGCAAGTTTATTTGGCTTACGGAAAAAGTCTCAGGTTGAAAGAAAATAATCAGACTCGACAGAGGAATTAAATTAAGAAATAAAGTTAACTTCTTGAAGAAAGATGTGAAAAACGAATCAGGCGGAAGCTAGAAATGGCAAACAAGAGTTGAGATTGCGTGAGATTTTGGCAAGAAGAACCGGCTCCGCCCCTTTTTCTGTGTAAAGACGTCCTCCCGACCTTGTCGAACAACTCGTTCAAAGCTTTTGCAGGTGATCACGGTGTGATAAGTGATGAAGTCAATCGCTAGATGAGAGGAAAATTGTATTTCCCATGAGATTTAATGAGATAACTATTCACTTCATCGAGATTTTCGAAATGAAAACTCTTTTGTGACTTTTTCTTGAGAATTCGGTTGTATTTTGACGCTCAGAAGCTGCGAAACGAAAATCTTTCAGGCTGACCTTGATAAAAACTGAAAATTTGTTTGAAAAATCAACAGAAAAAGAAATTTATTTGAAGAGTACAATTGGTTCACGAGTTCACTCTCAAGTTTAAAGCAGCCATGGATTTGCGGCGAACATGTTCGGCTTTTGCTTGCGCGGCGAAGTTCCAGGAGAACTTGAAGAAATAGCCGTGAGTAGCGACGGCGACGACGCTGACCGCCAGGTCCACCACAACCTGCAGAAACAAAGACCAGACAGCCGCCTCGCAACTCTCTGAAACAGAAAAGAGTGATAAATCCTTCATCAGAGAAAACATTTCCCGCTGATTACCTTCAAGGCAGGCCGAGTCACAGTTCTCCGGCTTGACCAAGTCGTGAACTCCCAGTCTCCAGCCTGAGAATCTCCGGTCAAACATGAAATGTTACTATTTTCCTCACACGGCTCAACATTCTTGTCCTGGAACGCCACTACAATCTCGAACAACAAACACAATATGTAGGTGACGTTCAATAAACTCGCCACAATCACCACCACCTGAACTCGAGAATCCAAGAAAAACCTCAACATTTCTGCTCACCTGAGATCCTACAACAAATTTGTAAGTTTTCACCGAGCGGTACATGTAATTGGTGGCCAGTGATACAAATAAAAGACCCACACAAAAAACTAAAACACAGTAAAACGCCATATGAATGTTTGACGTGTTTTCAGCGTAAACTCGGATTGCCAGGCCTAGCTGAAAATTCGCAAAACAATTCGCCGAAAAAACAATCAAACTCGCCACAGCTATTTCGTATATCAAATGAATCGCACATGGGATGAAGTAAACGTTGTAGTAATACTGGTAAACGAAATTTAACTTGAAACACCTTATCGACTCACCTGGATCCAAAAGGGCAGAGTTCTTGTCATTCTTTTTGTGGAAATTCTGGTGAAAAAGAATTATGGCACCTTTACGTTTCTCAATGAATCAGCACCCTTTCCAAAGCGTCGCTCGTTTTGTTTTTTTATTCAATCTTTTTTATAAAAATGAAATGTTGCGAAAAAATTTTGTGAGTCAAACCAAGGTCAAATTTAAAAAATTTATTGCAATTCATTCACAGAAGTCTTTCAAAGTAATTTTTATCGGCTGAAGAGTGGTCCGGAGCCTAGAAAACGTTTTTCAAAAATTAATTTTTAGCGAGTTTACGGTATGTAATACGAGAGTTTGAACCGCAAGCTGTCGGGAGGTGACTGCATGACTTTTTTTGGCCCAATTTTTTTCTTTTTCTTTTGATTTTGTAAATCTCAATTTTGTTTGATACACATATTATTGATATGATAACTCAGTTTCCAAGATTTCAGGGTAACTCTCTGCTTCGGAATGCCGACCGTGGGTATCAAAAAAAGCTTCTAATCGACAAGCATTTCGGACATGTTTATAGTAAGTTTTTTTTTTCTGATTTTAATAAAATAAGTATGTTTCAGCTGAGAAAGAGTTTGACGAGTTGTGTTTCGAATACGGACTGGAGCTAGATGAAGTGGTAATGTTTTTTTTTCCATCAAAATATTTTTCACGCTTTATTGGTCAGTCATTCTCTCTCTTCAATGAATAAAACTTTCAGACTTCCGAAAAAGAAGCGGTGGAGAAAGAAAGAGGCACAAGCGCTGTAACAGAGAAACTCAGCGACCAGGAGGTGTACAAAATCGACATACCAGCAAATCGATACGACTTGTTGAGCGTTGAAGGTCTCTCGCGCGCCATCCGTATTTTCAAGCAACAGTCAGTTTATTTCTTGATTATTAAAAAAAAGGGGGGGGGATTAATCTTTTTAAGAGAGGGGTTTTTTTTTTAGAATCACGGCCCCTGAGTACAAGTTTGCTGAGGTGCCAAAAGGAGGTCTGCAGAAAATAATAGTAAAGAGGGAAACGGCGGATGTGCGTCCTTTCGTCGTGGGAGCCGTTTTGCGTGGAGTCACTTTTGACCCGGAAAACTATGCTTCTTTCATTGATCTCCAGGTAAAAATCGTCGTGATTTCCTTTTTATATATTTTTTCTTAGGACAAACTCCACCAAAACATTTGCCGTAAGCGGTCGCTTGTAGCTATTGGAACCCATGATTTGGACACTATCCAAGGTATTTTCAAAAGGTTTCATCAGGCTCTCAATGTGAGTGTACAGGTCCTTTCGAGTATCGGGCTGAGGCTCCCAAACAAATCAAATTCAAGCCGCTCAACCAGACCAAAGAATACACCGCTGAAGAGCTCATGACCCTTTATTCGGTAAAAGAAATTTTATATTAGGAAGGGAAACATTTTTCGTTTTTAGACAGAAAGCCATTTGAAGCCCTATCTGCCCATCATCCAAGACAAACCCTTGTATCCGGTGATTTACGATAAAAACGGCGTTGTTTGCTCTATGCCGCCGATCATCAACGGTAAATCTAAAAGATTTTTTTCCTAAGCGAGATTGGAAGGGGGATTTCCTTAGAGGTTTTTTTTAATTTTTAAACTTGGAGAAAAGTTTTTTTTTAATTGTTCAGCGAAGATTAGATGTTTGTATTTCAAAAATGTTTCTCGAAAATTTAGAAAATTAGGAGGTCCTTCTAACGAATAATCTTTTTTCCTCAATCAGGCGAACATTCCAAGATCACTCTCAACACCAAAAATGTGTTTATTGAATCGACGGCGACAGATATTCAGAAGGTTTTTCCAAAAATGCATATTTTGAAAAGCAACTGTCTTTTTCAAGGCCTACGTTGTGCTGGACACGATCGTGACGCTTTTCAGTCAGTATTGTCAGACGCCTTTCACCGTGGAACAAGTCGAAATCGAATACGAAGCCGATGGCCGCAAGGAAATCACGCCTGTAAGTTTTATTCCTGAATTTAAGTTTATATTTTTGCTGAATCTTATAAGTATGTGAACGCAAAATTAGCTGAAGAAGGTAAAGTTTGTTTTTAAAAAAATTGGTCATTTAGAAAGACTTTTTTGAATTTATGTAAAAATAAAAACGTTCTCTCACTAGTTGAGATATCGTTCAAGGTTTTCTAATTATTTCAAAGTAAGGTAAAGTGAATAATTTTTGGACTTTAATATAGTCAAGCGTTTATGATATTTTTTTAATGGCAATTTTTCCTCAAATTTGTTCATTTTTCATGTTTTTCAATTAGTGCCGTGGGAACGGATCGTAAAGAATCTTTTTTTTTTTCTTGCGAAAAATCCTTGCTCAGTTTTTTTTTACCTCGAAAATATTTTATCTCATTTCTCCGTCTACTCCTTGTGCCTGTTTAAATTGAAGCAATTTTTTTATGAACCGGATCTGTTTCTTAAATTTTTAAGTTTTTGTCAACTCAATTTTTCACTTATTAGAGCACATTTTCTGTCATTTTGAGGAAATATCGAGTAATAGTCAATATTGGTCGACATTCAGCTGTTGTCGTACCGCGAAATGACCGTGACGACGCCAGAAATAAACACGAAAATGGGTTTCAACCTGGACGACAACACCATTGCGACGCTTCTCAACAAAATGTCCCTCAAAGCCGAAGTTTCTGCCCCGAAAACATTGAAAGTTTGTCTTTTCATCCTTCTTCTGTTCAATTTCGCTCCTCCAGATTCGTGTCCCTCCGACGCGACACGACATTCTTCACGCCTGCGACATCGCTGAAGACGTCGGCGTTGCCTACGGATTCAATAATCTCGTCAGAAAACTTCCCGAGGTTTTTGTCTTGGAGTATTTCAAATGAAATTCGAATTATTCCAGTCCAATACTGTCGCGGTTGCTTTTGAGCTGAACAAATTGTCCGAACTTCTTCGCGTCGAAATCGCCGCCGCCGGCTGGTCAGAGGTACCTTTTTCAAGAAACTTATTCCAAAAATGGTTCTATTGAGTCTCCGAAAGAAAAAGTGCTGACATGGTAATAAAAGAGATAGTGCTTGACTGTTGGAGATTTCAGAGAGACCATGCCCCCTTTAGCGTCCGAAGCCGTGAATCGCTATAAATTGAATTATTAACAAAAAATTGGGTTTTTATGAGCTGAAGTAAAAACCGCGGTTGGTTGACAGTTTGTGCACAGGGATCAAGCAATAACTTCAGTAGTTTCGCTATTAACTGCATTTTTTCATTTTCTAGAAGTCACTACACCTTTCTGCCAACCTTGCAGGGAATTTTATGATAAATAACATGTGAAGCTTGCATTTCAGATGTCTTTGAAACAGAACAAGCTTTCGATCCCCGTATTTTTCGGTTTTCTTTGGAATATATTTTATAAAAACTTCAGGCGTTAAACTTTGCTTTGTGCAGTCGCGACGATATTTCGACGAGATTACGGCAGCCTGACGCCCTTGCGCAAGCCGTTCACATCGGAAATCCCAAGACTTTGGAATTCCAGGTTCCTTTCCTTCGTTTTTTCAACCTTTCAATGTGTCTTAAGGTCGCACGGACGTCGATTCTGCCTGGATTGTTGAAAACTTTGTCCTCGAACAGGGATATGCCTCTTCCGCTGAAGCTTTTCGAGCTGCAGGATGTCGTCCTCAAGGATTCCAACAGTGGTGGGTGATTTCTAGAAATGATACCTTGAAAAAAAGGAGTGTTCAAAAAAGTGTAGTTCATAAAGGTATTTAATAGTTTTTTGGTGACAAATTCTTTGATGGTTCCTGCACGAATTTAACTCTGAAAAATCTATTTTATTTTGAAAATATTCTCGTGATCTCCGTATAAATGATAATTACCGATTTTCGCTTTTTTTGAAGATGTCGGAGCGAGAAATGAACGACGGCTAGGCGCCGTTTACTACAACAAGGCGGCAGGATTCGAGATAATCCAAGGATTTTTGGACCGCGTCATGCGAGTTTTGGACGTGAACCCGGCGAAAGACGGAACCGGCTACTACATTGAAGCTGACGACAGTTCGTTCTTCGTTATTATTCATCTGGAAAAAATATTTTTTCTATGAGTTTTTAGAAGTCTCATAAAAAGGATGCTTTAGTTTTAGGTGCTGATTTTTTTTAACATGTATAGTTTTTTCCTTGAGAAAAAATAATAACACTGCTCTGGGAAGCTTACAGAGAGCTCCACACTTTAACATTTGAGGAGACTTTATCAAAAAAAAATAATGATTTTTCAAAGTTTTATTGGATGACAGGAGTAAAAAAATTTTTTTGAGTGTACCGAGAGCTCATAAAACTTTAAAACGGACATTTTTGAGTACCGGTTAAGGCAAAAATCTTGAGAAAGAAGGGAAGTTGCCTTGCCTTTTACAAACAGAACTCTGGTTGAAAATAAAAATCGCAACTATTTTTTCATTCTTAAAAGTTTTCTCCGATCTTCCAATTTTTTCTATCGGTTATCAATAAAATCTCATTCAGATCCGACTTTCTTCCCAGGAAGATGTGCAAAGATCATCGGCCCCAAAGGAGTTCATTTAGGACATATTGGTCAGTTTTTTAAAAGAAAATTTTTTTCTTGAAATATTGTCTGATTTTTTTTTTTCAATTTTTGCTCGTTTTCTATGGCAAAAATACCTTCCAATCCTTGCATTTTTTTTTCCAAGTGTCACTTTTTCTTATCAATGTTTTTCAAGGCGCTCTACATCCTGAAGTGATCACTGCCTTCGGACTGAATATGCCCTGCGGCGCCGTCGAAATCAACATTGAACCTTTCCTTTAAAATGTTTATCACATTCTTTTTCTTGTTGTTCTGGTTGTTTTAAAAATAACTTATTCATTTCTAGATTTTTATTTTTCTTGTTGTTGATTAATAAATTGGCTTTCCTTCCCCGGTAAATATTTATTTTTTGAATGTCTAGATTCGAGGTTTTGAAACCTTTTGCTATACTTTTTATTTTCGAACTTTATTTTTCAGTTACAAACCTTTTTTTCTTTTTCTCTAGATGCTCAGCGACTGTTTGCTGATCATCGCCATTGCGGTTTGTACGGCTCTGGCCGGCGAAGGCATCACTTATCTGCTCGTGTACCGGTCCGAACACTACAAACGACTCAAGGTTGCTTTTATGGGCTAATTAGGAGCTTTTCAAAGTAATTTCATGTTCTTTTTGCTTTATGAACTACCTTCAAAATATAATGTTTTTCGTTGGTTTTGGTTTCCTCATGAGTTTTTCAGAGTGCATTTGTAGCTCAAAAAAATAAATTTTTGTGTCTTTGACTCGTTTAAAAAAATTTCTTGAACTTCTTTTTTTCTAGTTTTTATTTTTTTATTCATCAAAAAGCCGATAAAATCTTATTTCTGACTTCTCAAATATATTTATTTTTTTCTCATTATTTTTTTCCAATGCTTCTAAATTCAAAAAGTTTCCAGGTTAACTGATCTTCGAGCTTTTTTTAGAAATTTCTGACCTATCTTTTATTTCATTTCTTGATGTTTAGTTGATAATTTTGAATTTTTTTCACATTCGCGGGTTTAAAAATTCCAAAGGGTTCGTGTCATCGAAGAAAATTGAAACAAATTGAAATTTGATTCAAAAAAAAAATAATTAGATCAAGTTTTTTTCCTCCTATCTTCACACGACGAAAGCCGTCCCATAACTCGAAGTTTTTTTGTCAATTTTGCAATAAAAAAACACCTATACAGGCGGAAATGGACCGGAAAACGAAGAGACTGGAGAAGAAGAAACAGGAAGCGAACGACCTGACCGACAAAAACGCGAAACGACGACTCGAAAGGGACGAGGAACGGCTCAAGGCGACCAACCGGGACATGTCCATGTTCAAAATGAAGTCCATGTTCGCCATCGGTATTTCTTGTTCCTAGTCGAATATCTCAAGAGCTTGGTCAGGTCTGGCTTTCACGGCACTTCTTTCCACCTTCAACTCGATTTTCGACGGCCGCGTCGTCGCCAAGTTACCCTTCCATCCGATTTCCTTCATCCAGGGCCTTTCTCACAGGAACTTGGTCAGATTTCAATTTATTACTGATTTTAGCCCTCAAAAGGGGTTTCAGGCCTTCAAAAAGTTGTTTTTTGCAGAAAGATCTTTTAAAACGCCTCTTTGTACCTTTCGGTCGACTTCCTTTTCTAAATATTTTTCCTGTCACAAGAGGATCTCTTTTTTATCCAGAAAACAGCTGAAATTTTGCAATGTTCTGAGAGATTATTGATAATTACAAGAACTATTCAAAATCGTTATCAGAACAACCATAAAAAAATAATTGTAAAAAAATTGTGAAAAATGAAAGTTAGATTTACGAAGAACTTTTTCTCATCAATTCTAGAATTTCAATCGAATCACTCGAAATAAATCTTTCAAATAGAAAAACTGACGGCAAAAAGTTGTAAAAAGATTTTTTTATTTTATTCACAAAGCCTATAAAAAAAGCCTGGCTGTAACAGAAACGGGAAAAAAACGGAAGAAATAATTACAAGTATATTGAAAAAAAGGAAGAAAAAAACTGGATACAAAAAAAATAAAATTACAGCCCTTATAATTTTTTTCACTGGCTCTCTTGACTTTCAAAAAAATTGCTAGATAATGGAATGAGGCGTTAAAATATCAGAATAAAAAAATAAAAAAACTGTCGTTAACCTCGAAGTTTTCAAGTTTTCTCATGGACAAGTTTCAAAAAAGGGCTTTCAGGCGGGCGATGACATGACCGACTGTTCTTTCATCTTCCTCTACATTCTGTGCACGATGACCATCCGACAGAATCTTCAGAAGGTTCAACGAAACGTCTTTAAAATGCGAACATTCGCCTTTTCCAGATGCTCGGCTTCGCGCCTTCCCGGGCCATGAACCGACAACAATCCAACTCCTGGGGCGGCCAAAACCAGCAGTTCAACTACTTCCGTTAAATATCCTCATGCACTCAACATCCGATAAATTCTGCCAAAGCAAAGTTTTATATATTCTACTTTAATAATTCCATAGTTTAGGATCAGAAACGTGTCTCAGTTCCTCTATATCTATATTTATTGTCGTGTTATATCACTCTTAAACTGACGTGTGTCTTGATCCGTGTTTTCATATCTCTTTCATGTTCAATAAAGTCGCCTTTTTGTTGGTTTTTTCGTTCATTTGTCCTATCTGGGTTTCAACACGTCCCTTGATACATTTTCACTTCAAAAAGCTCGTTTAAACTGTACTTGGTACCTTGTAAAACATTGACATAACTTTTATTCCTCCACATTTTTCAAAATTATTTTTGGGAAGGCCCTGTAGACCCGCTAGCCTCATATAAACTGAGTTATGAAAAAAAGAATCCAAAAAGGTCTTTATGCTATGAAAACACATTATTCTTCTTTAAATAATTATTTTTAGGAAGAAAGAAAGAAAAGATTCAATAAAAACACACTTTAGCTAGAATAAATAACTTTTTTTAAATGGACGAATTCTCGTTCTCAGTCACAAATCGATACCGGCTAGGTGATTCACGAAATTCATTTGTTTTTTTGTTTTTTTGCTTGCCGCGTTGCTAAATTCATCAATTTATGACATGTTTTGTTAGTTTTTTTAATTTGAGAAAGGCTTCCGAATCTTGCAAATAAATTATAATATTCGATCCTTATTCAGTTTCAATTTTTTTCACAGTGTTTACACCGTTAATTGTTTCGAAGAATCGGCTCTTTTTTAATTTATTACATAGTAAGAAAGAAGAATTTATCTTAGGCTAAGAACAAAAACGAGGAAAATGTCCCAAGAAGACGACGTCAGCAAAGAAAAAGCTCGGACGGAGAGCAGCGAGGAGCGCGATCTCGGCGTCGGAAGCTCGAAGAAGCGTCGTCACGAGGAATCGGCCCCGATCGACTTCGCCTCGACGTCTTCTGACGACATTCATTACCACTTCCCTTCCTGGGTCGCTGGTTCGTCTTTCCGAGCTGTTTACAAAACATTTTCGGGTCTAATGATACATATGAAACTTGAGTCATCTAGTTTTCTCTTCCTTCTTTTCAGTGATGCATATTATCAATTTTTTTGCTGCTGGGAAAAAGTACTTCTTGCAAAAAAAAAACGTTCTTATTACATCAACATTTGATTATCACAACTTTTCAGCGAGCTTTCAGATATCAGCAAAATATTGAGTTTGTGAAAAAAATGCTTAAATTATTCAAAATTAAAAGGGATTTTTCATCTCAAAGGAATTAATGATAGAGCTTTTTTTATCCAAGTTTTATTCATATTTTTTTCTGCATTTCTAGAAAGTTATAGCTTAATCGATTTAAAAAGAAACTTTCATCCGAGTTTATCAATCACATTTTTGTTTTGAGAACCTTTTTCGCGAGAAAATTCTCTTTTTGTTCTCCAAAGGCACCCGTTTCTCGCGGAAAACAAATGAAATTTTGGAATAATTAAAAAAAAACTGTTTTACGACGGAAAATCTGTTTCTAGGCGGTTCCCCTGCCCAATATGTCGCTCCCAGGGAACTTCTGGCCATGGCCACCGCCTTGGAAAACCTGGAGTTGATCCACGAGATCGCGGTCGACGAGAACTTCAAAATTCCCGATGTCCCCACCAATCCCATCGAGAAAGCTGTCAAGTGATTCGATCCGTCTTCGTTCCGATCTTTGAGGATTTCCTTCAGGGAGAACATGTACAAGGCGTTCTTCGATCTGCTCAGAGAGGATCTGGCCAAACAGCCGCCCGTCTACACCAACCTTCTCAGTCACATCATGGAAATCAAAATGGTATTGTTCATTCGAAGAAAAATAGGGGAAAAAAGGCAATGTGCCATAATTGCGTTTCGAAATACAAATGGGCGCGTAGTTCGGTGAATATCTTAGTGATTCTGTTGCTTTCAAACAATGGTAGATAATTTAATCGTGATCCCCGTAAAAAATCAATATTTATCGATGCTTTTAAACAATTCTTTTTAAAAATCTCTCTCAGAAAGTTTATCGAACTATTTTTGCCAATTTAAAAAAATATGAAAATTTTGCACTACCTTTTTCTCTTTTTTTAGAACTAGTTAAGCACTTTTTTTCTCTCACTAAAATGGAATTTTTCTTACTTTTTCTACTCAGTCACCAAGAAAAATAAAAAAAAGATTTCGATAATTTTTTTTTTTTGCATTCGTGCTTGAATCTCCTCTCGCTCATTGGAACCGTCTTTCTCCAATTTTAACCGGAGTCGAAAAGCTTCAGTTTTTTTTTAGTGGAAATGATGAAATTTCCGATTTTTAGTTGATTCTGAACGACTTACTCTTGCCTTCTCATCAACGGCTCCGTGAGCAAATCGAGACGATGTTCGACGAAGGTTTATCAAACAAAATATATCATTTTCCAGTTTTTTTCTTTCTAGAAAGAATCAAGGAAAGTCTCCTTGAGGAAAACTTCGATTTCAAACAAGTCGCGGGACAAATCATCGACATTTTGTTGAGAATGTGTGCTCCAGCTCGCGATGAACGAATCCACGAACTTCGTAAAGAATCCGACCCGATCAAGATTCTTAGGTTCGATGAAAACATGGAAGAAAAGTCGAAATAATCCCTTCAGTGGCCTCTTCGAGATGATCGAGTTGATGAAGAACGACCTCACCAACTATCAATTGTCGAAAAATCGCGCAGAAATTGAGAATTACAGCGCCCGATACGAACTCAGGGAGTTCCAGAAGCTCTACACAGAGTATCCTGGTTGGTTTTGAAGATTCTGAAGTAGAAGGAAGAAAGTTATTATGGTGTGAGTGTTTGGATGAGGCCAGAAGATTCCGTTTTTTTAAAATTAAGAAGTTGTTCCAGTACTTTGAAACTTTTATTTATTCTTCATTTTAAATTCTCTGCTGAATCATGGAATAATTGAAGAGTTGTTTGTCGGTTTGCGATACTGTCGTTGATCAAGCGTAGACGGCGCGTAGAGCATCTCGCCTCTCTTTTGATAATAGTAGAAGACTTTTTGAGCGTTTCCGACGATCACTGCTTCTCCATGATTCAGTACAATTCAGTACAAAACTCGCAAAAGAAAAAAAACTTAAAAAAACTATTTCAGCCCAAATAAATACACTTTTACAGAAGTTTTTCAGCTGCAGTATCGATTCAAAAAATTAAAAAAAAAATTCTTTTCAGACGGCCCTCCCAAAGTCCGCGAATGGATCTGCGAATCCTACGAACTGATGGAGAAAGTCGAGAAGACGGAGGAGCAAGAGATTCAGGCGAAACGTGAACGGCGCGACAACGAGATCGACGAACAGTTGCTGATCGACGTCACCAGCAAGGGATTCGTCACGTGAGCTCGAGAATCCGTTTTGGATCATTAAATGTAGATAGAAATTGGTTTCCTGGTGATAACTAGTCACAAACTAGTTTTCAAAGTTGGAAATTAAGTCAGATAAACAGATAAAAGAAGGGAAGCCTTTTAAAAAACAAAATAGTTCCAAACCAAATTTTCTATTCAGTAGATTTAGGGTTTTTTCTGAAGTTAGAACAAGTTCTAATCACTTTTCATAATGAAAAAAATTATACCTGAGAACTATTTCACTTTAGAATATTTGCATAGCTTTTTTTCTCGACATATATGAATGCAAAAAAAATTATGAATTTATAGATGTTTTTTGGATCTAGTTTTTTTTTTCCAATGTACCTTCAAATTTAAAAGGACAGTTGAGTAGGAAATTGAGTAGGAGGGAAAAAAATCGCGAATAAAACAGCTAAGAACTTAATGGAGATTGTGAAATCTATTAAAACATACAACTGCAGAATGAACATGAAATTGATCTTTAGTCGCGAATTCGATGCATTTAGATTGGTTCAAAGCGAGAACCCAGATCCGTTTCCCGAGACCTTGTCCTTGGATCGAGGCCGAATCTCGCGGCTCTCGGAGAAATTCCTTCAGATAATCATCACTGCTTCTTCCGTTCTGGTGACCTGTGGCGTCGCTGGACGTCAAGTACTTCTGTTTCCAGAAACCTCATTTATCGTTCCTTTTCCAGATTGCTGAAAGCGAAGATTTCAAAACGACCCTGAAGAATCATCTCATCGTCATTGCCAACGACATCGATGAAAAGTTGGTATTAGCGAGAGAACAGATTTATTAATGAAATAGCCTTTGTACCACGACTTTAAATTTCACCGAACGAGATTCCACTGCGTACGGTCTCGAAGCGTCTTTGTCTTTGCGTTTCTCGGTCGCGCTTTGAATTTATTATCATTGCTGATGGATAGACTGTTTCATTGGGGACACGTGAAAGTCTAGCACTGAAACAGAAGAAAAAGTTGAAAGCGCGACCGAGTTTCGCAAAGGCGAAGACGCTTCGCCGTCGTGCGCAGCGGAAAAGCGGAATGTCGTTTGGTAAAATTCCAAGTCATGGCAAACATACTACACTTTGAAGTTTCTGGAGTTTCTGATCGTTTTACTGGATTTTCGTAGAAATCTGGTGGAGAAACTCGAGGCGATGGGGGAGCAGTGTGCCAAGGAAGCTCATGACACGGCTTCGAAGGTCGACGTCGTCTGGGACGAGGATAAGACCAAAGCCGTCAAACATCAGATATCGGCACTTGCCGACGAGGACAACCCCGTTCGCGCCATCGTTTGTCCGTTTTCCTTCTGATCTTCTGAATCTCAGCTGCTTTTGCTTCTGTCCTCGATAATCTTTGAAAAAAAGTTTTTTTCAATGTGGGTTTCAGTCAAACGAGTCTCTGAATTCGTCGAATCTATCCTTCGAAGTCCGACGATGGTTCCGAACCGCCTTCTTCCAGGACTTTCCATCGTTCAGAACGAACTTTTCGCCTTTACCGCGAAGTTTGTCCACCTTTACTTTCATCAGGAATAGTTGTTTTTCAGATACCTGCGTCTTTGCGAGCACAACCGCCGCTCGTACAACAGCTTATACTACGAGATTCTGTACAAGATCGCCGACGACATCGTCGTCGAAGCGGCGTCGGTCAGCGCGACTGTGGACGCGGAGGAAGTGAAGCAGGATCTGGACGAGGTCGCCGAGGAAGCCGAGGGAGAGTTCTTCGATGGCTCTTCGAACGACGCCGCGAGCTCTGAGGATCCTCAGGATGTCGGGTTGCCCGATTTGCTGTGAGCTTCTCCGAAACTTCTTGTGATTGTTGGAAACGCGGTACGTTTCAGGTTTCAGATATGTATTTGTTTATTCAGAACCACACTTCTTGATATTCATTCGATTTTCTCACAATTGCACCCGTAAAAAATTTCTGCTGCCAACTTATTCCATTTTGACTTTCGCCATTCCTTTTTCCGGATGTTCTCGACTTTTTTATATGCATAGATTTTTGTTTTTGCAATCGTTTCAGACATTTCAGGTCTCATGATAACGGAACTGTTAGGCCGAAATGATTTCTAATCGCTTCTTGCAAAAATGTTGTTTCTTAGTAATTAATTCCTGTATATGTCAACTCTGCCTTCAACACTGTTAACGAAGTTTTTATTTATCAGCATTATCCAACTTTTTGAGATCTCTCCTTTCCATAGATTCTTACGAAAGATTGTAATTCCTTGGCACCGATAAATGTACTTTCATTACCGAACTCAGCAAAAACCGCAACTTTTCATGCAAAAATCTCGTCGTTCGCTCAAGGCGTAGAAGGTCGTGTGGCAGAAGCCGTTGTTCACCCATGCCGAGCAGCTGAAAATTGGATGCAGTTGTCACGAGCAAGATGTAACAAACTCTTGGAAGGCGTCCCGACATCGGTCCGCCTCGGGAAGTCGGGAGAAATTCTCGCATTTTCCGCACGTCAGCGCGCATTTGTTCATCATCATCTTCCAATCATAACTTTCATTTCCATTTCATTCATCATCGAAATTCAAAATAGCCGTGAGCGAGTGAAGGATAACTAATTTTTGGATTGTCAGGGATAACTTCATGTCGCGAAAATTACTCAAAACACGGCATGACTTTTTTTTTCATTTTTTGCTTTGGAAACCGTTAGAGAATCTTCAAATAACCAACATTTTCATAGAAGTCGTGGTCGCAGAGATGCTTCCACTGGGGACATTTCCCGTGTTGATCAAAACATCGAGTCGCTTCACCTAGATCTGAGTTTTCTGATTCTTCCAGTTTGAAATAACAGACTAAAGTTTCGAACCTTCATCGAGAGTTGTGCTTTCTAGTGAATTGTTGGTGGTGTCTGGAAGAAAGTTTTCTGTGGTGCTACCTAAAAGAAAATTTTCTCATAAATTTTGGAAAAAATTTCAACTGGTTCAAGGTGCCTTGGCCTCTTGCAAGATCGATGAAATCTCGTAAAAATAGTTCTAAAAAGCGCAGAACGTATACTGTATTTTTTCTATGAATGTAAGGTGAATGAAAATAACTTGCCTTCATTTTTATCAGAAGCGGAGGTCTCTTGAGGTTTTGTGGACCCTATTGGAGTCGTTGTCAAGACTGTGTTCTCTGTGGATGGAGAAACTGTCGTCGATTTCTTTCCAAAAAACGGCCACCTCATTTTGGAGTTTTCTTGGACTGGGGTTAAAATTTCAGTAATTTTGTCAAGCTCAGAAGAAATCACAAGACCGGAGATAAACTGAAGAATTAGTAGAACTGCCTCGACTTTGGAAAGCATTACGATCAGACTTGTCGGCTTTTTTTCGCTTTTATAGTTTGGTTGAGTTATGCCGGCTGCGCAAATGTTTTTCGTGCTTGTAATCGTACCTGAGCAATATTTGAAGCTTGTTTTCTCTTTGTTTAACGGAGATCAAGGAGATGAAAGTTTTTAAAATTAATCCTGTTCCGATTTTTTCTATCAATTAATGCGATTTGATTTTTTTTCAAAATCAACTTTTTTCTTCAAAAAAAAGCCACACGCACGGATAGAACTTGAAATATTTATTAGCATCTTTTAAAAAACCGTCGTACTGTTCTTGTCAAAATGAACCCGTTTTTCCAAATATTTCACCATTTTCTCATCGATTGGGACTGTGAGGTAAACCACTCACTGGTCGACTAGGTGAAATGGAAATGAAACAGAACAAAAAAACATTTACAAAATATATACAGAGGAGATAGAGGTAGAGTTCAGCTGGCTGCCAAGACGAAAGAATCCGTTTCGGAGTTGCCAGGGATACATTCGTAGAAGCGGTTTAGTAGACGAACGTAGGGTCGGGCACGATCGCCCAAACCGCTCTGAAACAATAAAAAATGTTGTTTTTTATGTATTTACAATCAGACCTTGAGAGCGTTGCTCAAGTAGGCAAGAGAAATCTCGTTTTCGCGATCCCACCGGAAGTTCTGACCGCCCAAGCCGGCATGGCCCACGAGCTTGGAGTGGATCTTCTAGAAATATTCTTTGAAGAGAGAAACAACGAAGAAGCGTACTCCGGGAACGACGACGTCAACTACAGTGGTGCCACGGCCTCGAGTGACACAGGCGTTGGTCACGACGTCCCGCCACTTGACCAGCGGCTCGTTGAGCAATCGAAGAGTCTCCTTGAACATGATTTTCAGAATTCAACTCCGTAGTTTGAGATAGTAGAAAAAAAGCAAAGCTCTAAATTTGAAAAAAAAAAACTCTTGTTTTCAAACTATCTTCATAACGACATCTCTGAACTACATACCACATACATTCACATTCACTAAAAGGAAAAATAGAAATTTCTAGAGCAATTTAAAATTGGAGCTTTCAACGACAAAGCAGCGTAGTATTGCGGTCTCTACGCACAAAAAAGGCAGTTTCGAAAGTCGAAAGTTTCTTTATTAGCGCTAAAAACTTTCTTCTTTGGAACTGTCCAATTAAAATCACAGCAATAAGACGATCCGAACAATCCCTGACATAATATAACATCCAAAACGCTACAAAATCCCACTTTCCTGACAAGTTTCAGACTTCCTACCAGTGCTCCCCCAGAACTAACCTCACTGACGATGCTTCCGTCGATCACGAGCTGAGCCAGTCGAGCCATGTCCCTGGCGGTCCCGATGGCCAACGCCGCCGTCTGTTCCAACGCGTACATCTCCGGATTGTTCAAAGTCACTTTCTGTAACTTCTCTTTCAATCTCTCTTTTCTCTCTTCTAAACAACATTTCTATCAGTTGATTAAGTTGATCAACCCGATAGTTGGCAAAGATCATCAAGCGCGAAAAAAGGTGCGATTGGAAATGAGTTAGGTTTTCTTCACGTTGAATTTTTCTTTTATTGACGAAACTTATTTGAAAGAAACCTACTCGGATGGTCTGCATCCAAGAAGGATTGGTTGCAACGTTGTAAGTGAGTCCTCTGCACATCATTTGCTTCGCCCAGAACGGGTAGTCCACCACTTCTGAAATTCAAGAGTTTTCCTGAACAGAGGCCATGAAAAAACCCGGGTCCTCGATATATTCTTCAATTCGTTCCAAGACCGAGGAAGGAGTTATTCTGGCGACGCGCCAAGCGTGCTCCAATGGCAATCCGATGTGGATGTCGAGGTCTGGAACGGTTTTTTTTTCTTCTTAAAAGCAGAATATCGAGCATTATTTTTCTGAGAACCTTGTTAGACTCAGTGGCTGAAATTCTTGTTTTAAAACATTGAGGATCTGGTTCAAAATACTTTGGTAGGAAATTCAGCGTCTCGGAAAAAAAAATAATTATCTGCCAAGCGCCATAGGATACCGGAAAAATACGGTCGAAAATGTACAGGAAATGCTTGGAAGCTATTTTTCATTCAAAAATTTTAATTTGAAAACTTATTATGATATTATCACCACCAGTATCACAGGTAAAACAAATTTTTCCACAGAAACTCAGATGAAAAAAAAGTTTTTAATAACTTCGTTCACCCCTTCGAAAGGTCTATAAATTATCAAAGATTCAACCTGAAAAAGTTTTGGTAGCCCTTTTTAGGTCCGTAAGAAGTAAACTTTAACCAAAGCTAGTTACATTTTTAAGAAATCATCCCGCAGCCGTTCCGCGACCCGACCATTCTAAATGCGGCAAAAGCTTTTCAAGTCGTTTCAAAAAAAGAACACCTTCCCACAAAGGGTCGACTAACTGTGCTTCTCGGCAATTTCTTCTCGGAAGAAGCTTCCGATGCTCCGCTTCTTAGGATCAGCACGTCTGACGATCTGGTCGACCAGCCAGCCGTAGGAAAAGCAATGATATCCGACTTTTGTGCCGGGTGTCCACACTGGCGTCTGAAGTTTCCTTACTTCCAAAAAAAAGAAAATTCCCACTTGATTCTCTAGGATTTTTGACATCCTGACATGATCTCTGGCGTCTTCCCAACTCAACTTGGAATCGATTTTTGGCAAACCAGCCTGAACTCAAACAAAAAGACATGCCGACATCAAAGACAGACTTACCGTGTGTGTCATTATCATTTCTACTGTAACAGCTTCTTTGCCGTTTTTGGCAAACTCGGGCCAAAAATCACAAACTCTGTCTTCATAACGAATCAACTTTTGATCAACGAGTTTGGCTATGCAAATCGCCGCCAAAGCCTGGAAAATGAAAAACTTGTACGATGCACTTCTTTTTATTATATAGCTCTCTTTTTACAATACACAATGCGTTCACGGAAAGTTATTAGTGGTTTATTGAAAAGACTAATTACCAACAGTTAAAAAATAGAGGTATCTTAGGCCTCAAAGACTCTGAACCAATCAAAACCTTCCGAACGAGTAGTTCTCTTAAGCGAAAAATCCTCAAATAGCCATTGAAATAAATCACTAGGCAAAAAGTTGACTGGAGCGCTGACAGGTTGAAAAATATCTACTTTGTAGGTGAATAATTATCTTTTTTACTAACTTTCGCCGAAATTTATATGCATTTTTTAATTTTGGGATTAAAATATTTTTCTCCATTTTCCCGGAAATGGGCTGAAGAGTCTCACCTTGCTAGAGCTGAAAGTGATTTGCATCGTGTCTTTGAACCAGAAACGTTCGGCTTCTCTGTCCGCATAGCCGCCCCAGACGTCGACGACGCAACGACCGCGGTAGAAGGCGCAGAAAGCCGCGCCGTCTCTCTCGACTCCTTTCTCGAAGTTCCGTCTGAATCAAGAACAATCTTTAGATCTACAAATGAAATAACTTCCGATTAAAAATCAGTTTGAATCGGATTTTGACTTCAGGCGGGCTCAAGAAAGACTCGGTAACAAAAACCGGCCGTTTCTGAGCACAGTTCACGGAATCCCTTGAAATTTCTGACGCTCACTATAAATGCCCCGACGTGTCCGATTCTTGTCCGGTTTTAGTTACCAAATAAAAAAAACTATCGATTTGAAGTCTAGGATGGAAAGGATTTTTCGCCACCCCCTCTGACTTGTCCGTGCTTTTTTTTTCGCTTAACGGTGTAACCAATAATCTTTTTATTTAAATCAAGCTCACCTTCAACTTCAAAATAGAAGCCAAATTGGAAGATAATAAAACTCCAAAGACGTCAACTTCAAGATTTCAAGAGCTCTTTGAGTCACGAAAAATAATAAAACGAAGGACCAACCGGAACTCTCGGAGAACTGGCGAGAAGGCGGGATCGACGAATCCGTCGACGAAGACTTGCCTTCGTCGGGTGTTCTTGTAGGCGAAGATGAAGGCAGCAATAATCGCCGCGACGAGCCAAAAAAGCCAGGCGAAAACGACGCGAAAAAACGTCGTCACAATGTTCAAAACCATTTTCAAAGCCACCTGTAGAGATAACCGGGTAACAGAGAGCACAACAAAACAAAAAGATCGAGAGACGTCAGAAACCTTCGGACCTTCCTTGAACGATGAGAAAAACAGGTATACAATACTTGATTATTAAAGGAAGGGCATTCCAGGATGAACATTTTTATAAAAAATAATTTATTTGAAAGAAGTTTTGAAGCAGCTACCAGAAGTTTAAACCAAATTCAAACTCTCCACTGGAGTCAGTTCTTTTTTGTTCAAAGCTGACCCAATAAAAAGTCTGACTAGCGAAACATTTTTACAGGAAAGAATAAAAAAAAGCCGAAAAAAATTGGAGTTGTGAGTCAAAACAAACATTTTCGTGTTTTATGAGGCGCTGTTGACTTTCGATGCCATTTGGTAAAGACTGTTTGGAATGGTCCAACTGCAAAGTTCTGAAGAAATTGAAAGCTTTGAAAAGTTTAACTTTTGGAAAAAAATTTTATACATCGACATTTTAGAAGACCTAGAAAATCAGAAGAGAATTATTTCAATGGAACTGTATTTGATAAAAAAAAACACATGAAGGCCTTTTTAACAATTAATACCATATTTTTTGTTTCTAATTCTTTCTTAAAATTGGAAAGAGCCAAAAACTAGAATCCAACGGGGCTACGGGAAACCAACAATGAACGTCTCCGTCGTCAAGAGTCCATGAATAATGTGTTTCTTCAGTGGCAACGTAACACTTTGCACGTGGAGCTTGTAATTAAAATCACAACAAACGGAAAAAAAACACGCGATTCTGAAAAGCGAGCTTCAGCTTCAATACTTAAAAAAAGCGTTTGCCGAGTGCTTCCTTCTATTTTTTTTTCAGCTATTTCGAGAAGCCGATGTCTTCCTTTACTTCAGTTATTAATAACAAATATACAAAAATTGATAGAAGAAATCGTTCCAGAAGCTACAGAACGTCAGAAATTAGAAAACTCAGTAAACACGTAGAGAAAGAATAGCTCTTCGGAGAAAATATTCGTGTAAGCAACGAATATTTGCCCAGGCCGGCTGTGAACTCGAAAAAAAACTTTCCAGTCAGCATCCAAAGGAAACTGTTTTTGTTGCCGAACCTTCTTGACTCCTTTTACTGCACTAGGAAGTCCATTCACATATTTATTTTCAAAGAATCTAACAAATCACACGATACATTATATGACAATCTGTTCAAACAATTTTTTTCTGAGTTTTTAAAAGCGCAGAAGTCTTACATGAAATAAGGCAAAGATAAAAAATATCTTTCGAAAAAACCATCAAGGATCTTTGAAAAATGTTAATCATAGAAAAAAAAATGAACAACAAATAAAGCACAAAAACTGACCCGGTGATAACAGACCTGAATGGCTGCGAATCAAAAACCAAAAAATAAAAAGTTCGTTTTCGTTTGTACCTGATTTTTGAAAAAAAGAATTGAAATCACGGCAAAACAACATCGTAAATGGCTTTCAGAAGTCGTTTGTAAGTTCTCGCTGCGTCTCCGAATCCAACCTGAAAAAATATTAATTTCTATAAAGTTCGTGCAGTAGAAAACATAAAAAAGATTTTTTTTTTAATTCCATCAATTTTATTTTCAAAGAGCTTTTGGGATACAGAGTAAAGTCAAAAAGAAAAACCAAAAATCTCTAAATATTCTAGGAACTTCAAAAATCCTTCTTTTTGGTTTTCTAGCTTTTTCAACAGAAGGTATAGCAGTTACTGCTTCAAAAATTTTTTTCGAAAAACTATACGATTGAGGAAAAAAAAATCTTCGAAAACCTTAAGGCCATTGCTCAGATAGGCGATCGTGACGTCATTCTCGAAATCCGTCCTTATATTTTGCCCTCCATAGCCGGCGTGTCCATACAACTTTATTTTTCTCTGAAAAATCGTCGAAATTCTTTCGAAGGTTCCAGAAGATCCAATACCCCGTTATGATGGATTTCATTCATCATGAAGCCTTGTCCTCGGGCCACAGTCACTCCCGAGATGACGTCAGTCTTCGCTTCGAAGTTGCTCAAGAGATTTTTGAGTCCTTTGTCGCTCAGAAGTTTGCCGGTTCTGAAGTAAACACATACTTCAAAAATTAACGGTCTTTTCATTTCTGGAGAAATAGAAAAATGACTCGAGTATTTTGTCAGAAGTTTCTCACTGGGTGTTCAAGGAGCACAGAAATTGATCACAAAACTCGGGAATGAGGGGGAAAAAAGGTCGAAAAGCTATTCATAGTGTTCTTTTGATAGAGACAAGGTTCCGAGGGAGCGAACCTCAAAAGTTCGAAGACTTGTGCCATGCTTCTGGCTGTGCCGAGGCCGAGGACGCCGACTTGTTCCAGTGCCTGGATTTCAGGATTGTTCAGTGTCGTCGTCTGAAAAAATGCATCGAACTGATTTTTTTGAATGAAGAAAATGAAATATTAGAAGAAAAAAAAAACCAAAAGTTAGTCTTACTGAAATCTTCGCATGAGCTTTTTCTTTTTTCAAAACCATTTTTCTTTACGCCGGAGAATTCTCATGGGCGGACCACTTTTTAAGGCGGCCAATACCTCCTCCCAAGCCTTCCTAAATTAACATCTGTACTACCTCCTAAAGCTAAAGTCTTTTTCTAATTTGTTCCAATACTATCTTCAGAGCTTAAAACTTATTTTATACCTTATTTTTCTAATTTTGCAAGTCAACCCCTCCTCATGGACTAACTGAGTTTCAGACTTGCTCGCGTATTTTCTCAACAAAACCTGGAAAAAAAATGAAGAAAATCAACAGTTTCCTACCTCAACAAACTTGAGCCACGGAGTGGACTGCAGTACTTTAGTCAGGGATCCATTGCTGAACCTATCCTTCAAATATCTGCAAAATTCTTTCATGAAAGGTATATTTGAATTGTTCACCCAAGGATATTGTGATCTTTCGGATCGTGAATGAATTCCTCCAAAGCGTCCAAAAAAGTCGGAGTCGTGATCCGAGCCACTCTTCGTTGTTCACAAGGCGGCAATCCGATGTGGAAATCGACGCCTTCAACTTTATTTCTTGCAATTCGACTTCTACGGAACTGACCATATTTTTCAGCGATCTCCTCTCGGAAATAAGTCCCGACAGTTCTTCGCTTGGGATCAGTCCGACGGACGATCGCGTCGACCAGCCATCCGAAGGTCACGGCGTGGTAGCCGATCTCCTCTCCCGGAGGCCAGTTTGGCTTCTGGAAATTTCAAGTTTAATCCAAAAAGAGGATGCGGGAAAGTATGTTCATAGGTTCATCGCCACTTTTTACAATAAAAATACATGAGAAAAGTAAAAAAAAAATTCTCAAATAAGGTAAGGATTCACTTAGATCTCTACTGTTTGAGTTAAGTTCAAAAGAGCTTTGAAACAATGAAAGAAACTATATCTCGGTCATTTTGGAGAAGAATTCCTGTTCCAGTCAGAACTGTACCTGTTTGGCGAGGAACTCGTCAATCAACTCGGGATCCTCCGCTAATTCTTTCGAAATGGGATGGTCAGTATAAGCGAGTCCTGCTTTGTGGCCGATCAGCCATCGTACAGTCACATTCTGCTTGCCGTTCTGGCCGAACTCCGGCCAATGCTTCGTGACCAAGTCGTCGTAGGCCAAATGACCTCGGTCCACCAGCTGAGCAACGACAATGGCGCCCATCGCCTGAAACTGAAGTCCCCATGGATCTTCCGGTTGCGGGACCTTGCTGCAGGATAAGACGACGTTGAGGGTGTCGTTCTTCCAGAATCGCCGCGTCTCCTTGTCCGCCCAGCCGCCCCAGATGTCGACGACTTTCCGACCGCCGACGTAGACCACCAAAGAACCTCCGCCGCGCTCCCAGCCGTCCGCCAGATTGTTCCTGGGATTCTTGAAATTGATCTTTTCTCGACATTTTTCTCTAAATTCTTTTCAAGCTTCAAGGAATTCGACGGGACTTCAAAAGGGTCTACGTCGACTTTGGTCAGTTTTTTTTTATAACACTTCTAGATACAATCGAGCTCAAGTCATTTCAGATCTGACGAGGAGCTTGAAACCTATCATTCATTCCTATTAATTAAAATTTTAGTCTGTAACTGAATCATCATACTATTTTCACAAATCAATTCAAAAATCTAACCTGAGAGCCTCAAAAACAGATCGAAATGATTCTTCGAAGGATCCGTCGATGTGGACGTCTTTCACAGGAACCCTGTTCCTGACAGTAAGTAGTACTCCGTAAATCAACACTGCCACAGCGCCGATGATTTTAAATTCCATTTCTTGAAGCTGAAATTTTCCCTTTGTGTTGATAAATTTATTACGGTACGGATAAGACTGAAAAATGTAAAAAAAACCGGGGGAACGGAAAAAAGTACATTGTGGGGTCAGGAATAGTCTTGGTACAACAAGGGAGACTGTCAACACCCGCGAAGAATTCCAGGGAGCAACAAGAATGCGAAATAAACTAGCTCCGATCACTGAATTTGGGGAGAGTGGAAAGAAAAAAGAGTGAGGAGTCATACGAGAAGTTAGAATTGAACTCTTTGACTAGTCTATCGGAACCTAAATTTCGAAACTAAGCTTGTGAATTATAATCAAGAAAAAAAGAATCATTGGAAGAAAAATGAGGTGGATTCAATTATGAGCAGGCTGTTTTTCGTCTTCGTAGGTCGCTCCAAATATGGTGACACCTGCGACGAGGGCCGTCACTGTGAAAAACTGCGCCATGATGCGATACTGCATCATTTTCTGAGCGCCGAGTTTGTCGCCGAGGAACGACGATCTGAATTTTCCGGAAAAATCGACATTCGACTCTCAGTTTTTTTTTAAAGCATCAACATCTAGATACAAAAAAATCGAAAAAGTTTTTTTATAAGTTTCTGAGAAAAAAACCTCGCGGAGCTAGATATTTAGATATGATAGATATTTTTTTGGCCTTTTTAACGGCAAGATTTTTTTCGAAGATTAAATATTTTTTTAAATTTGAAAAACAAGAATCTAAAAAAATAGCAATATACAACATATTATTTTTTTACTGACACAACAAAAAAACTAAGACTTTTTCACTTTTTGAAGTGGAATGATTATTTTTTTAACTTTTTATGCATTCGAAAAAAAATACTATTTTTTTGTTGGCTCACGAATATTTACAAAACACCTGCCACTGCTCACAATCTTTTTCTCAAAAAACTTAAGAGAAATATTTCGAAATACACGAATTAAACCGTTTTTTGAATGTTTAAAAAACTGATAAAAAGCTAAATTTATCCAAAAGCGAAAATCCGGGCTCAGAAAGCTTTCAGAGGAAGCAAAAACATAAGCAAAAAAAAGAAGATGAAAACTCCAAGAACCAACAAAACAATCATCAGAGAACGGAATCTGCCTCAAGAAGAACGTTCGATAATGAATCGGTAAACAAGAAGAATCGCCGTGGAAGGACTGGGAAAGGGACAAAGAATCCATAATGAAGGGTCAGTGGTTCGCAATCGTTGGTTCTTTGGTCGCCAAAGGCCCGCCTACAAGAAACACACGTTCAGGGGTCACGGCCGACGTCGCTTCGGCCTTTGCCAAAATTTAAAATGCACCTCTCGCCTATTAACACGAAATGTTTGTTTCCATCAAACAGCGCATGCAATACAAATATTTTGACAATACAGTTTTAAATGTTTCCACTTGAAGAAAGTATATATATTCATAAGCCGTTTGAGCAAAACAATAAAAAAGCACAAAAGCCTCGAAAATTTACTCAAAAATTTTTTTCCAGAGTTTTCAAAATAAAATTAGCGGACCAAAAGTTATATAACCTCCAAATACCACAAAGCAATTCGTTAATATCAAGTTTTTGATACATTTATATTCTCTTCTTCTTTTTTAAAAAAACTCATAAAATAAACATTATCGAAAAAAATTTTTTTACCTCAGAAAGTGAACAAGAACAATATTATTTAAGTTAATGGGAGCAATTGTATAAATTTCAAATTTCTGGCTTGAATCTAAAGAGAACAGTAAATGAACTAACTATCAGGGAGTATCAAGGTGGAAAAACTTTTGTACAATTGAAACTTTACACCCGCAAAAGATAACAAATTAACAAATTTAACAAAATAAAATTATGAAATCATCTAACAGTTCCGAAGGTAGTCATCGTAGGCGACGGGATAGGTTCTGGCAGCGGAAATGGCAAAGTTTCTGTCTGAAGAGTCGAAGAACGTCTCCAGCTTGATGACGTCGCAGTCGGCGTCCAGATTAGTTCCATCCGCTGATTCATAATTCGCCCGTCCCAACTTCTTCAGAAACTCGTGTCTTGTGCGGATCGAGCTGTAATTCGATCTCAAAGAAATCGGATGAGTAGAGATGGTCGCGTTGGACATTTTCATGACGCCAATCAAGTACCGGTAGTTCCTCAGAACGGCCTTTGGATCCATCATGAAGACTCTCGGGTCAGTGAAGAGAATCCTTTTGACTTCTTGGTGACTGAAGAGAAGTTCCTTTCCCAGCATCTGGAGCATCCTCTGAAGTGGACCAATCCCAAACATGACGATCCGCGGCTCCTTCACAATCAGTTCGCGGACTTCTTTCGCCTTCAGCCTGAATTCCTTTTGGATCCAGCCCAGACGGGAATCGATCAACTCGACTTCGCAGTTCAGCCAGAATCTATAGCCCTTCACGACCGTTTTGACTTCTGTGGGAGTGAATTTCTTCACCTCGAGATAATTGGTGCGGATCTTCATATCCTTGAGTTCTTGAAGCAGAAAGTACGGGTTCCTGGTGAGATATTCGCCAATATCCGCAGCTTCGAAGCCGATCGACTCGAGCCAGTTCAACTTCTCCTTGACTTCGTTGGGTTGAAGCTTCAGCAAGTGACGGCCGACGTTGGTAGTCGTCTCGATCTCGAAAAGATCAACTCCTAGATCGATGAGTGTCCGCAAAAGAGGGAAATGGTTGACGAAAGGCGTCAAGCTGTGGGAATGGACGGGTGGAAGTTGGCTGGCGTCGAATTTGTGCGGATTTTCAGGAGAAGGAGGCTGGTCAAAAGAAGAACTGGCGAATTCGTCTCCATCGTAACTGATCTCACGGAAAGTCGCTTTTCCTGTTTCTTTTTTCAATTTCGAAGCTTCGGCAATCATTTTCGGCGTGACCGGAGAAGTTTGGGCGCTTTCAGAAGGCACCAAATCAACGTTTTCAATAAGCTTTTCCTGCACTTCTCTGTTTTCCTCCTCAACGGAGAGCGCCTTTTGGAACTGAGCGTCGGGAATCGTTTCCGTCGCTTCTTCGGGTGGTTTCTGTACTTTTCTCATCTGTCGCGATGCGATCCGATTCGGTCGGTCGAGTAGAGAAATCCAACGCGCAGACGAGTTCATGACTCTCAAACAAGGCTAATTAATCCTTGTTTTTTTCTCAAAATAATTCTAAAGAAACTTAATGAGAGATGAAAGTCAACAATCAATATTAATTATGTTCGAAATTGTGAAATGCTACGGTTTTTTGTGAGCAGTGGTCAGATCTGAGCTATTTTTTCGTGAAAAGTCTTGTACCTGAACATGCCGAGAAGAGCGGCTGTCGTGAGACCCAAGCCGATGATGACGCCGGGATTGCTCGTCGCGTTGCTCAGAACTCCCGATTTCTTATGTCCGCCGATTTCCTTGCCAGGCGAATAGGCAATGTCTGTCGGGATCGCTGGCACCTAGAAATTGAAGCTTTTTGAGAAGTTCGCGCTATAAACTTGGAGTTTGGGAAAAATAATTTTTTAAAGACAGGAAGAATGGGCTTAAGAAAAATGAATTTGAAAAGTTTCACCACCATTTGGCAAAATACGTCGGCCATGTGAACGAAATCAGTTCAGACTCCTGTTTTTTTTTTCATTTTACATTAGCTTTTTCGATAATTTTTCCTAATTGGAACAATGAGAACTTCTACATGATAAATGTTCAAGGCTACTCCGTCATTTTTGGTTTTTGAAATGTGAAAATCACTAATTATTGTTACAAAAAAGTTGAAAACGCTTGTTATGAAGAAGAATTTTTTTTCGTTTCTCTTTTATTCCACACATTTGAATGTATAGCTTATATTTTTATCATTTTTTTCGTAAATTAATACTGAGTAATCTCAAATAAATATTCTTAGCTTATCTTTTTTGATCCATTTTAAACGCCGTTCACAATTAGCTTGAAACAAAAACCTGTCAACACACTTTCTTTCTAATAAAGTGAGGACTTTATTCTAATATTGTCACAATCTGGATAGTGACAAAGGAAGAACACAGGAAGCAAAAAACTTGAAAAAAACTCTCACCCCACTATATCTATCCTGATTGTCCATTGTTCGGGCCAATTGTTCAGCCGACAGATTTTGCTTTTTCCACTCGTAAGAGCCTTTCTTTGGCAACTGAAAATTGATCAATTAAAGATGTCACGTTTTGAAAACGCTTGCAACCGACCTCTGGCGGTTCTTGGACGCCGGCCGCTGACATCAAAACTTTCCGAAAGATGCCCATAGTGTTTCTGTCAAAAATTAACACTATTTCTATTTTCAACAATAAAAAAGATATAGCCGTCCTTGAAAGGATTTGTACAAAAACAAGGATAAAAGACAATAATGGATCTAATAATTTATTAACAATTACCTGTACAAATGAAAATAACGGAAGAAAGGGGTAATTTACAAGAATAAAGGTTCTAGTGGGATGAGGAAATCGTGAGCGATTTACATTTTGGTGACGACGACGCCGGCCTTTCGGTCACGGTCGATTCTCGCGAAATTGAGCCTTTCGCTGATGAAAAAGATCGTGAAGAAGACGGAAGTCGCGACGACAATGAAGACGACGCGCATCCGATCGTGCATTCGGTTCATCGTTCCGTTGCTGCGAAATGGGGGATTTTGAGGCACAGTAAGAGCAGTTTTGTTCACTTTATAAAGTCCCTAGGTGCCTGGTGCAATATTTCCAGCATTGTTTAGCATCTCGGAATAATAAATTGGGATATTTCATCAAATGTCTTCTATAAGCTTCTAAAAAGCCTAAAATTTTCGCGACAACTTTGGATTATCATCTCCACAAGAAAAGCAGGGGAGATGATCTACACGCCGATCTTGATCAACGACAGTTTCGTGAACCGGTGAAAAAAACTTTAATTATTCTATTATTAAGCAGAGAATGTTCTATGTATACTGAATAAATTTGAAAGTTGCAAGAAATACTAAAAAATAACCTGATCGAAGTACAGAAATATTCTTTAATCTACTTTTTGGAAAAGCAGATCACTTGCATTTTCGATAAAGACCGAAATTCGTGAGAAGAAAAGCTGAAAATAGGTCTTTTTCTGGTTCTTCTACAATTTTAATCATGAAACCCCCCTGGCAATGAAAAGCTGAATTTTAAAGAATTAGTGAAAAAACTATGCAAAGAAAAATAAAACCAACTGGACATAAGTCGGAATATCAGCCTGTGATTTGTAGAGCCGGGTGATGACCAAAAATCTTCGCTGCCATTTCGTTGGAGTTTGGCCGGAATCTGAAAAAAGTTCAATGGGAAAATATCACTATTTCAATATTTCAATTCAAAGTTTGTAATGAAAAAAAAATGACCAGCATCAGCGGCGCCTTGAAACCGCGAATCTTGGACGGTTTTCTTGTGGTCCTGCGTCGTCGCGTACTGAGTTCCACTTTCGGTTTCCCGTTTCTAAAACTGACAATTTTTTCTTAATTCATTTCAAATGTTTCCATTTTCTTTTATTTATGACTGATCTCGAACTTTTATGTTGTAGAAGTTATAAAATATTTATGCGTGGAGAGTGAGGATTATTTTATAAAAAAATAATGATAAGAAGACGCTCAAAAAGTCTCAAGATGATAAAATTAAGAAAAAAATTATATCTTTTTCAGTTTTTATTTAATAGTAAGGCTGTGTTACATTATTGGTTTCGCATTGGATAAACTTCTTCCGACCGTTTCTTTTGGTTATTGACTTTTCTGAAACCATTCCCTGACCGCAAAAAAGGGTTATATTTTTCAATCCAAAAAACGATTAAATAATGGAAATCAAATTTCGCTCACCTTCAAATTCAAAAAAAAAGTATTTCGAGTGTTTTTGCACCTCTTACTAACTAACGAAAAAGACTCGGTGATATTTTTTTTGTCCATGTGCATGAAATTCTAATTTTTGCAACGATTTCTCCTTACTTTCATACATGAATTATATCCTAATTTCAAAATAAGCCCAAAAAATAAAGAAAAAAACCTTCTGAGCGAGTTTTTTTGGCCGAGAGGGTCGAACTGGTTGGCCAAAGAGCGTCTTGCTTGACACAAAACTGACGACGACGATGTTGAAACTAATGCACGACAGCCAATCATTCCTATCTGAAACAGAAACGAATTAAAACTGATAGACAAGTAAAAGACATTCGCGTTTCACAATTCAAAAAATCGGAAGTCAATTGGAAGAGTTCCAGAAGACATTTTAAATTTTCCTACCAGGAAAGTTCTGAACAGAAACTTTCAAACAGAAGAAAACTAAGTTCAGAACCGCAGGGTAGCATCGATTCGACTGAACAAAATGAGAATTTCTGGTCATGCCACACCAGAATATTTCATAAACAACCGTGTTTACATGGAAGACACCAGAAAAAAAAATATTTGAAAGTTTCAGCCTTTTTTTAAATCAACTTAATTTTGTCTAAATGCTAGCCAGCATGTTCGTATCATTGAAATAGGCGTGACCACATGAAAAAATACTATTAAAAAATAAAGACTGAGACGAACCGCCCGGGGAAAAAGTTATTTGTGTCGAGGAGAAGAGAGACAGTCAGAGAAACAAACATACGAATGACGCGAAAACCGCGCAGTAATGGACTTTGAGTGCACGGGTTACCTAAATTAGTGCTTACAACTCCTTTTTTTTTTGTTTTTCAAAAAAATTGAATACCAGACACTGCGAAAAAAAAACTACGCACTTTTTTTTTATTTATCTTTTGATTTCGCGAAAATAAATAATTTCCAAAAAAAACAAGGATTCCAAGAATCTTCCTTTCCTATATTCTCTGCATTAAGAAAAAATTATTCGAGAAAAAAGTTAATTGAGCCGTCCAAAAAAACCTAGATTTGCATCATTTTGAACATTTTCATAAGCAACCTGGTTGAAAACTCATCTTTCTGCAAAAAATCCAATGGAAAAAAACACAAGACGTTTAAATCAGTGAAATCGAAACGAATGTTATTTTTTTATTTTTTTCAAAAAATTAGGAGAAACGGAGTGATCTGAGTGAACCGACGCTTTGAAACGCGAGAATCGCTAAAAGTCACGTCGGCGATTTTGGGGGAGTGGCGAACAAAATTGTTTGGGTTTTTGAATTTTCGTTTCATTAGTTCTAAAGGTTCTCCCTTATTTGATCAGGAATTGAAAAAAACGCAAAAAAACCGAATTAAAGAAAGAAAGAAATATAAACTGCTTACTTTCGTTGTTTTGTGAAAATTCATGTTTTATAACCCGTTCTTGTTAATTTGACATGTGGAGAGTCCGATACCGACTAAAACTCGAATTCCTACATCATAATAAAACTTCCGACCAAAGTATTTATTTGAACACTTTTTTTGCCCTCCGCGGTGGTCATTGTTTTCTTTTTCAGCTGTTTTGTGCTGCTTAAAATCTCAAAAAAGTTTCGTCACTCATTCTTTTCACAAACTGTCTCGTCCTCGCCTTCGCGTTATCAGGTCCTCGACAGGACGTCAAAAAAGAGGGCAAAGTGCGGAAACGAGGAGAAAAAGCGTGTCAGCGTGGCTATCACTCTGTTTCTCTGCTTGATGGAGTCAAAGCTGAGGGTCAAACCAACATTTCACAGTCAATTTAGTCAATTTCCTTGTGTAGTCTCTATTTTTTGTTATTATTTCAAGTTGTTAGCGTGTGCCGACAAAGTTCTCCTTACAAAGTTCTTTAAAATCATTTTCCATTCTAACTTTTATTGTGATTTTTTTTCCTTTTATTTATACCATTTGATCAATTATCTCAGTGAATCGTTAAAACTCTTAAAAATTTAACTTTGAAGCTGAAAAAAGCCTTGAAAAGCGGAAATAGTTATTTCACAGACAAAATTCTGCTAACTTTTTAAAAACTCATGTTGAAATTTCAAATTCGTTAGAATTGTTCTCTTTTTTTTCGAAACTCTTTCAAATAATTTCTTCGTTGCACTTCTAACCAACGGCCGTCCTTTGATATGTATGCAACTTCGCTAAAATCCCGTCCTTAGACTTTTTGTCTTCATAAAATTTTTTTAGTCAGCACATACTAGACTACACCCGACTTGGGATCTTTCAACTTTGTAATTTGCCATATTTTGAATTTTCATTAACCGGTACGCTCTGTTTTTGTTTACAATATCATTACTAGTTTTTCAGTGCTCTGGTTATAATATTGAAGAAGTGAATGGCTCTGCGAAGGCTTTATCCACTATTAGCGTCCCACTCGCGAAGGTTGAGCTCAAAAATAACAGATTTTCGCTTACAAACAATAGTTTCACAAGATGATTGTGTTAACCTAAAGATAAATGACAAAGGTTAGCAAAATAATTTTCCTATAGTTTGTTTTCTTATCAATGAATCCAGATAAAGAGCTGACATTATTGGTTCCGCTCGTCTGGCTACGAGATCATTGTAGCTCATCGAAATGTTACCATGCACCGACAAATCAAAGAAAGTCTAGCATGATCAACTTGTTCGAAGAAGCGAAGATAAAAGAAATAAGGATTGAAAACCAGAACGGATTGCTAATTAATTGGACCGATGGACATCAATCAAGCTTCAAAATAGAAGATATTCTAAGAAGGACGAAAAAGGGAAAACCGCCGCGAGTTACGAAATATATCAATATGTGGGATGGTCGACTTGCAGAAATACCTAGCATACATCAGTGAGTTTCGAAATTATTTGTTTTTTTTTAAAAAAAAACATCAGATGATTGGTGAATGGAAAGATTGAGTAAAAAAAATACGATTAAAACTGTATCTCTTTTCAACTAATTAGTTTATTAACAAGCGAAATTCACATTGAACATTGGGTAGCTACGAAAAGTTCAATGCTTGAACGTAAATCAAAACTTTTTTTGCCGAGAGCTAGGCTCCTGAATGAAGTTCGTGAACGTTTTACGTTCAAAATATGATGAGAAAATGAAAAAAAACTTTTAAAACGAAGGAAAAAATGTTTTTGTAAATAGTCGTAGCATTTACTGTGTTTTGTGTAGAACACCGATATGAACATTTCTTGCCTACCGTGAATAAAACAATTTTTCGCACTAATATTGAACAAAACTAATTTCAGCGGCGACTTAACCCAAGAAAATTTCTCGAAAAACCTTTTCAAGTACGGAGTCGTAGTTATAAATGGGATTGAGAGCACGGCAGAAGCTACGGAAACTCTGTGCAAACAGTTGATTCCGGTGCACGATACCTTTTTCGGTCAATTTTGGACTTTCAGCAATGAAGCCAATGAGGTTTCAAAAACTTAGCGTGAACCGAAATATCTTCAGTTACAGAATGAACCGGTCTATGAGGATACAGCTTATGGAAATGAAGAAATTGGCCCACATACCGATGGAACTTATTTCAATCAAACGCCAGGCATTCAGGTTGAAACGAAAAAATGTCTGTATCATGTGGGAATTGCAGGTTTTTCACTGTTTGAAACCAGCTAAAAATGGAGGCGAGACCATTTTAGTAGACTCTTTTCATTGCGCTTCAATCTTGAAAGAATCAGACCCAGAATCTTTCGAAGTGTTGGCTTCAACAAAGGTAGAAACTTGAAAAGTGGTCATAAAACGGGGTTTAAATTTGAGATAGAGCATCACTATTTGGAAGGAACACCCAGCGGATCGGTTCTGAACACAGTGAGCCATGAAAAGCCTGTCATCGAGTTGGATTCTTACCGAAACATCACACAAATAAGGCAAGTTTATTTTTCACTGACCTACCACTATCAATTCACTTGATTTTTCAAAAATGTGTTCGAATCAAAAGGGATCGAGTTTTTTTCCTCAAAAATTGTTAACTATCACAGTATTGGATGAAAAGAAGAAAACCTCGACTGAAAATCGAAATTCTAGTGGTATCTGATCCGAAACATTTCTACAAACTTTTATCAACTTAAAAAACACTCCATGTAGAAGTAAGACGTAGAAAGTTAAGTTAATTAGTTTAACTTCACTATTATTTTTCTCAAATTTACAAATGCCAAGAGTAACATCGTTCTAATCTAAAATAAAAACATTCTTTGTATGCTGAAGCAATCGAAAAAGACTGAAGCTTGCAGATACAACCCGTACGATCGCGCTCCCTACCGTTGCCTAGGCAAAGAAGAAGATGCTCGCGAGGCGATCCGCTTCTACAAAGCCTACGAGAAGTTCTCCAGAATCTGCCACGACCCCAGTAACAGCGTTCAAATCAGCCTCCAGCCAGGCAGCGTTATTTTCATCGACAATTTTCGAGTACTCCATTCGAGAGCCGAGTTTCAAGTGGGAACTCCGGACAGAGTTTTTGGAAACACAGTATTTCAGGGCCACCGTCAAATGTGCGGTTGTTACCTCTCAAGAGACAACTTCTACGCAAAAGCTCGTCCATTCCTACCTGAAGAAATACGGAGATATGTCTAACTTATTTCGAAATAACAAATTTATTAACATACACATAAGTCTTCAATGTCATTGTGAATCACAGAAATCTCTTGAAAAATGACAAATATTATTTGCTTTTCGGTTGTGAAGGCCGCCTGGGAGAGAAAAAAGTGAGGGCGATAAAATTTGAACGGTTGAGGTTTCATTGAGGTCCTAACTGAATTCATTTTGATCATTAGTTTTTTTGGTTGAGAAACACAAAAAAAAATCACCGGGACATGATTGAATAGAAAAGACTAGAAAACAACTTAGGTTTCTTTGACCTGACAGAAAGCACAAAACACGTTTGAAAGCTTCAACTTCCCTTGATAAGAAAAAAAAAAAGCGTTGCCTAAGCCTATGAAAAATATAATTAGATATGTATGAAATTGGAGAAAAAAGAACTACGACAAAATATATATGTGTGTATTGTGAGGGATGCAGAAAAACAGAAAAGGAAAACCCGCAAGTACCGGTATTTCTTGTACAAAAAGGACTGAATGCTGGGAACACGTTTCAAGGCTTGGAAAAACCTAGTGGACACTAAAGAGACCACTCTGAAAAGGGCTACAGAGGGACGACCGATCAGCTATGATTGACGTTGTTGTGTTCTGGATGTTTGACGGTGTCGCGACGACGGAAAGAAAAACGATTCTGAAGATCGTTATTGTTTTAAGGGATCAGGATGAACACGAGACCTTGAAGGAGGACTTGTCTTTCTCCTTGAGGGAATGTCTGTTGGACGGAGGCCGCGAGGTCTTTCCGGTCGACTCGTTGTCCTCGCTGTCGTCCTTGTCGTAGATCCGATACTCCGGATTCGTCATGTACCAGTGCAACATCACGTCGTATAGGTACTTGTACTCGTCCTAGACAATTTTCTCGGTGAAATGATTGTTGGAACAACCCGGTATTTTCCGTCAAACCTTCATGTCGATGAGCTGCGGCCGGTTGATACGCATCATTTTGACGGCGTGGAAAATGTCGACCTCGTGGTCAACGTCCATTTGGTCGATACAGATGTTGGCGCCAATATAAACACCGACTCGCGACACTCCGTTACTGTAACAAGATTTTTTCATAACCTCTAACTATCGATAAAGCGAAAGAAATAGACTTATCAACAACAAATTGAGATCTGCTAGAAAGTTTACTAAATAAATCAAATAAAACCTTCATTTTAATACTTCGAAAAATGCTCTTCCAAAGTGTCTGAAATGTTAAAAATCCTAATCCAACGTTTCTTACTCACTGAGCTAATCATGACGATACTATTTGTACTAGTTGCTAAAAGAATAAGAATTGGAAAAAAAAACTGCAAAAAGAATTGAGCATGATTGAAACTGACTGTGACATGACGATGGTCGGCTTGGTCTCAGGCCGATCCGGCGCTCTTTTCCGCCAGCTCCTTGCCATTTTGATCACATCAATCAGACCAGTCGTCGACAGAGGGACCTTGTTTTCAATCGGCCACATGCGAACCTTGAATTCTCAATCTTCCTCTTAACTCTCTAAGATAACAGACTTGAATGACACAGCAGATGCGGACTTCGGCGTCGATTTGCTGGTTGTTCTGACCGCTAGCCATGATGTCCGAGATCATGAACGTCTGGAAAAGAGCCATGATCAAAAATAATCTCCTTCTTTGCTATCAATCACTCTTTTTGTTGCAATTAATGAGGGCAGGTTGAATCAATATTAGATCGTTCTTCTAGTAATACAAGCTGGGATCGATAGAGGAATCCTACGCATTTGTTATTTCGAGCCAAAAAGGATGCGGATTGAAAAAAGTTATCAAAATAAACAGCCGCTAGGAAACGGATGAAGAAATGGAGAAGAAGATTTGGGAGGGAAATCTGATTTCAGAAGTTATTGACGGTTGGACAACGACATCACAACGACGTTAGACAAATGCCAAGCGGGCCTTTTTTCGAAAAAGGTAAAAAAAGGTTGAAGTAGATAATCATCCAGCTTTACAAGAAAATACCATGCAAAAAAGAAAGACGGTAGGCTACCAGCTTTTGAATTTGTTTGGTCGTTTCCTTCTGGAGGTCGGCCTTTTCCCTTCGAATATTGAGCAATCTTTTGATGTCTGCGGCTCCTTTCTGCAAAGACACGGACGATTCACATGGACAACACAAAAACAACGACGAACTCGAAGAGAGATATGACAAGCAGATGAGATTAACGGATTCCCCACCAGGTGTCTACCGCGTTCCAAAATAGTTTCATAGAAGAAAAGCAAATAAGAAAAGCTGGGCGGTTCGTGGAAAAATCTTCATAGTTTAGGCACAACTGTTTTTCAATCCTTGAAGTGAGCTTCAGCAGTGAGAAAAGCATTTTCAAGCTGAAACTGTCTTCAGAAAATGTAAGACCTTCCATCTAGAAAAAAGAATCGACAAATGACGTAAAACTCAAGTGAAGTATTTCGCTAGAGAGCACTTAAAGGATTGATGAGCTCGCAAAAATTTCTTCGAGACCGTTAACAACACGAAGAGTTGGTCCCTCACGAGATTTTTGCAAGCTGACTTTTTTTGTTGTTGTTGAAGACTAATCTTCCAAGAACTATGATTTTCCACGCACCATCTCCATAAACATTGTTTAACCGCATCGCTGCCTTCAGCGCAACAAAGAAAAAATATTCAAAAAGAGTAGTAATGAAAAAAAAAAAACAAGAAAGCGCTGGCGTTATCTATGTATAAAAAAAACTATTTCTTTGCATGTCAAAAAAAAGGAAACTCGAAAGATAACGCCAGCTGCGCTACGGAAGAAATGCACATGAAGAATGGTTTGAGACACGCTTTTCTACGCAACTCACAAGCTTCGAAACCCCCTTACCCAGAGGGTCAGCTTTCAATGGTGGAACCTGGTGGGGCTGCAAAATTCACAATTGGCTCGATGGAATGAGCTCCAACTATCAAAATGATATCAGAAAGATATGCGATGGAAAGCTTTTTGATGGATTTGATTGGAGAGAAACGAAGAGAAAATGACATCTGGATGAACATTCTGCAACAATCCTCATCTCTAACAGAGGTGACCACGGTAGGAGAGACTGACGGATGGGCAAAGCAACCACGAAAATGCGGACAGTAAGGACATCAACTTTCACCAAAGTACAAACATTTTTTTCGATTTTTCCACACTTTTATAATTTTTGGAATTTCTTGAACTAACCAGTGAATTTCTTCCAGACTAACTAACGAAAATTAAAACTTTGAAAAAATATTACGCGTGTTATTATTAGTTGATTGCAAACATATGAAAAAATAAAAACCAAAAAGACGAGAAAAAAAGAAGGAAAAATTCCTGACCGTACTTTGAGGAAAGTCATACTCCATTCACGAGAGCTTGTCGATTATTACAAGAGCGCTCTAACGAACTAATCTTCTGCTCATGCGCTAATCATCAATCTTCTGAGACAAAACAAGCCGCAGAAACTTTCCAACAGAGCAAACTTTCGTGAATGAAAATTACAGTATATATCCTTACTGTCCAAACTTTCTTCGTTGCAGACTGGGGAATGGAAAACTTTGAAACGAAGGAAGTCACTCTGAGGCACTCTGACGGTGCCTCACCTCTCGATAAGGGTCGTTGGAGATGTTCTCGGCGGAGCGACTGCGACGGGACCGAGGCTTCGGAACAGTGAGGAAATTGCTGGTGGAGCTGGACCTGGCAGGTCCAGACGGCGGTTTCAGAAGCCGCGACTCCTCCTCATCTGACAGAAGACTGAAGTCGTCCTCGTCGTACAAGGTGTCGTCGTCGTCGTCGAGGAGAGGTTGGCGATAGCCGCGCTCGCGGAACTTTCCACGGTACTGCGGCTTGAACCGGAAAGACTGGCCGGGAGCAATGTCCGTCCTCGCTGGGTTGTATCCAGGAACACCTTCGAGCGTTGGGAATTTCCCTGGGCTTCGACCTCGCGAGCCGTTTGGCGGGTCTCCCTATACGCCAATATGAACAACAGCCAGATAATGGCTTCTTGACAATTGAAAAATGAGAGAGAAAAGATAATGGAACGATGAAAGAATAATCGATATTTCAAGATGAACTTGATTTGAGCATGTCTAAGGGTTCCAAAACGGAAAACATACCCGTTTCATAACTTTGACCATGTGAGAAGTCATCGCAGGGTACTGGTGGTAGTTTAGAACCTCGACGATGAATGGCCCGTAGTTGGCCTTGCCTTTGTTGTGAATGAACGTCGGGTACTGCTGAAAGGCCAAAATTCCAAATGAGTTCAGAGTTCTAGCGTTTTTGCAGCCTTTGAAGATTTTCACGATTACTCAGGCTCTATGGGGGAAGCGCCGGGATCCTGATCCATACTTTTGCCTTCTCAGTAAAAACAACTCTTTCAAATGCGTTTTTTTCCAATTTTACAATACTTATTCGAATCTTTTTTTACTTTTAAAACCTGTTTCAAGCAAGTTTAAGCACGCTTTTGAAAAAAAGCGAGCGCCAAATATGATTGAGCTCAGGAAAAGCCAAACCCTGGGATTTCCTTGATTGCTGAGGTTGACAATTGTGTGACAGGAATGATCGTAGACCAGCGTCCAGAAAGAGTCTACCGTACTCTGCTTGGGCCATTCGGTCGCGATGAACTCCGCTTTCCGAGTAAATCCGTCCACCTGAACACTTTCCTTACGCGTTTGCGGTCGCGTCGCGGCTCACTTCGACAGCGTTGATGTAGGTGTAGTCTTTGCTCTCGCCGTGCAACGTCTGTAGGTACGGTCTGGCGTGGTCAGCTGCAAGGTTTTTTTTTGAGATAAGTAGTCTAGTTAACTAAAAATGAACATACAAAAAACTCTAAAATCTCCAGGAACCAGCTAAAAAATTACGAGAGTTCGGTACACACCAAAAAGGAGGTGAAATTTTATTTTTTTGATAAAGAAAAAGCTTAAAAACTCACGAGGCACAACCATAACGTCGCGATTTTTGCCTCGATTTTCCAACCGATGGCCTCCAGCACAGTCGCCGATTCGTAATGAAGGAGTCAGGTGCATTAACAACTGAAAAAGAAAGTTTCATAGCCGTTGAAAGCCTGAAATAGGATCTTGAAGAAACAAAAACATTTGTTTGAAAAGGGAAAGGCAGTTAGCGGTCTTTTTTAACGGCCGATATCGGCCTAGTTCGTCATTTTCGGACAAGAGGCAGAAGGACAATTAAAAGCGCTTGGCCGGTAGTTTTCTTCCGACACTTTTGGCCCTTAGCAACATCCAGCTGATCGTTAAAGGTTCATCTTTTTAATTTTCCTTTTTTCAAGTTTTATTATTTGAAAAAACTGAGTAATAATCATTATTTTGGTACTTACACAGCGCACTAACACTTTGCTGTGCAAAAAGTCAAAAAAGGAGTAAGCTCAAACCTTAAATGAAGATCAATTGTTAAAAAAAAAACCAAAAATAATGTTTTCTCAAAAATGAAAACATGTTTACTTCAAGATCGTCTAATTCACTAAGAGCGGTCTAGCTAAATAAGCTCCAAATTTTAGAGTATAATCATAACTTTCTATCCGGATTTTTTGATACTCCATAGTCTATAGACATCAGAAAGAGACCTGATAAATGATAGTTTTGGCTTGCTAGTAAATGATCATGGACTGAACTTCTGGAGGACATAAAAAGGGCAGTTTGACAGGCTTGCACTATCAAGAAGCCGGTCAATAAAACCTTTCATGGCTGTTATTCCAACCCCGAAGCATAGGTGGTTAAAAAGCGTCATCGTCATCGACGACCATTTTCAACAGAGTAAACTCAAGTTGAACATCAACTCATGAGTATATTTTTTATTAATTCTCTGTTTCAGCGGCGAGTCCACAGTCAACAATCTTTATTTTTTTCATCTATACTTCTAACTTTGATTGTATTTTTTTTTTTGGGTCGAAAGCTGATCATTAAAGCTTCTTGCAAAAAAAAAATGGCAAAATCCCTCTAGCTGAAATGTCTCTTTTCTAGTTTCATTCTTTTTTTTTAAATTTATTCTTTCAAGCTTAACTTTTCTTTCTTTCGCCCTTGAACTTCAATCAGTTTTTAGTAGAAAGGAAAGTCAGTGAGAATTATTCGAAAATAAGCGGATTAGGCAAAATTCTAACGTTTCAACCCTCTTTTTATTACGCTTATTTCTAAGCTTAAAATGCGGTTTTTCACTAAGGCAACAAAAACATCGGCGGCACTCTCCCTTTTAATAGACAAAAAGTGTTTATATCCGCCGAGGGAAAGTCCATTTGGTTATCCTGCAGCGAGATCTTTCCTTTCAAAAATGCGTGAAGAAGGACAGTATCTGGCGTCATTATCGCGGTCCGTTCGTCCTTTATTCGGCCGCCCCCAACAAACACCTTCGAGGCATCCTTTCTCCTCTCTTCTCAAAGCTTTATACACCTCTCTCGAATGAGTTATTGCCGCTAACCTTATTTATTTTCACGACAATCCCCATTTACTCTGAAGCATGAAATCTCTCTTCTTTTTTTCACTTAGAAAAAACGATCAAAGCAAAAACTATACTTCTTTCATTAATTTGGCTGATTTTTATAAAAATTTGTGTGGACTGAAATTTTACAGCTTTAAGCTTTATCCAAAGAACACAAACTTTGAGAAAAATTTTAAAACATCTTCACTTTTTGAGGAAATTGTACGAGCTTGGAAGTTAACATCGGAACTTGTCCACTTCAACTCAATTGAAAGCCAGATGAAAATTGTTTCTCACATTAAATCCGGCAAAATTTTGGCGGGCAAAAAAGCATGAGATGTGAAATCAAGATCGCCGAGGCAGTCAATTTGATAAATCTTCGCGAAAACAATGAGTGGAGGCCAAAAACGAAAAACTTCAAGAAAATATTTTTTTCATTTCATAGTTTTTTTGTCAGAGAAAGGATAAATCTTTCGAGATCCCTGTAAATCTTTCTGAACTCAATTTTTTTTTAGACTTAACTGTATTTTTTTTTGAGCTTTTAGTAGAGTCCGACCACAATTTTGAAAAAATCTGCCATTTAGCAACAACGCAGACAAAAAAAAATTCCAAACCGATTCGAACCGCAATTTTTTTTTATTTGAATCTCAGTTGGTCGTCCCGAGCGATTTGCATCACTACCTCAAGTTTCCCGTTTTCGCACAAGCTGAGAAGCTTGGAAAAAGATGGGCGGCCCTGTCCGATAATGTTAATTCGGAATGGAAAATGGGCTGTGAGACGGTACAAAATCTCGCAGAAGCTGCTATTTTGCATCTTTCAAGTAAAATTCGTGTTCAGAATCAGGCCAAAAATTTAGAAGGAAAAATGTCAGTTAAAACTTTATTTATTCGATTTTCGCCGTAGTAAGAATTTTTATAGAATTGTATGCCGTGTTCAAAGCTATTTCCGCAAAATTCAAAATTAATACAAACTCTCCAAAATTGAGTTATCTTTTACATGCTCTGACGGCTATCATAAGTTTTAAAGGAATTATGCATTTTCAGCGCTGCTCTCCTACAAATAAAAACATATTCTGGTGAAATATTTCACATTCAAATTTCTAGATCCACAACTTTACTCAAATCTTGATGAATCCTTCTTTTGAAAGGGCAAACCTTGTTCTCATGATTGTCCTGAGCATCCAACAGTTCCCTATTCTTCTTCGCTTTGTACATGCTGCTCCGATCTTTCAACTGGTGCATTTCGATCGGCTGTACATTACACATAACCGCCTGAAATTCATATAGTTCTGATTTCGAATCGTTGTCTGTGAATACTTCGGCCAAGACGTCGTAGATGAACATGTACTGGTCGACGGCGTCGATGAGATGTGGCCTGGCGTTGACCAACGTCTTGGCGTACTCGAAGACGTCCAGTTGGCCCGTCTTCTTCATCAGTTCGAGATTCGCGTCCAGAGCGAGGAAGGCGCCGCTTCTGCCAGCTCCGTTACTAAATAAAGAGTTTTCGCTTTGAAAATTTTTAAAAAAATTGGAGCTATTTTTTTATTATTTCTTTGAAAAAAATAGTTTTTTTCCTCTGTCTGAATACTTCCGTTCGATTATGAAGAGTTAAGTAAACTGGCGCGATGATTCCATTCGAAGAAATTTAACTCCTGAGGAAATTTTTTCAGAATAGAATTTTTTTAGAAATATTCAGAGCAAAAAAACGTTATTAGATGTGCCTCTTCTCAATTTATTTTTTCTATTCAATCGATCAAAGCCTTTTTCAAAATTTCGATCAACTTGTGATCAACCCGGAACATAATTCAAAAGCCAAGCGTCACTTCTCGGCAAAATTTCCAGCGTCTTTGGCGGGTGCCGCTAAACACAAAAACCTGCCACCTCTCACTTCCTCACGTACAGTTCACTTTTTTCTCGATTTCTTTTTCTTGCTTAGCTGACCTCCAAGTCTTCAACAAAAAAAAAAGGTAAGACGAACGGCATGAGATGCTGATCGAACCAGCTTCTCAGCTCTCTTTTTACGTCTCTCCACTTGCCTTTGATTCAACTCAAACACATAATTAGTTCACTTTTTTTCATTACTTTTGACTTCGAAAATTGGTTATTTGCTATTTATTTTTGTTTAGAGTTGTTTTCGCTCTCAAACCTCAAAATGAAACACACAACATTTTTTTGAAGTGGTTTTACTCATTATTTTTCAACTCAACTTCACTCAAGCTAATTTCCATTTTAGGCTCGCCTGCCTCAATAAAAGGGAGATTTTTTTTACTCACCTTTACCTTCTTTCCCCTCATAAGTTCTACGTTTTATCACCACTTCCACTTCGCTAACACTAGATAATCAGCGAAAAAGGTCTTCTTCCGCTTCCAAGAAACGGCAAAAGTCTCCCACATAATGGCATAGGTGGACCAATAATTGCGTCGACCTTCGGCGGTTCAAGTGGCCAGCCTATTTCAGTGCCCATCAACCTCAATTTTTTCCTCGTCTGAATTTTGAACGTCTCTACAAATATTGTGCATATTTACGCAATTTTCCAGGTTTGGGTACGAAAATGCGTTGGGTTATCCTGCTGCTTCTTGTCAACTTTTCCGACGAGAGAATTCAAAGAGGTTTGTTTAAGATAGGGGTTTTTGAGTAACGGAATATGTGATGTGAGCGCCCAAGTAAATTTCTGGACCCTTCTAAAGAATTTCTTCTCAAAACAACCATTTTCTAGGAATGACTTACAAGCGACGATTGCCTTCAGCCTTCACGTTGGCTCGACTTCAGAAAAAGTACGACGAAGACTACGAAACCGAAAGTGGTGAGCGACAACTCGGCAAGAACGACGGTTCGTGTTCATTTTGCGAAGAGAAAAAACCCAGCTTTTCAATCTTTAAATTTTTTTTCGACATCTTGCACAGCCAAGAGTGCGAAAAAAAAATGTCCCAGGGTCACCTGGCGCTTTTCACTTTTCTTCTGCCGCGACACGCTTCAGATCATTATCGGGTCAACCGAAGAAAAACTCAATAGCTAATGAAAATGATCAAAAAACGATGAATAATTCGTAAAAAATTAAATCTCAAAACTACAGTAAGCGGGTCGAGAAAACGGGACGACGTGGTCAGTGACGTTAAATGTCTTCAGAGATGCAACAATCGCCTCAATATAGGGATGGACATGGTCAATGTAAGTCTAGCAACTGTCTTTTCTCGATTTTTTTAAAATCTTTTTTAAAATTTTTCTATGATGCTAAAAGACCTTCTCAGGCTCACATGGCGTTCGGGAGCATCGACGTGCCTTCCGTGGTCGACAGACGTGATCTCGAACTTTTTTGCCTTTTGGACTATCAACATAGTCAGTGTATAGACGAGTGTGGCTACTCGGTTCAGTTCAATCTTCGCGAATATGTTTGCCGGAACAGATTTCCAGAGGTGGGTCGGAGAAAACTTTACAACATTATTTACTGAAAAATGGAAAATAATTATTAAACTTCATACTTCATCAAAACTATTCATGAACATAAACAAATCTTTTTCTCGTGTGAAAAACTCAAATAATTTTCAACTTTTCTCATATTTTGCACTATATCTCCGTACTCAGATGCTGAAACACTTGCCCTGCTACGCCCGTTCTTCGGGCTCTCTGATCCGACATTGTCGGCCGAGGTGCGGAGGCTACAAACCGTTGATGCACACCGCCGAAGGATACGCTAAACGGTGGAGCTTTCCGTCAACAAATTAACAATGTTATCTGCAGGTGTCGACAGTTGCTATGCGATCACACCTGCGTTTCTTTCATTTTGAAAAGAGTTAGTCTCCATTCAAGTCGTTGAAAACCAGAAAAAAGAACATCCTGACTTCAGATATGCCCGGAGGAACAGGGGGAAGCCGCAGCAAACTACTTGCTCGACTTTACAAGATTACAGGTAAGAAACTTCCTGATACTCCGGTTTTCAAGTAATGACAGGTCGACTACTGGATGCGAGAATACTCGAAAGACCCAACAAATACCAAATCCTATCCGACTTCTTGTGCACGACTACAATGCGATGATTTCCGTCTCGCAAACTGTCGCCGGCAAAGACGCGGGTGAAGTTCTAACAAAGAAAAGCGGCGTCAAAAACTAGTCCGAAAACATGACTCGTGAGTTTTAAATTCAGAGAAAATAGCTATGAATGGTTTCCTTTCTTTGAACTAAAGTTATTAATTTTTTTCTTTTTTTCAAAGTCCTAGCTCTCAGTTTTTACCTTATTCCCAAATCTATTAAGAACTGACCTTTTTCAGAAACCACCGAACAACATCCAAACCCTCGAGCTTTTGAATCACCAACCAATGATTTCTCGAAAAAAAAACTGCCGTTCAAAAAAAAATCTCATGTCAAGCCCCGGTTGAACTTCTATCCGCTTATTTGTTAATAATTTAGATTTTTCAAGTTGAAGTAATTAACCTGATGAGAAGAAATAGCTTTTAAAAAATGAGAGAATAGAATTGTGACCTCCACCTTTCTATCTAACTGTTGCCATCCATAATCTTTTTTCAATAATCAAGGCGGGTATATGTTAATTGTTACTGATTTTTCTGTGTTGTGATAAACTCTTTCCTTGAAAATCGAGTAAACAGCAAAAAGAAGGGAAGAAAACGGACCTGCAATGGACGACGATGGGGGCGTCAACGGGATTCTTCTCGACGTACTGTCGGACTCTCCGTCGGAGCTCGATGAACGCCGAAATGTAAGGGAAGGAGTCGAGCTCCCACTCGGTGAAGTGGAAGTGTTTGACGGTGCGAGTTTCTGTTCCTTCTGGAGTCGTCCGCGTCATCTTGAACGTTCTTATCACCTGAAAATTTAGATTAATCTCTGAATACAAAAAAATTGGAATGGTACTAGAAAAAAGAATATTCAGACAAAGTCAAAGTAAGATTAAGAAAAACTGAAAGAAGGGGCAATAAAAGGAGTTTTTGGATTCTAACTTTCTAAAAATCGAACGCGATTGTCTAAAGAAAAATGGATAGTTTCAGCTAAATTTGTTCAAAGTCAAAAATTTCCAGGCCCAACTTTAAAGTCCCTACTTTTGCGAATTCACTTGAAAGCTATTCAAATATCTGAATAAAGAATAGATTTCAGCCAATTACGCAAAATCATATTTTTTATTTTGGGAAATGCTAAAGTTTTCTCCTCTTATCCTCACTAATATAGATAACTTGTGAAAATCGCTGACCGAAAAATTCTTGAAAGAAGCTATCATTAGGAATTTTGCTCTAATCGTCCAAAAAACCCTCGAGAAAATGTATTGAAATCTCCTACTTTCCCAAAAGATGACCACTTCTGTAACAAAAAGCTCACAAAATGGCAGTAAGTCTTGGTGTCGACGGTCTCGACTTCGATGTCTCGGAACTGGAACCGCGTCAGCGGCCAGTATTGGAGACACATCACCTGCAACAAGAAGGTTCATTCAGGACATATGGAGGAATATCCGACCCGCATGAAGTCGAACACCTTAGTGAGCATGACGATGCAGTTCGAGCCGAGTTCCCAGACCATCCGCCAGAATTCCGCATTCATCGGCTTTGTTCTTACCGCCTGGGTCACTACGTACGCCTTTTCCCGTAACCAACTCTGAAAAACTATCTTTTTTCACATTCTTTGAGAGCTTTTGAGATGAATGAAAGCCTGAAGATCACTCCTTGTGAAATTTATTGATCCATCAGTAAAAAATTCATCTTCAGGAAAAAAAAAACATCTTACAGGCTGACTAGAATATCCTAGTAAAAGTTGAATTTGGAAAGCTCTCAAATAGTGATAAAAAAATTTTTTTTTTTCGATTACCCCGAGCCTATAAAATCTCACATTGACATAGCTGGCATTAATGTAGTGCGAATTTTCGTCGCCTTCTATCCGAGGCAAAATGACGCGATTGAAATCGTACGGCAACGTGTCCTGCAATCAGAAAATAAATTTATTATTATTTTTCTTTAAGTAAAAAAATATCTTCATTATTATTTTTCTTCAAGTAGTTTAAAAAGTTGATAAATTGAAGTTTCAACAAAAAATATCACAATTTCGCTGAGCTTTTGCGGAATCTTTTGCAAAAAGTCTATGAAAAAGCGAAGAACTTTGTCCAAAATATTTTTCTCAAACGAAACTATGATGTGATTGATTGAGCGTCGATCCGGTTGGGATAAATCTTCCTAGCGAGTTATTGCTTTTCTTTAAGAGTTTACGGCTCTCGACATGTGGCGCGGCAATAGGAACATGTTGTTGGAACACGGCCAGCGAAACTCGCTCAGGATCAGGCGCAAAAAAGAATGAGTTATTGACGTTTCTCGGCGTTTGACAGACGCCAACTACACTTTATCTCGCAGAAACACAGAGCATCCACTGAGAAAAAAAAGAGAACAAGTTGCAATAAGTGCTATTTCGACTTTAAAAAAATTATTCGAAAGATTAAATTAAAAATCTGTGAATATTTTATCCGAGGTCAGGAAAGCTGGAAATGAGAAATTGTTCTCTCAATCAACAGTTTTCGAAAACTCATTGGAGATCTCACTTCGAGCTTTGAAAATGTACCAATAGCGGAGAAAAGATCACCGTGCTTTAAAGATTCAAAAAAAGAGGCTACCAAAAAAATAATTTCAGCACAGTCCATTTGAATGATAAAAAGTAAAAACTATCAGGTAACTCTGATTTTCTTCATTTTAAGCGATTTATCAAGCCATTATTTTTGAATAAAAGTTCAAAAACAAATTCTAAACATTTTTTCCTTGAATGTGGCGCATAAATAGCAAAGGAATTATTGAAAAAAACGCTTTCGATTCAAATCTTTAATATCATATTTCTGAAAAAAAAAGGAAAAAAAGTAGACCGGATAAGGGTTCCTATCCATCATCGTGCTGCCGACGTCGCACCGACATTTGTTCGTTTCCACGGACCTATTGATCATCTGCAAAAACAACACAGAGTTTCACTATCTTGATTATTTTTAACAGTTCAACCTTATTCTCATGAACTCCGAGAGCGAACGTTGAAATGAAAAAAACCTTTGAAATTCTTCATTTTTCTCCACCTCAAGATTAATCTCTGCCTTGGCCTATTGACGAATGTCCTGGAGGAGGGAAAAGAAATAAAATTGACAAAAAATCTCTGGAAACCATTTATCAAAGTCACGGCACATGGGGACCCAAAGACCTTGAAGGATGAACTAAAACCTAATTTTTCATATTCTTCAGACAATTTTGAAAAAAAAATCGTTTTCTCTCCGGCCTCTGATCTTAAAACTAGAGTCAAAAGATAACTGTTTTTGAATAACTCTACAGCGAAAAAAGGGCGTCTTTGCGGCAAAAAATACGAAAAAGTAGTTTTATCACAGAAATACATGAGCAGACCGTTTTTGAGGGCCGTCGGCTTTTTTTTGACCCTTTTTCCCTCAAAATGTTTCTAAGTCAAACCCTCTCCTCTCCTGGTCTAAGTTTATATAAACTTTCTTTTTTGAAATTTACAAGATTGTGGTCACCCGGAGGTTCATGAGAACAGTCGTGGCAGAAACTCACAAGATATTCTCCTTTGAAAAGTATTCGTTTTTTGCGACGTTCGGTGACGTAGGCGACGAACCGAGAAGCGTCTATTGGCGCCGACGGAACCGCCTGCATCGCTTTCTCCTCTTGCACTAAAAATATTCCCTCATTGAATTAAATTAATTGACTTTTTTTTTCTTAATTTCAATAAATTTTCTCAACATTTATTCATTTTATCAAGTTTATTCTTTATTCTTATAGAGTGGAGGAAGAGAACCGAAAGGTTATGTTAGCCTCCCTTTCGTTAAGTCTGACTTTTTTTTGAAAGATTTTCAGAATTAAAAAGGAAGTTTCCTGAAATTCAGAAACCCATGAAAAGTGAAAAAAAAGGTTGTATTCCAAGTTTTAGACCTTTGAAGACTCCCAATTTCTCAATCCACTATAAAAATAAACTTTACCGTTCTCAAAAAAAAATTCCTCGACTTTTCCCTGGATAAGTATAGACATCGATGAAAAGAGGAAATTCAAAAACTTTCGAAAGTTTCTCAACCAGACAGAACTTATGAATTAAACATTTTGCTTTTTTTGGAACACTTCCAGGTTGAAAAACCAAACCTCGACGCCGGTAACTGATCATTCGTTGGTACAACATAAGGAAATCTTTTCACATGAATTGAGTACTCGAGGGCAAAAGGAAAAAAATCTGTTTATGGATTCATCTGGAAGACAATGTGCTCTCGAATAAATAAACCAACTAGAGAGGCGTGAAAACGAAAACAATTTTTCTTGTCCCCGTCGCTACGATATGCATATCTTCGTGGCGCCAACGCGCCATTTCCGTCTCAACTTTAAACCCGGAAATCGATCATAAATACGAAAAAGTGCAGTTAAGAAGGACTTTTTTGATATCTGTTTTGAGTTTCAAAATTTTCCAAATATGGAAACTTGAAGTAAAATGATGGCCCTAAATTCAGCCTTGATTGATAGTTCAATAGAGTCAACTTCACAAGAGAAGTAATTTCAATCGAAAGTTCAAAATTGGCTAAATCATGTTTTCATGTACTGATTAAAAGTTTAGGAGAACTCAAAATATGCGAAATTTCAATTTAATGGAGAAAAAATGTCTCCGGAGCTCCATTCTCTTGCACAAAATCTATAAAAAAGGATATTTTGAAAACTCTTCAAAGTTGTGCAGAATTCCATTTTCAAGAAGTTCATTCAGTACATCAAAAGTTCTTCTGATCAATTCTCAAATGTCTGATATTCTCAGTAATTGAAGTCTTTCTTCTTAAGAAAGAATATTTTCAAGGTAGCACCAAAAATACATAGGAGCTTATTTTTCTTCTTGCCCGCGTTGAACTTTGGACTTATCGTTTCAATAAGAACTATTTTCGCTTGATATCCCCGTGCTAAAACTGCGGACTAAAAAGACCAGAAGCCATTCACAAATGGTCCGAATAAACGAAATATTTAAGTTTTTTCAGAATTTTGTGCTTTGCTCTGTCTGTCTGCTCATCGCAAGATTTGATCCCCATGCTTTGATCTTTCTCTCCTGCGCCGTGAGATGCATTGGCCATAGATTTGTGGAATAATTATCGATCCGGCAGGTAGGGGACAAAAAACGAAGATCCCACGAGAGCCGAGAATCCTACACAATGGATGCGGTTTTGCGCAGCTGTCGCAACCCACACACATATATACAAAGCGACACGGTGAATGGAGATGAGCCAAAATGTTGTCCCGCGTTGGAAAACTCGGACCGATTGATCTTGTTTTTTTGAACGGAACTTCAAAACTTTGGAAGAGAACGTTTTTTCGTTAAAAAGGATTGATCATGAGCTACCGATCGAGTTAAATTTTTGTCCTTTTTTTTGAAAAGAAAAAATCGTTTTGAACTTCAGATTTGAACCGGAGAAACAATTCCCTTATGCATTCAATTAAAGAGATACCCATAGAACTTTTTGCGCAATATTAGCACTCACTACGACTTCAAAACTCAGTCACTCTCGTGAAAATTTCCAACTTTTGAGTTTTCCCATCAATTCACAGTAATTAGCAATAGCAGCTAATTGAGTTTGCTCGGAAGAAGTTCGAAAAGTCATTTCTCCAGGGAGAAAACAGCGATGTAAACAATTAGAGGAAATTGGAAATAACGTCTTTCTGAGTATTGGAGAAATTTTTTTTGATTTAGTTTTAAGATTTATTATTTTCACAGAAGATATTCAAAACTTATGACGCGGCACTTCGAAAGAATCAAAAATCGTATCGTTGAGCTTTTCTTTGAAATCCGCCTCAATCAGAAATGGAGATCAACTACTGATTCCGGCGAAGCCACTTTCCGAGTCAGTAAAGTAGGAAAACATTAGGAAGTTTCGAAATTCTTTGTAGATCAACTGAGAAACAACAAGAGGAGAGATATTGGATTCAAAAAAATTACTACTGGAGATAAATTGGCGGAACAGTGAGAATAGGATGAAAATCTTGAGGAGAAAATGTTTTTCATAAATGAAAAAATGATAAGATTGAATCATACCGACTCCAAAAAATTTTTTGTAAACTCCAAGTATGTTCTTGACCTTGAGCTTCAAGTAACTTTTACCGATGTGAAACTGTCGAGAGAAGTTAGACGGCGTCATGGCTTGCCACGTCTTCTGAACCTTCCGTCGGCGTCGTCCCTTCTTCGGAGCGACGTTGAGGTTGCCGGTGGACTGGCTCGACCGTTCCGGATGAATGTACTGCGAGGAGCCAGGCGACGGCGTTCCGCGGAGAGCCTCCATCACCAGACTCAACTCGCTGATGCTCTTGCGACGGAAGTCGTCCCAGACGGCGGAAAGCTCTCGTCTCCGGCCAACAGGACTTTCTGGCACTGTCAGCAGGTCCATCTCCGGTTTGCGGCGGCTGACCCCCGGTGTCGACGACGCCGACTCGCTCAGGTGGTTCATCGCGGCTCACGTAGGCATCTCGGGTTACAGTTACTGAACAACCGCTGCTTTTTGGCTACTCGGTCAGTGAAAAACCAGAGGAAAGATATTTAGGCGTGTTCGACTCACAGAGAACAAGTAACAATGAATTTGAATAATGAAGACAAACTGGATGGTTCGACAAAGTCGAGAAGATCTTTTGTATATTTATTGTTGTGTCCAAATGAACTAAAGTTTTTTCTTATTCTGGATTCTCATTATTTTCTGAATTATTCCGCATTTTAAAAGGTAAAAATTTTGCTTTCTTGCGGATCCACATGCGATTTCCATGATTCCTTTCAAAAAAAGATAATATTAGAATGAAGAAAAACTTATATAATTCCTATTGAAATGAAATTTTTCCAACTAAAAAAAAATATAGATGAAGCCTAACCATATATCAACATGAGACTTTTAGAGTTCTAACAGTTTGAAGTTTGGAGAAGGTACTAAAGACTATGTGGACAGTTCATCTAGAGAGTGAAAACTGGAAAAGTGATAATGATATGGGATCGATCGATTGACTGGAGCCGGAAAGTGGAGCGAGTCGGTAAAGCGGCACAACAAGAGGAAGAAGACAGACAGCCCTGCCGCCGAGCCGCAGCAGTTGGAGCTCTCGGATCGGTCGGTCAGCAGAGAAACAGAGTAACAACAGCGGCTTTTGCCCCACGGCCTCTCTTCCTCTTTTTTTGATTTGTGCGATATGGCAGCCGATCAGTTTCATGTATGCTGGGCGGAGTCTGGCTGCGTCGTCGTTTCGACTTATATCGTCTTCCACGTTTCTTTGCGTTCCGTCAAGTCTTTCCGATGACTTCCAGGACTACTGCCATATCCAACCATCGCTCTCATCTTCAGACCCTTCTGTCCTTTCTGTCGTGTGACTTGCCACTGTCGTTTTTGATGTAGACGATTTATTCGGTCATTTTATTTGATGGTTTTAATAAAGCTATGAAACTGCCATGATCCTGTAGATCCTTTGGATGGACAGAAGTGTTAGGTTCTCTTATAAAAAAATTATCGATTATATTTCTCTATTTTCTAGTAGTACCAATATTAGGAAAATATAAAATTTTTTGAATATCTTCAATCCATAACTTCCAGCGTACATCTTTGAGCCTTTTTCAGCGCATTTGTTCTAGGATATTACACCTCATCGCTATAAATTCAGAACGAAGCTCGTAAAAAACCGATGTCATCAGTTTTATAGGTCCACTAGTATGGCAGATGTGAAAATCGATGCTGTTGGTGTGACTCAAGTGCGAAATCCTACAAATCGAGATCCTTAACCGCTTCACTGAAATATTCCAGTAGGTTTAAACTTATTTTTGGTGGGTCAGTTCAGAGCAAGTCTGAGAGAAAAGAACATCAATGGAACCTTCAAAAACAGAAACTTGAACAAAAGATCTCAGAAACTATGAAAGCCGTCCAAAATCAAGAAATTAGACAGAAAAGACAAAGATCAGTTCGTGATTTGAAGCGACTACTTTGAAATTTTTCGTAGGCTTTGAAGATTGCCTTTGGGGAGATTGATTTAGTCTCCTCAGGTTTTGTATGTAAAGCGTAGAATGAAAACTATTAAAAAATCGAATCTACAGTGGAAGTCAAAAATGGTAGGAATTTTCCGAAAAGTTAACAGGTGAAAAGAGTTCGGAATCAGACATCGCTGCCTACGCTCAGGAAAATCAGAAAAAAAAACTGATTCCATTAATTTTTTTGGTATCATCAGGCTGATTTCTTTCAACTCTACTGCAAAGAGATTATACTTAAATTTTGCCAGCCTAATCTACTTCATCCAAGGCTAAGCCAGCAATAAAAAAATAAGAACAAAAATTAAGAATTCAAAAGTATGGAGCTTGAGATCCATCGAATAGTCTCTCAAATATAAAACTCTGGAGTCAGACCTGCTGCATGGGCGGCCGAAGACTTGGATGTGGAGGCTCCCATCAGAAGGAGTGCGGCTTCGGCCCGGCGATCCGCGCGTAGCGTCAAATACGACGCCAGTAGCGCGCTCATCTGCATATACAAACATGGGAAAAAAAGGAGAGGAAAAAAAAGTCCAAGTCAAGTCGAACTGAAAATGGAAAGAAGGGGCCAAGATGTCGACGAGGACCGACCAATTGAAATCTGATACGCGGCCGAGAAATTTGCAAAAACGACGTGTCAATATAATTGCGGCTATAAAACGACATCTGTGGCGAAATATGAAGAAATTTTCATCAAGTCAGTTAATATCTTAAAGTTCCAAATGAAGCTGAATGCTTGAAAGATTGAAAAAAATGTCACTTGTTTAAAATCCTTTCTGTGGTATTTAAAAGGTCAATAGACCAAATTCCTCTTTAGTTAACTGAATTCAATGCAAATTTTGGTTCTTTCAAAACTATTGTACCAGCAAGAAATTTCAGAAGTGCTATAGCCATACATTTCCTTCAGGTAAAGACTAATAAAGTAGTTGCTTTCTAAATGGCTAATATATTTTCGAAACAAGTTTTGATGCCATTAAACTGATTCCTCAGCTAGCAATATAGTTTTTTACAAGTTCATCCTTTTTCTGAATGGAATTTAAAAAGTTGCTACATCATTATAACAAAGAAAGATTAGTAAGCTATCGTCCAGAAAAGTTAGCTGAAGATTTTACTTTTTGAAGAGGACATCTCAAAAAAGGCAAAACGTTTCAAAACCTAGCAGGACGGCTCAAAATGAGACACATATATTGTGCTCATTTTCGACGAGTCTAACCCCAAAACGCCTTTTTTCCGCTCTCATCTTCCCCGGTAATGTCAAGAAATCGCCCACCAGCGACCTTTTCAGTACTCATCCAAGCATGAAAAAGATTTCAAGCTTTCGAAGCAACGACTGATAAACGCCCCCGGATGGAAAATTAGTCGCGAGATGATTCACCAATATCAAACAAATGAAAAAAAAAAACTAACTCAGTTCGTAAAAAAAAGAAAATTATTGAGAAAATTTTGAAAGAGCGTGCGTCGACCTCGATACAAGCTGGAAATGTAGTAAGTCCTCAGCGAGAAATCCGATACATACAACAGTAGGTGGGTTTTCTTAAAAGAGTGATGATTTTTGAGTGAAACTCTTTTTTTCTAAGATCATCAAAATGCAAAGAAAAAAACCTAGGCTCATCTTTGTTCAAAATTTGTACCTACTTATGATTTTCGTAGTTATGTATTTGTTATAAAAGTGCTTCAAGGGCCGAAAAAAATCCAAAAAAATATAAAATAAGACCTACATTACAAAAATAATGGTTCTGAATAATGGAGAACAACGTTTCCAGTATAAATAAAAAAATCCGAAGTCCGTTTTTTTCAACTTTTCATGTCAACCCAACAGCTCTCAAAGGTTACATTAAACTTGATTAACTAAAAGAAAGTCTGAATTTCGAAATAACAAGGTAGAATGCTCAATAAAGTTATTCATATTTAAGGAAAACACCACTTTATTGTATAGATTTATCAATTGTATTTTGACTGAAAAATTGGAATTATCAAAAGCGATCGCCTGCGACTCAAAACGGTTTACGCGTAGTGAAGAGCTTTTAAAAATAAAATACAAATGAGATATTATGACAAACTAACTGCAACGTATGTTAACTTTAGAAAAGTTCACGTTGATTCCCTTCAATTAAACTAATGAACTTATTGAATAATCACGCTTCCCACGACATAATCATGACGTAGTTGCTCAATTTAGGTCGATTCCACCAATTTGATTCTTTCTCATGAAAAAAGGCTGTTTGAGAACATTTGAAGACCCTCAAGAAGCGACAGCTGTCCTGTCGTATCTCGTTACCTCTTCTCTTACCTACGCAACTTTTTTCTGCTCTTTTTGAACCAAAAGAACCAAGATTCGACGTCACAAAAACTGAAGTTTTTCAAGAGGAAAAAGTTTTTGCACTCACTAATTGCAACAAAAACTTCGATGGGATTACTAATCTTCAGAACACGGGAGAAAAATGAAAGAACTGAAATTAGGCTCTTGAGAAGCGGAGACAATGAAAAGAAGAATTGGACTTCGGGAAATTGGGGAAATTTCTGAGGAACAGCTACAAACGTTGACTGCCAAAAAGAAAAAAACAATATTGAAAACTTTTGTGAAAATTTTAAAATAGAGTTTCTATATTTTTTGGCCAAATAGAGTTTTAAAATACAACCGATTTTATTGGGTTAAGTTCGACGGTGCCTCTAAGACTTCAAATCTTAGAGCATGAGCACAAGAAGACGGCAGAGATAGGAGACTTTCTGTACACGGAAAAATACGAAAAAACACAAGTGAATGGAGTTTTGTATAAAGCATCTTGTAAAATGTTAGAGAAGAAAAGATGTAAAACTGACGGCCAATGACGAATTCGCTGAGACTCTTCTTCATGCGTCTGGGTTCGCCGACGTGCAAAGCGTGCAGGGCGGCGAGGTTGTGAAGAGTTTCGCTGCGGGATCCTTTGCCAGGACTCGCCGTCAGACTCCTCAACGGCTTCGGCAAGTAGTTCTTGAGGAGGTGGAACGGCTCGCTCTTCCGTCCTCGTTCAGGCTCTTTGTGCTCTTTGTGGAGCTGCTGCTCGACGGAGGCGCACTGACGCGTCAGAACCGCTCTTCGGATCATCGGCGAGGCTTCGTCGATGTAGAGAAAGGGTTGCGGCGACGTCGACGTCGGTCTTCTGACGCCATTGTTCTCGACGTCGTCGTCAGTGTCGTCGTCGGATTCGCCTCGTGCTAGTTGGGCCATCAGCGCCATCCTTCTGCAATGGTTGGTTAGTAAGTTGGTTGGTGAGACGGAAAAGAAAGCAAAATCGCGGGTTTATCTGAAAGAAAATAAATGAAAAGAATCATTGTAGCCAAAAACAAAGCGAATAATGAGTGCTATGTTGATTTTTTAATGGAAAACAGCAATTATATATTCCACGTGGTGCAGCAATTTAAAGTTTCCACATGGTTTATTTCGAGATGAACAAGATATTTCCGCTGCGAGAATAGTGTTCAAAAAAGACGTGTCCTTTCTGTTTTTTAATTTTTATCTTAAAATTCATGAAAATAGATAGGACTTGGAAGTACATCTGAAAGCCAGAATAAGTGTCTGTCCGGCAAAAATTTGCATTTTCTTCTCGCTCTTTGGCATTTTGAAGGAATTTCGACTCAGTGAAACGTCTCCATCATCTAAAAAGTGAGACTCACGTTCAAACGAATTTCCCAAAAGCATTGTTCTGCGTATATTTTTGGATGGATATATGTAATAAAATAGAGGAACCAATTTGATAAAAAAAAAAAGAAAATGAGCCACGTCAAGCCTATCGTAGTAGTCTGCTTGCCAAACATAGAGATCTTCCCTTCGAAATGTAATAAAAATTGGTGGTTTTTCCTTCGGAACTTGCCTTTTCGTGCCATTTTTCAACAACGAAACGCCTTGGCGCGCCAATCTATCTCGTTGGCTTCGAAAAGCGCGTTTTTTAACCCGAAATAGCTCATGACAATGTGCCCAGGGAGCATTATAAGCCACTAAACGCGTTGAATCCGCAAAACTCTTGTCGTTCCGTTTTGGATCATTTCGTAAAAATTTGATTTTAAACGAAAAAAACAAAAAGAAAAGGTGGAAACTCAAAAAATAATATTTTGCAGAGTGTCTCTAAACCCTCAAAAGGACTCCTCTTACAGAAAATCATTCGCTCAGTTTCAGGAACCTTGAGACATTTTCTAAGCCAATTGATCAAAAGTAGCATTTTTAATTTTTGAATGTGAAACTTTCATAGAACGTAAAAGAAATGGCTGTCGTAGTGGGACGAATACGGAAACAGACTTGCTCAAAAATGCATTCATTCAGTCGCCTTTTTCAAACTGACCCTTGGGATGCACGAAAAAAAAGAAGCAAAACTAGAGAAGCAAAAATAATGGCACAGTAAAAAACTCAGTACTAAACACTTTTCAGTCCCAGAAATTCCAGTTAGTGCATTCAGAAGAAAAGTTTTGGCAGGAAATTATAGAGCTCACATTTTTGCTGGGTCGACTCTTGCTTAGATTTCCGGCAAAGATAACACATTGGCTATTTCAGGCCGAAAAAAAAAGATGACATTTCTGAGACACTTTCAACATTCTCAAGCACGTTTCAGATGAATCACAATATGTGTAGCCTTGAAATATACAACTCCAAAAAAGAAACATCGGAGGAAGGGCAAAAAGGAGAATTCTTTATGGGCCTTCTCTTGAGATTTCCGAGCGTCGGCATCTTCAAAGAGAATCACGGCACCTTACATTCCCTTCATCATTTATTCAAGTCGTTTTTTAACTGGAAGCAAAAGCTTTTCCTGCATTATCCTATCGAAAAAGTACACCATATTGCGCAAAATAGTCGTTGAAGTTGAAGAAAAACTAGTTTCGTTGAAAAACAGAGTTGAGGACTCGGATCTTCGAGAAAACCAATGAGCCGTGCAAAATGGACTACGATGATGGAACGTTTGTTTCGCAGAGGATCGAAGAGCTCGTAGTATTTAGAAAAAAAAACTCACATGCAAAAGTAGAAAATAGTAAAAAAATTCTTATTTATAACTCAAGCTTTCTCTAAGAATTTTTGGACAGGAAACGTTTTTGAGAAAACCTTTTTCATAACTTGATTTCATGTTTCGATTCACAACGTTTTGAAGTTTTGCAATGACAGTTTTTTTTTGTATTTGAGCAGCGTTCCATTGTAAAATGCAAGCTGTACATACAAGACATTGAAAATTTCAAACTTCCTCTTTGTTTTAAAGGAATAGAAAGAAGAAAAAAAATAGAAGTCAGATATCTGTGTCTTTTGAAAACACATGAGCTTTTGGAGAAACAGCGATGGGCATGTCGTGCGCCAAATTTGATCTTTTGAGAAATTTATTGAAGGGAAAACCTTCGAAATTTAAAAGCGTATTCATTCAATTTTCCTATTCATTGGAGAACCGAGATCTCAAATAAAAATGTTTTTATAAATGAAAGAAAGCTCCTCGAAGATTTTGATAATTGTCATCGAAGAAAGCTACACAAGGCGATGCGCTTCCTCCAAAACAAAAGGAATAGAACTTATGTTTAGCTTGTCCAAAAACCCGATGACACCAGCTTCCTCTGGCGCCAAAAAGGGATTTTCCCAGCACGAAGCTCCGCCCACTTCCTTTTTTTTCCTTTGGAGCGTAGATTGCAAAAACGTTGCAACTCAGCTGACAAGTGTATGACCAACTAGTTCTTAAGTACTATCTACTGATTCTCAAAAATTTCAAAAAAACCGAAAATCAATTAATGATTGAAAAATTCCTATTTACTTGAGAAAGGATTGATATAATCCGAGATAAAAAATTTCTAGCGAATTTAAAGAAAAGTCTGATCAAAAATGATTTCGTTTTTAAAAGAGTCAAATAATGTAAAGTGAAGACTAGAATTAAACGTTGGGAAGCATTCGAAAAAAATTTGTTGTCTTCCGCGAATTCGCATGGGGCCGCCAATAAAAATGCGCGTCCTGACATCTTTAGATGACGTCGTGAGAACTATCGTTCAATTCTGAGGTCATCTCATGCCAAACTGCTACTCGAAGCCTTTCAGAAGACGATCGGAAAAGACCCTATGAGCGACTAAAGAGCGGGACGCACTTTAAAACTGGCGAAAGCGATTAAAACGTTTCAAAACTAAAAAAAAAAACAATCAAGGGTACATTGAACTTGAGGCATTTAGTGAATGAGTGGATACATAATAAAAATTTGATTCGATCATCTTCTTAATTTCTGTTCAAAAAAATCTTTATTTGCTGCGACTTTCAGAAAAGCCTAAACGGATTTATGAAAATCACGAGACAAAAATCTTGATCTTTATTTGAGGTCCTTTAACAAACTCATTTCTTTCGAACAGCTTTTAAAAGAAAGAATACAAATGTGTCTGAAAAAAACGATTTCAAAACTTCTGGAAATTTTGAAAGATCTCCCCTTAAGATTTCAATCTCAAAGCAATACTCATAGTTGACAGTTTTCTTGAGAGCTATTTTTCAAACATCCGTCAAGTAGCCTCGTTTTCTGTACTGAGTATTTCTGTGAACGTGCCACTCGAAAACGATTCGCGATGTTTTTAGCCAAAGTCAAAAGTCAAGGAACAACGTACAGAGTTTGTCTAGCTTTATGAAAAGTAAAAACGTGGCTTTTTTAAAAATCGTGGAAGGAACAAATTTTCCAAGTTCACTCAAAACAAACTTATTTTGAGCCTATTTTGTTTCGAATTCACTTCATTGAACCAGAAACGGTCTGAAATAATTATCTTTGAACAAGAAAGAGACTATCAATAGCAAATAAAGATCGATCATCTTGACTTATAAAACAAGTATACGAGAAAAAATAACCTCGTGAAAAAGAACGGAAAACACGACAATCGAAGGAGCTCCGTACGCTAAAACTAATAGCTGTGCAAACACTGTAATATGCTCTTTGAGGCTCAAAAAGAAAATTCAAATTTGACCTACAAGAAGGCAGTTCATGAATATATATTTTTGGAGGAATAAAAAGTTTTCAACATTCGGAAGGCAAAAAACTTTAAGATGGAGAAACTGAAGCAAGAAAGAGTTCGCCCGTGTAAGAATAATCAGTTTATTTTTCAGAGTATTATTATTATTCAGTGTGAAGTCTTTACTCAAATTGGCTGCTCTCTTTCATTTTTCAGTTTTCCACGTAGAGCATGGTTTCCGAGTTCAGATACAACAACCGCTACAATCTGAGGTCGGCACTGAATGGACTACTCGCAGAAGAATGAGGCGTAGGACCGTCAGACCATGCTTTCATCCTGATCAACTACACGCTTGGACTTCTATTTCGCCAAAGGCAGGTCACATTTCAGAAAACTAAATACGCGATAACTCTTTAACCGCATTGAAAACACGATTGGAAAGATCATTAGGCTAAAAGTAAAAATGAAGCGCTGACAGGTCGAAGGATATCTACGTTGTAGACACACATGTAAAAAAAATTTTCTTGTTTCATGAAACCAAACTCACTCGGAATTTAAAACAGCCCTCAAGATAATTTTTGATCAAGGTCTGCCTACCTCAACTATTAAGTTATAATCAAAGGAAATGTGATTGATATGGACTTCTCCACTTTTTTCCTTATAACATCCACCAGAAAAGAGTCACCATCATCCTACCAAAAAAGAAAGAAACGAACAATGATCGATAGTCTGGATAATCTGAGTTGTGGACTTGGAGGCCCACATTTCGTTGACATGTCGTTTGAACCAGGACCTCACGCCGTTCAGAACTGTCAGATGCGCCTTCAGAAGGAAAGACGACTTCTTTTTCTTTTTGTTTTGTTCCTCCAGAGGATCCAGGATTCTTTCGGTCGTCTCCGTTGACATGTTTCGAATATTCGTCAAGTTCGGAAGGGAATAATTTTTGTGAAGTTAGACTAATGACAGGAATAGCAGTTCTAGCAAATTATATATTTACAGAATAGTAGCTTTGATGAGAAAATAGTTGTCCGTAGACCAACAAAAAACACGAGTCGGAAGCGTTTGTGTGTGAGTCGCGTATCAACGCGAATGAACACGGGTGCACTCATTTTTGTAAGCTCAAAGACAATAAAAAACGCTCAAACTCACAGAGCATCTTCTTCTGAAGCTTCTTGGCTTCCGCCTCTTCCTTCTCCCTGGAAAGAAAAAAACGCGATGAGAAGCTAACATGATGTTTGTCCAATGGCGACACGCCGTGAAACGGTATATCTCTTCACTTTTCTGTTTGGCTCCTGTTATCGGTTTTTGAGCATTGTAGTGATGATTGACTTTGATCTTTAAGTCTGGGAAAATATTCAAGACATCGCGGATCTTTAGAATTCATATTTTTCGAAAAAACATCAATAAAAAATTGAGATGAGAGAAATTTTCCCCAGCTTATTTTAAAAACACTTTGAATCTTTTTCCTGGTTTTTTTTTCTTCAAGTCTATTTTTAAACTGTTTTTTTTTTTTGCGAAACTGAGAAAACAAAAATCTTTGTCATAACTTTTGTGGACCCCAGGGTCGCTTCTGTTATTAATTGAAAAAAAGAAACTTACAGCTTCTGATCGAGCCCATAAAGCATAGAACGAAGGCCTGGCTCTGCATTTCTCACACTTTGAGTTTTCCGCGCCTAAAAAAAATCAAATAGTTCAGTAGCATTTTCCTAGCTCAACACGTATCAAAATTGCTTTAAAATTGTCAAAAAATTGAGGAGATTGCTGCGAAAAAAAATATTAACAAAGAATAACTTCAAACTTTAACGACATCATGGACATTTAAAAATGCAACAGCTTCAAGAATCGCGGACAATAATTAATACAAAGAAGCTTTTTTTTTGTCATAAAGGCTCAATCGTCACACATTACACAACCCACTGACCTTGGATGGACGGAATATCCGAAAAATATTCTCCATACTCTTCAACTTTCGCACCTTCTGTATGTTGAAATAATAATGATTACTGTGATAAATATATCAAAATTATTCCAATATCGTTCATTATTATTGGAACAATAGCGAGAGACTGTTTCGATATGTGGGAATTTCAGATAATTAATTAGAATTCTGCTTCGAAGTCTAGAATCTAATATGCCATTCGGATACGTACAGAGCATTATTAGAGAAAAAATTTTTCGATTCTGATTCTGAAACTTCTCATTCGGACGAGCGCTGAAGATTTTTGAAAAATAAATAATTCTTTAAACTTGCACCCGACTTGAAGAGGTTTGCCTTGTTTTGCATTTTTTACTTTGGTCACTAATTTAAAAAATATTTTTCTTTGACAATAAAGTTCAAAAACTTGAAAAGCCCTCTAGAACTTTTTTGCACTTTTTTCCTAAGTTATTGTAATTTTTGAGAGAAGTGAAGCTTGCATGATTGATTGGTGAGAAATGCGACTCAAAGAGCGATTTTTTGTCGTGAAAATCGGGATCAAACTACTCAGTTTTTGCAATAGAAAAGTCTACAATTTCGCTTTTTTTTTCTAAAAAAGCCTTGATCAGAGAGAAACGAACCCGATTAATACTGCCATCAAGGGCGAGGTCACCATTTTCGCCGAAAGCTGAAGAAGCGCGGCTTCTTCTCACAAAAGAATTGGACGATTCTCGTCGGGAATCTCGACTGGAACTCCGTCTGTCGCACTGAAATCGGATTTGCTCGAGTAGATGAGAAAAGAAAACAAAGCTCCAAAAAAAAAAGGAAAAAGAAGATTATTTCCGATTTTCTTAAAACTTCCGTACACTCCAGATATAAAAAAACTTTTTTTGTGAAGTCTTTTTCAAAAAAATTAATGTTTATTTTAAGTATAATGGAGATTTTTTTGCTTTTTTTATCCCCACGATGAAGCTTATTTACTGTAATTAAACAATTTTTAATATAGTTTCTTTTTTTTATCAGAAAAACATCTCGGTGAGAAGAAGCGCACGACAAACATGGAAAAGCAAATTGAAGATCTTGAGGCGCTTCTTTTTAAAATCTGAAGGATCAACACGCAGAACTTCCTATTCTTTTTTTTTGAGAAAGGACCTCTCAAAGTCTGAGAACGGTACATTTCCACAGATTTTTCTGACTTTGAGGTCTTCGTTATCAGAGATTGAGTTGAGCTGCACTTTGAGACTTTTTTTTTTCTTTTCAGAACCTTCTTTTTGCCTCATAAAATGTTCCGACCGCTCTTCAAAGGATTTCTAAGCATGAATCTTAAGGCTTTCCCGAAAATTCCGAAAACTATATTTTCTCTCTTCATTTTCAATAAACTTTTCTATCTTGAACAATACAGCGTCGTGTTTGAAATGAAAATTTGAATTCATCCAACAAATAGAGAAAATAAATTGAAAAAGAAAACGATGCAGAAAACTTCTTTCAATGAATCCTTTAAAATGCAAAAGTTAAACAATTTTCATACGTTAAACTCGAAAAAAAAAAATCGATCAGTCTAGGGATTTCTTCCGGGACCGCAAGAGCAAATAACGCACTACGTTGGCTGCAGATGGATCGACGGTGTCAGAAGGGGCGACGACGACGTCGGCTCCCTCGGTCGTGTGCACGCGGATCGAGACCGACGCCATGTCCTCGTCGTCGTTCGTCGATAGGAAGCCTGCAGAGGAGCCCCATATTTGGTCATGTATAGCTGTTTTCGATTAACGTTTCTATGCATTCCCAACAACTCTAACGTTTCATTCTATTCATGGAATTATAAATATCGATAAATATCAGAAAAGATTAAATTTGATACTTTTTGTCGATTTGGAGTAGGAATCAATGGAACAGCAAGAAGTTTAGGAAAATGCTTCAAATCAGTCCGAAATCATCAGAAAGCAACCAGAATTCTAGAACAAATAAGCACTTGACTGCTTCTGATCAACACTAAACATGTTGATAACGTGGACTACTCTTCAAAATTGAAAATTAACACTTAAAACAAAAAAAATATCTCTAAAACCTAAAATCAGCGAAAAGAAAAGAAACAGCAGCAGAAAAACGCATAAAAATCAAGAATTATGCGTGGAACAGGCATCTGGAAGCACATAGGAGGTCGTTATTTTTACCCATTCCGTCCCCAAAAAAAACTTGAAATTTATGCGAAGCAAAGTATTTAACGTTTGATAGCAATTCAACCGAAAAAAAAACTGGGAAGCTCTTCTGCTGAAAAAAATTTATTGCCAAACAACACACGCAAGCTGATAAATTGACCTTTGAGATGTTTTTTGAGATAACAAAGTCGTTCTTCTTTCTTTCGTTTCGATTGATTTGAGGAAAAATCTTTAAGCCTACCAGTTGAACTTCAAATACTCCTGCGGAATATTTTTGGCATAGGCGTGGGTGTTTTGAGACAGATGAAAATAAAAAAGGCAACTTTCTTTCTAAAGATGCTTTCAGGTGTTCTCGAACTGATATTTTGATTTTTCAGACCTGAATAAAGAATCCGGGGAAATTATTGTATAGGTTTTTTTTTATCTAGAAAATTTTCAAGTTTTGGAATTCTTTACGAGATCAGCGAAAGAATCGACTCACAATTATATATTATTTTATTTTTCAGCTAGGGGTGAAAAGATAATGGGAGCATTAACCTTAGGCAAAAAAACAGAGAAAAAACCTCAAAAAAGGAACCATTTTACGTGCATAAATTTGTGTCAATCCAGCTGTGAGAAAAAATCGAGCGAGGATTTCATTGATTGTTTGGATCGAAGCGGAAACTCCAGGAGTTATCATGAATCCATAAGAAAATAAATAACTATTACAAGACTATAAAAGACATGATTAAAATAACAGCGAAAGACGATTCGCGAATGGCTTTGAAAACTGGTAAAAAAAAAACGGTCGGCTAGAATAAAAAAGTTCTTTGCAGGTTGGAATCCGGAGCTGCGTCGCCACAGAAGCGCCCCCACACAAACACAACACGTCGAGTACTTTACCACTCGAAAATCCCAGCGAAATAGCGCGATGGAGACCGCCTTTTTGAATTCGGCGGGAAAGTACCGCGTGAAAAACTCGTGGGGTCTGCCACTAATATAAAATAAGATATCCAATTTCAGAAAATGTGAATTTTCCATTACTACATTCTGGTTTTACTTGGTTTTCCATTTGCGGCCGAAATTTTGAATTTCGGACTAAAAGCTTAATGGCAAGGGAAAGACAAATCAAGACTCAGAAGCTCAGGCCGTGAAGTGGTCCCGACGGAACAAGAGAAATAAGGACGAGGCGGAGTTCCGAGAGTTAAAGGCCGACAGAAAAAAAAGAAGAAAAAGTATAAAAAGATGAGTCAGAAAGTGGTGCAAAAACGTAATCCGATCTGTTGAAAAATAGAAAGCGCATAATAAGTCAACAGATCGCTATCGTTTTTTCTATGAAGTGCGAAAAATTGGTAGTACTGTTATGTAGTTCATCTCAATATTGCAACAAACCTTGTGGAGTTGCATTTCGGAACTCTTCTGCCTCTGGACTCCGCGCCGTGTGAAGAAAAGGATACGTGTAGGACGCTAAAAACGTTAATTTAGGTTTATTATCAATTCAAGTCAACTCACGCTTCATTTTGTTTTTATAACCCCTTCAAGTACCACCTCTACGCGGTGATGGGGAGGCAACGCCATTTATGGCGGCTAACGGTACACCGGTCACGCAATTCGGCTTGCTTCTGCTAACAGAATGGGCGGTCTTTTTTAGCCCTGGCAAGGCAAAAAGGATAATAAGACCACAATTATGCTATAACACGTTCAACACCACGGATGGAACTTTTTCGCAAGAATACCAGTCAACCAGGACGACAACACTGGATGACCGATTGCATAAGATCTCCTGGAAAACGTGTGGTCCACGCTTCGATCAATAAAAGGCACTAAAAGGCAATAAAAGGTCGAAAGCGAAGATGGATCATCTAAGTATCTAAGTAAGTAAGTAAGTAACATCGCCACGTATCCCAGAGAAAACCTGGAAAAAAGTTTATAATTTTTTTCAGTTTTTCACAAAAGAAAATTATGCTAAATATATACACACGTCAACTTCAAAAAAACGGTATAATATTTAATTAAAAACGACTAAGAGGCATCGGAAGACACGAGTAGGACACAAAAGAAAACTTTGTGAGAGCCAATTTTTCGAAGTTGGTTTTTCTGGTCTCGTAACAATTATGTCTCTGGCTCTTATACTCGTCTTTAGCCACCACAACAAGACTTTGTGGATAGACTATGAAAGAAATAAGAAAGGGGAGCAGTATTTTTCGGAAATGATTCAGCGTAAAATATCGTGTTAATTGTGCCTGGGGCCTCGATCGAAATAAACGATCTTAGGAAGCGAAACGGTGAAAAAAATTCTTGTGAGTTCAAATTTTCAGATATACTCACAGAAGACTTATTGAAACGGATAAAAATAAAATTAAAAAGTCGACGTTTTTTTCAATAATTTTAATTTTTCTTCAAATTATTCTTTTCACACTTCGGACGTGAAAAAAACTTTTTGAATGTTAAATTAACGAATTTTTCTTTGGAAAGCGCGCGAGCAAAAAAACGTTGGGAGCATGTGAAGATCATGACACGAAACTTCTGCTTTGTGCTGCACGGCTGTCGTCCTCAGAAAAAGATCAACCACTTACTTTTGGTTATCAGTTTACTTAATCAATATCTCAGAGTCAGGAACTTCAAAATTTGCTCAATTTTATTTCCACCCTTTCAAATAAGGACGATTGTGAACTTCGACTTTTTTGAAGCGACCGACCTGAGGATAGAGTTGGTGAGTGGGTGGGAGTGTTGAAACGATTGATGGGAGACAAAAATTGAGAAAAGAAAATTTCCAACTGAACTCAATCAATAGCTCTGCGACAAATCGTTTCCTAATTTTCGGATAGAAAAGAGAGATTGAGGTGAATCAAAACGAATTGTGAGTGATGAAGAGGCGCCCTCATCAATCCTCTTGCCAGGAGATTTTTCCTCCTCTTTCTTTATTTCAAAAATTTCCTAGTAAATGAATTAAAATAGCTATATCTATATCGTATCTGGGCTTAATCTTACTCTAAAAGAAAAAAATTTCCAGGTAAACTTCAAAAAAACAAAGAAAAGTTGAGAATTATTTTTATCTATGGAAACGAAAAACCAAGAAGTAACTCAGCTTTTAGAAGCAACTCGAGCGTTCAAATGAATGAGAACCTCATAAATTCACAAGGATCCAGGAAGCGAAAATAAGTAGAGGAAAAACATGAAAGAAAGCCAAACTCTTAAAAACCAACAGGTGTCAAAGAGCCGTAAAACCTAGTGTTCATATCGTTTCTCTCACCTTTTCAGAGTCTCTCGAATGTGAAAATCTCCGGATCGCCTTTGATTTAAAATATATAAAAGTCGCTCATTCGACAGTTTGAACCGGAAGTAAAAAAAGATACCAGCCAGAGAGAGAAAAGAAATGAACTTAATTTTGATCCATTTGAAAAAAAAAAGCAAAGTTGAAGAGACAGGAAAATTTCGATACGATCTCCAGGAAAACAAAATAGAAAACATATAGCAAACCTGGGAAGATGAACACGATCTAGAGGAAGCTCTGAAATCCGAGATAACTGAAGTCCGTCTTTTTCATTAAACTGGACCCCGAAAACCCGCGACACACTATGCCCATTGATAATCCAATAAATCAAGATGGGAAGAAAGGTTAGTCCTGAAAGCCGACTATTTTTTTTTATCTTTTTTTCGTTCTCTTGAGGCGTAACCTGTTTGGTTGGCCCGGCGGAAATGCCTCCGGCTGTAAAGTTGTGACGTTATCGCGGTGGCTCCGGAGTTTTCAACCATCTGAATTAGCGAGCGTTCGAGGGGCTGGCTTCTCAAAATAGTCATTCACAAAATAAAAGTTTTTTGATAAATTATGAGCGAAATCTTTGGAAAAAAAACTTCAGAATCATTCTGCTTTTTTTACTCTAAAAATGTGCATTTCCTTCTCAGAATTTGAGAAACAGAGCTGATTAGTCTGCGTTTTTTTCGGCACCCACTGAAGAACCGCTTAAACCCCAATCACTGGAGAACCGCTTAAACCTATTCAGTGATCCCTTCAAAAAAAAAAGCGAATTCTCCGTTCTGTTCTCATAAAAAACTCTTTAATATAGACTAGATTCAATCGTCGAAGCTATTATCAAACTTCGAAATCCATAGATTAAAAATAAATCGCAAAAAAAGTATACTTACGCCTTTATAAAGTCCTTAATGTGAAGGAAATTTTCTTTCTTTTAAAAGAAGAATTTCACAAAAAGAAATTGAGAAAAAGTTTCATCGCGTAAAATGTATTGTTTTGGATGTCGTCAGAGTTAACGTAAGAACTTACGCGCAATCTTTATAATTTTTCGATTAAAATTTATAAAACTAGGAATTTTCTTTCGTATTTATTTGTCGTGTTTCTTGCTACTCAATGATGAACGCATTTTTCCAGATTTTACTCATAGGAAGTTTTTTGGTTTGCTTCTGTTATTTTTGAGACGAAGTCGCTCACTGCGGTCAAAAAAACCTCTACTCCAAGCAGGTACATACCGGTATGATCAAATTCAGAAAAAAAAAACTTTTTCAAGTGTCATAGTTAGTACATTAAAGATACTGACCAGTATCTCAGAGCACGGTGTTTTTTTTATTACGCTAGGTCAAGACTTTTCGTAAATAATGATGCTTAGAGTGTAAGCACACCGAGACGCCCTATCGCATACTCAAAAATACTTTTTTTCAATTTTTAGAATTTGCGATTTCAGGATAATAGCTCCTGAAATGTTCGAAATTTGTCATTTTGAAGAATATGATGTGAAAAAAAACATTCACTTACGTTAAAAAAACATTTAGGAACGATTTCGAAAAGGGAAAACTCTAAATTACTGATTACAAAATAAAAACAAAAAATATTATGAAAATGAATCAGCTCCCATTGAATAAGCATTTATAAATACGAAAAAAATATTGAAATGAGGAAAATTCGAGGAGCAAATGACATTTTTATATACCTCGAAAACCTAGTTTCAGAAAAAAACATATAATGGATAGAAAGCAGAAATTTTTAGAAAGAAAACCTCGTATGGCGAAATTTTTTTGTTTAAATCCGAAAAAAACCATCAAAAAAACTAGAAAAAAAATATAATTTAGATGATGCATATATCAAAATCATTAAACTGCATCAGCAAATTCAATTTGGCTCTAATTTACGCGAAACCGGTTTTTAAACTACGTCAAAGGAACTAGATAATAACTTTTTTTATTATTAACTGATTAAATTAAAAAAACTATAGTTTCCGAAATAGAGCGATTATTTTTCATGTCGCGAAACAGATTTCAAAATTTTTGAAAAAAATTAGGACTTTTAGAAAAAAATCTTCAGCTCTTTTTGAGAAAAAAAGTTAAAGATCTGAAACCGGTTTTAGAAAAAAATGCGCAATTTAAAAGCTCCACAAGATGTACCCATAGAGAGGCGGATCACATAAATGCAAGAAATAGAAAAAAAGTAAAAAAACCAATGAAAAAAAGTGAAGAAATTCAATTTTTTTGCATCAGAAACGATGAGAAGGGCGCAATAATGCGCCACGGATAATATGCCGCTGGGACCCAAAATTTCGCATTTTTTTTCATTGCGCGGAACACCGTGAGAGATAGAGGTTTCGCGGTGCAGAAATTTAACTTCATCGTTTTTATTTTGGTGCTATCTTTGTGTTGATCAGAAGAAAAAAAAACTCTATGAGCCATACACGTGGTTGGCGAGCTAAAAGTAAATTAAAACTGTCCAATGAAATTTCAATTTAGTTTCTCTCACTTTTTAGTTCCGAAATGATCGTCATATCTTCAGTGAAATCGTTTGATTGTCTTGAAAAATTTTAAAGCAAAAAATAATAATGGAAAAATAGTCCAGAAGATGACTTTGGGTTATTTTATGTTCTGCTAAGTGGTATTCGCAAGTCCGAGTTTCTGCTCTTGAAAAAACTCTCGAAGAAGACGGCGATAGCCACAGGTGGACGGAAAAGGGAAACAAGTAGGCGGAGCCTCTGACCCTCCACCGCACTGTTGCCACTTATGACACCCATCGATCGCTGTATTTCGCTTGTTTTGCTCTGTTTTTCTTTGCATCGTTGCTCTGAAAATTTTAATTAACCCACAAAAAAGTGAAATGACAACATGCGAATTATGTTACACAGAATATTATTACTTGTTTTGATGTTTCAGTTTTTTGAAAACGGCTGTGAATACTCAGTGATTTTTCGGTTTTTGTTCCTGTATTTGATCTGTTTCTCAATTCTCAACTCTTATTTCTTACCAAACAATGTTGGCCGTACCAAATTACAGTCGTACTCTATCGAATAATGAGAACGGCACTCCCTTTGCTTTATCACAGAGTATGAAAGTCAACAATCCCAGCTTTTCTCGCAAATGGTCATAGATAATATGTCAATTATCAGTTTTTTTTTTTGCTTTAATTTTATGAAATTTATGTTGCTGATTTTTTTTTCTTGTGGTGAATAGCCGCATTTAGAGTTAAACATGTACATCTCCGTGGTTTTGAAGAAATCACATAACCTTTACCCGATTAGCTAAATGTGCAAAAAGGAGGTACATAGGTATTTTTAAAATTTCTTCTCGCAAGCTAGTATTTTTAAGTCAGAGATTTTTCAATCGAAATATTCTTACAACTTTTCTACGAAGTTTTAAACAGAGCTGTTCCAAAAAAACACAATCCCAAAGTCAGAATTTCGGAACGTTGTCTGAACGACCAATTTATTTGAGTGCCTATTGACTCAGAATGACGACTTCCAGGCTGATAGGGCTGAAGTCGGACTGTTTGGTTTGTGGTCGGTTTTTCGGGCCAAGTCAACACGCGGCTCCGTGTGTGCTTTCGGGGACACTCGCGCCGTGTCTCCTTTTCACGTCAGTGTTCTCTTCTTTTTCATTTCTTTTTCTGGCTTCCATTTGAACTTTTTCGCAATATTCTTTTTACAAAAATACCGTCTGAATATCTTCACCTTATCTTTTTTCCTTTATGTTCAACTGCGAGTTTCAAAATGACGTTAATCACCGAGAATGACATCACTGCTAGAATGTTGCTGAGTTAATCAAATTGCGAAAACCTTTAGTGATTCACAGAAAATGAATTCCATTTCTGTGGTTAATCAAGTTCAGTCCGCACTCACTCCAAACAACTTAGACCGATATAAAGACTTTTTTACTCCTCTGATAAGAATTCATGCTTCTCAAAGGGTCAAAGACGTCGGCCAGATCCACGCAAGCCTCTCGGTTGGTTTTTCACGCTCAATAACTTCTGAAACGAAATTTGAGGAAAATAATATGGCTCTTGAACGTTATATTTGGTGGCACTTTTGCTTTATGAGCAAAAAATAGCCTCTGTCCAATTTCGCAGGTATTTCGGTTGCCATGGGCCACAAAAAATTTTTCTGGAGGCTTCTTCAAAAAATTTACGGCTTTTCTTCCTATCATGACGAACTATGTAACTAAAAACATTCCCATGCCTTTCAATGCAATTTTCTTTTAAAAGTGGCGTATTTCAAGATTAACCACGTGGGCTTGCCTCTTTTGCGGCTTTTGAGGACAGAGAAAAAAATTTTTCTCTTTCACAAAAACGCTTCGTTCATTGATTTTTTCTGTCGCAACTTTTCATTCTTTCTTCTGCTCCAGGAAATACTTCTGAAAAATCTTGAAATTTTTATCTGGAGCTTGTTTCTGTTCCTCACTGTAATGCCTCTCGTTTCGCCTTTCAAAATTATTATTTTTTTGCATAAAGTTTTTTTCAAATATCGTTCTTCATGCTCAATTAATTCAATCAATGTTCTAGAACTAGAAATGCTTAATACCAAAAAATTACCAACATTTTTCCATAAAAATATAAAAAAAACCTTCTCATCATTCAACTATTCAAAAAGCCTATGATGAAATTTTTTTGAACTGTAAAATTGCACGATAAGTTTATTTCGCTTTAAAATATGTATTTTCTCGAGTGTTTGCTTTTTGCAATGTTTTGGCGTGGTCTGTTGTTTTGCGCATACCAGGAATGGATGACTCAGAATCCACTCTTACGTTCTCTCATCATTCAACAAGGCTCTCTGCAGAATGGCGGGTGAGATCACGGAGGCGGACAGGAAGTTGCTGGCGGAGCTCAGGTCGAGGATCGGCCGCGAGCTCGAGCTTGTGCCTGCCTACGACGACGACTTCTCTTTGATGCGCTGGCTCGTCGGCTGGGACCGCAAAGTCGGTGCGAACTTCTTGAAGACGTCGCCATGACCGTTTTGCCGTTGCAGACGTCGTCGTGCCGAAGATCAAGTTCTCGCTCAGGGCGATCCACGCACTCGGACTCGACGCCATGGACTTGTCCAGCCTCGAAAAAGTCACGGACAAGTGCGACGAGTGCAGTGAGCCTCTCCGATATTTGCCGGGTGATTCATTCATTCTTTTCAATTTTTATTCACCAAATTGTTCCATATTTCACAAAGTATCACTTTGAAGTTCATTTTTAACTGATAATTTTTTTTTATATCATTGTTTTTTCCAGGGTCGCTCGTTGGCGTAGACAAAAACAACAACATTCTTTCACTGCAGATGATCGGTTGGTTTTCCCAGTTAGCTGAAAAAATAGCAATGAAACACTTTTATGCACAAAAAAAAAGTAAAAATAAAGATTCATCTTTGAAATTTTGAAATTTAGAAAAAGTTTTTTTAGAGTATATCATTCCCTTTCATTCAACTCTCATATCCTTTTTATCCAATATGAGCAATTTATTTTTACATAGTGAATTTTCCACGACTTGAATCAGTCTGACCCTACCTATTTTTTCGTTTTTGAGCCATTGCCTTTTTGCGCACTGACGAGACAAAAGAGGGCGCAGACAGATCAGACTGTCGCGTCGTATGATTCAGTTGATGCATTCTTCAGGTCATCTAGACGCCGCCGGACTGATGCCGTGCACAAGAAATTCTGATCTCTATCGCATGCGAATCACTGAAAGCGAAGGAGTCATGCAGATCATCCGGTATCCCATCTGGAATTATCTCATGTCGCTTCTTGTCTCAGGAGGATGGAAAAAGAGCACGGCCGGCCGTTCGGAACCTCTGTGATCTTCGATCTGGATGGCCTTTCCATGTCTCAAATCGACATGGCCGCTCTGAAAGTCGTCATGGCCATGCTGACGCAGCTCCAGGTTCTCCTAATTGTCAATGTTTCCTGAAAACTTTTCTTGAAGGAGATGTTCCCCGATGTAATCAGGAAGATTTTCGTTGTCAACACGCCGTCGTTCATCCAGGTGTTCTGGTCGATGATCTCGCCCTGTCTGGCCAAACAGACCCAGCAGAAAATCAGGATTCTGGGAAACGACTGGAAAGATGTCCTCAAGGTTTTCTTCGTAAAACGTTGTTTTGAGCAGTGAAAAGAGAACCAATAGAAGTTTTGAGCTCAATCAGTGAGGAAAGGTTATCAGTAAACTATTTTATGGCTAAGTTTTCGCAAAATCTAGTCGGATAATCTTTAAAAAAATCATCCAACGTTTTTCTTTTTTAAAATATATTTTTTTCTGAAATTCAGACTTCTTTTTTCAAAAATAGTCTTTCAGGTCGAGATAGGCGAAGAGGTTTTGTTCGAGAGATGGGGCGGCACCCGGAAATCTGAAACCGAATACGGTAACGTCAGAATGGGAGGAAAGATCCCAGCAGAACTACGGTAGGATACTGTATACGACTTATGTTGTATGTGGTATTTTAGATATGATCCATCCAACGATTTGCCCGCAGAAAAACTGCAAAGGCTCAATGTGTCCGCCAGGAACACTGCGTTTGTTCCTATCACTTTGGAAGGTTCAACTCATAAATATGGAGTAATTTTTCGTGATTTATTCAGGCAAAGTCCCTGGCCGCAAACTGTATTGGTGGTGGCGACTTGACGCCAATGACGTCCATTTCCAAGTTCTCCGAGCTGCACCGGGGCAAGAAAATGTTTGTTCAAGAACATTATTTTTTTGAAAATCTCACTGAACTTCTTTTTTTTCGAAGGTCTCCGGAAAAATCTTGAAAAAATGTCATAAAAAGTTCTTCAGGTAGCCGAACATGATGACGATTATATGGTGGTTCCAAAGTTCAAGCTCCAGACGGAATTCGTTCCCGAAGATGGCGAGGTAACGGGTTTTCTCGATCAATATGTTCATACTATTTCTTTTACAAAACCAATTTTTTTTGAGGTTTTGGCGGAAGAACCCGGTGTGTACAAATTCGTCTTCGATAACACGCACAGCAAGCTGCGATCCAAGACTATTAAATATTTCATCGAGACGCGATAGTATTTATTGTTTCCCTTGTCCTTATTCCACATTGAGATTGTTTCGAAAAATTGTGATGCTCTCCTCTTTATAAATTATTTTTCTGAAAAAAATGTCTTCATTGGAATCGTATGAAGGGTCGAAGGAAAGTTTGAAGTTTGGAATACCGTAGAATTAAAAAAATCCGGGTGCACACAATACACAGAATCCGACGACAATAGAAAATTACTTGCAAATTGGGCACAAAATTTTTGCATCCTGCAAGCAACATATTTACATTTGAAAATTTGATAATTTTGAATTTTTTTCTAAACTTTATTTGACTCATGCCATTACTAACCTGTGAAACTGAAAGAAGCGAAACCTGGGTCAATTTCGCTGATGGCCTGCCATGTGTTCTCGGAATCGACGAAGCGGGAAGAGGTTTTACTTTTTTTTTTCCTCACGTTGTCTTTTATTATTTCATTCTTTAGGTCCTGTTCTTGGCCCAATGGTTTACGGAGCTGCGATTTCTCCGCTCGACAAGTTCAATGAACTGAAAAACTTAGGCGTAGCGGATTCGAAAGCATTAACTGAGCAGAAGCGTGATGATATCTTCGAGAAAATGAACAATGACGACGAAACAAAACAGGTTTTCGCTCATTATTATTCTTTGACACCACCGTAAAAATTATCAGGTTGTAGCTTATGCTGTTCGGTGTCTTTCTGCTCAGTTAATTAGTGCTTCGATGTTGAAAAGATGTAAATATTCCCTGAATGAAGTTTCTCACGAAGCCGCCATAACTTTGATCCGTGATGCATTGGATTCTAAAGTCAACGTCGTAGAGGTTTTTTTTCATAATTTCTTCTTCTCATAAAAAAAAACTGTTCAGATAAAAGTTGATACTGTTGGCCCCAAAGCGACTTATCAAGCGAAATTGGAGAAAATTTTTCCTGGAATTTCTATTACGGTATTATTTAAACTTGTTTTGCGTCTTTCAGTCTCCAGTTTTTTATTTATTTTCTCGCCAAATCAATACGTCATTGAAAGACTCAGGGATTCAGATTTTTAAGGGTCTTAGTAGCCGCTTGACATTCAAAATATGTGCAGATTATATTCATCTGTTCTTCCTAGGAACTAAATCATTTAAAAAACGCAGGTGACCGAAAAGGCTGACTCTCTGTTCCCAATCGTGAGCGCAGCTTCGATTGCCGCCAAAGTAACGCGCGATAGTCGGCTGAGATCCTGGGAATTCGCCGAGGCGAATATTTGTGTTCCTGCCGAGGGCTACGGTAGCGGATATCCTGGCGGTTTGAAAAATTGTACAAATTCCGGAAAAATAATTTTTCCCAGATCCCAAAACCAAGAATTTTCTGAAGAGGTGCTGTGATCCAGCGTTCGGTTACCCGTCTTTGGTCCGGTTTTCCTGGAAAACTGCCGAAAACGCGATGGAGAAAGGCTGTGTTTCTGTATCCTGGTAGGTTTTTTTTCTTGAAAAAAATTTTAGCTCCAAATCTCAGGGAAGACGATGAAGCTGAGAACAGGGGCAAAAACAACGGAATGAAGAATTGGTGTAAACCTGAAAATCCTGAAGTGGTCCCTCCAAAACGGCACGTTTTCCTGCAGGAACGGCAACTCTCCAACGTTACTTCTTTCTAATTTCTTCTGATTATGTAAATTTAAGCAGTATTTCGGTTGTAAGTCGTAAGAAGATCTCGTGTATTTTGTTCCGTTTCACTTTGAAAATATTTCAGATGGGTCATTTTTACAATAACTGTAATAAAATTTTTCAATTTCAATTATTATTTAATTTTTTTATTGGCTTGAAGCCTTCTTCATATTTTTCAAGCAGACATCAAAGAGAAAGGCTTTCCTGAAGAGTTTAATATATTTACTGTATGATCAAAAAAACTCGTCGTTTTGTTTTTAAGGACATAGGAAGATTTTTGCATCGGTTTCAAGGCTCTTTAAAGCATGGTAGAAGTTATTTATCGAAAAACCATTTTTGAAATAATCTTGCGTCAGTTCAAAAAAATATGTCAACAAATATAATCCGTAAAAACATACTTTAAAAGGTTGATGTGATCATATTATCTCTGACTCTCCAAAATTTAGATATATACCTTTTTCACTCTGTGGCGGCTATTTTGAGTTTCGCGGAAATTACTTTGAACACGGCTTTCTATCAATTTCCTGTGCTTTTCTAGATTCAACAGGTGTTAATTTTTGGAATTCAATTTGTATGAAGCTGACTAGTTTATGCATATTCCGAGCACTTCACTTCTTCATTGATTCAATCTCCTACAAAAATTCTTGGATGAATTCCTAATCTAGAGAAGCTCAGATCGGGAAAATGGGTTTTAACCTATCAACGGTGCTGAGCGTGTTGTTCCTCGCCTACATGGGCAACAACATTTACACCATGTATCAGCTCTTCAATCCGGAGACTTGTCAACCTTCGGATCCAGGTCAAAAATGCCTCTCCGTGAGCATTTTCCTCCCGATTTCTCGAAATATATGAGATTTTCAAGCCTTACATTGAAAAAGACGCCCAAAGTTTGTTCCCATTGACGCAACTGCGTCTGTATGTCTCGCCGAGGAGCGACAACCTTGGAATTCTGGTGACGACTGTCGAGAACTTTCAGATGGCCGATTCTTTCAGCAGGGAGGTCGGTTGGCTAGTTCTGAAGCGAGACCTTCTTAGACTTTACTGAAAGAGATCTATTCTCATTTACTTTTAATGGGAATAAATTGATAATCTTCAAATCTTGAAAAACTATGAAGGGTTTTAAGATAAAACTCGTTTTTTTTCCACTAGAAACATCGAAAAATTGAAAAGGTTACAGAACTTGACAAATTTGAATAAGAATGATTGAAAAAAACGAAAAAAAATTTTTTTTCAGGTTGAATTGAATCTTCCAGCAAGTGCCACGAAAAAAACGGAAGCGCCTGGATTCATTGTTTTTCTTTTTGCCGCATGATTACGATTCTACCAATCCAATGAATGTGAGTTTCGGTGAAATTTGTTTTTCAAATTTGTTTTATACTTTTTTAAACTTTTTAGTTTTGAACCTAGTTTCTCAAGCTTACAATATTTTTTTGAAACTCAATCATTTCATATTTTCTTCAATTTCTTGATCCACGTTGTAATTGTACCGTATAAAACCTCTTTCTGAAGAGAAAAAAAAAACATAAGAGCAAATTCCTATGAGTTTCCAGGCGCCATGGCACGTTCACGACGTCGTCGACATGATTGTCTACCAACAGCCTACTTTTTCGACTTTCAATCTCCTTGGATCTGAAGAAAATCTGAAAAATGAGGAGGTCGCAAAGAAACCATCTAAGAACCAAGGAAAAGTTAGTTCCGAAAAAAAAAGTCAATAAAAGGGATTTTTCCTCTCAGATTGTTGCTCATTTGCGTGGAACTTTCCCGTTGAGAGTTGCCGTGGACAATCTTCGATTCAAGGCTGAATCTTTGACTTCGGAATTGAGGTTCTGTATCATCCATCGCGTGAATTTCAAAAACTTTTCTTTTCTGGAAGAACGGAAACTGTTGAAAATCTTGCACAATAAAAAGCCGAAAATTTTAGCAGCCTTTTCAAAAAATGGCGTTTATTGAATTATAATACAGGAATCACATGTTCACGGCGCCCGGAAACTCGAAAAAGTACTTGCCTTTGATGTTCATTGACCAATTGAGCATGCGGACCAAGGATTTGGTTGAGGTTACTTTTTGAAAAAAATAATAATAATACATTTTTTTTTCCAGATAACCCAGCAGAATATGACTCTGAAAGTAAATTACGAGCCGATCTCCGTGGGGAAGATGATCATGTTGACGACGATCGGCCGCTCGACTCAGCTGCTCCTCAGCAACGGCTTCAAGGAGAAAGATGTTGATGAGGTTTCTGACAAGTCAAAAGTGAACTTGACTATACAGTTTCAACTTCATTTTTCAATACAATAACTCGTTTTTCCCCTTTCCTTTTGTTCGGTTTGATCATGTGATTTAATTTACTTTTTTTTACAGTTTTATTTAGTTTGTTTACATAAAAAAAAAGCTTTTTTGGAATTAAAATTTAATTTTTCATAGGTCGCTAAGATCTTAAAAAAGAGCTCGGCCGATATTTGATAAACCCTCGTAGTTTAGAGAATCTAATCCTACTTTTTCAATAAATCTTGATTTTTCAGATGCGCGGACTTTTCACGGAGACGAATCTTTATTTGATTTTGGTCACTTTCATCGTTTCTTCTCTCCATTTGGTCTTCGACATGCTCGCTTTCAAAAACGACATTTCTTTCTGGAGAGGTCGCAGATCGATGGTCGGGATCTCCTCGAAGTTTGATTTCTTCTGAATCCTCGGAATCAGAATGGTGTTCCAGAACATTGTTATGGCGATGTTTCTCACAAACAATCATCTTTTTCTATCTTTGGGACCAAGGTACAAGTCTTCTAGTTTTGATTCCGTCGGGAATTTCGACGGTCATCGAATACTGGAAATTGACCATCGCCTATAAGGTTTAGGGAGAAGGAAGGAATTCTGAATATTCTCGTTTTTCTCAGGTGTCTTTCTCGTTTAGTCGTGGAGTCTCTTTGGGAGAACACAGCGCGGCCGAGTCTCAGACGGATTCGATCGACGCCGAGGCCATGAAGTACCTTTCCTGGCTCATTGTCCCTCTTTGTATCGCCGGCGCGGTTTACAGGTAACTTTTGGACTTTCATTTCTGACAAGGGCAGGTTCAGACGTTTATCTTGGTACAATAAATCAATACTTTTATTGTGAACCATATTACCTGCTCTCAAGCACTAAAAATTGAATACAGAGCTCATTAAAAGAGTTTGGCTTACTTCTAGGAAAAAGAAAGGCATAAAACGGGCTTGGAAAAGGCTTTTCTTCGAAAAAAAAACTTCGCTCAGAATTTTCGAAGATTTTCGCAAGTGTCTCAGTTATGTGTGTGATTCTGTTTAAGTAAACAGCGTTTTGCGAAAAAATGATCTTGCAACTTTTTCAGATCTTGGCATGTTTTTTTTTAGTATTTTATATATCGCTGTAACTTTTATTTAAAAAAAGCTTAAAGTGGATTATTACTCGGACTTTAGTAACGCGAATCGGTTGAAACGTGTCGTAGCATTTTTAGTGACCGCTTTAGTGGCTTCAGCACTCTTGAGTGATTCCTAGAATAGCTCAGAAACGTCCGGAGCGCGTTCGATATCGTTACCAAGATCTGAGTTAAACTTTTTTTTGAGCTTTGAAAGGATAAAAAAGCTTATTTTAAAACCTTTTCTTTCCATGGATGAACTGAAAATCTACAGCTTGGCGTACGTGCCGCACAAGTCGTGGGGCAGCTGGCTGCTGCAGGCGACGGTCAACGGCGTCTACGCCTTCGGATTCCTGTTCATGCTGCCCCAGTTGTTCGTCAACTACAAAATGAAGAGTGTGGCTCATCTGCCGTGGCGTGCCTTCATGTACAAGGCGTTCAACACGTTCATCGACGACCTCTTCGCCTTCATCATAACTATGCCGACCGCCCATCGCATGGCCTGCTTCAGGTTCTCCAATTTTTCTTGAATCTTATTGATTGGACTCTTTCAGAGACGACGTCGTATTTGCCGTTTATTTGTACCAGAGATATCTCTATCCGGTGGACTACTCTCGTGTCAACGAGTTCGGGGACTCTGGCGAACCCTCGACGAAAGCCGAAGAAGCTTCTGAGAAGGACCTTCCTCCTGTGGAAACTGTGAAAGAGAAAGAGACACCGGGCAAATCGAGGGCCTCTTTAGGGCGGAAAGCGGAAAAGACGGACTGATATCGACTGTGAAATGCCTCAAAATATATCAAACTGTGTGTCTGTTCTCTTTCTTACAAGGCTCCCATACTTTCTTTGATCTGAAACGTGTCCAATTTTTCTTAATTCTTCTCAAATTCAAAAGTTCACTTGATGCGGTTAGTGTTTAAATTTTAACACTGTTTTTATGGGTTTTGTGGTTTTTATTCCGATGCCGTTAGAATGGGTAATAACGCTTTTAAAAAGCAATATCTCTATATAATAAATCGTTTGGCTTTTAATTTTAGTAAAAGTGTTTACGTTTCTTAACTATTCATGCAGAGCGGTCTCTCTTTTCTGGTCAGAAAACCTCAAGAAAAGTTCTACGATTTGAATTCGAGCTGTTATTTCAAAATATGCTTGTTGATGGCGAAGATAGCGCTGCTGCAAAGGTTATTGTGCACAATTCCCGGCGTCTCACGAGCGCAAATATGGATAAGTGCGCGGTTGGGCCGAGATGATGAATTGAAAAGACGTTTTAAGGGAGGGCGGAGCGGCGGTCAGTTGCTCCGTCGAGACTCCGCGTCGATGGGTCGTCTCCTGAGCTTTTTCTGGTCTCTGACCTTTCTCCTCCTTCTGGAAGTCCGAGGTTTCGAACATTCTCGATCTCAAACCTCATTGGGAACTCAGAAGTCAATGCTTCGCCGGCTGGAAGAGATTGTGCTAAACGAGCGGTCGGATACATCACTTCATGGGGGAAGCAGCCATTCACCGATGAACAGGTACTAGGAGGAGGATATCGAAATTCGGAAATGAAGGAATTTCCGAGAAAAAGTTCATAGGATGTGTCTATAGAGCACACGAGCGTGTCGGTCAGTAGTTACTTAGGTCATTTTTCTGAGCTTTCCTAAAACAACATTAAGAGAAAATCTATAAAAGTCATTTATAACCAAGAAAAAAAACTTGAGGCAAAACGGTTGACCCACTTGGTCTACGCCTTTTTCGTGATGAAACCCAACGGCGAGCTGCATCTGGAGAGTGAAACTGCTCGACAGAGACTCACCGAGATAATGAAAGTCGCTCGCGCTCATCCTCACCTCAAAGTTCTCTACGCGATCGGCGGCTGGGAGAACTCTCAGTACTTCTCGCTGTTGACGGCCGACCATCCTCGGAGGTTCGTGCTTCTCGGAGAGTTGACATCCTCGTAATGTCCCTTCAGATCGATCCTCATCAAGAACATGATCCAAACGATGAAGGAGTTCGGCTTTGACGGCATCGACATCGATTGGGAGTATCCTGTGACCGGAGGCGCTTTCGAAGGGACGCCGGTAGTCACAGAGTCTTTCGACTTGCGCAAGAAGCAGTTCAGGCGGACCGCAAGAACTACGTTCATCTGATGCGCGAGTTGCGGAACCAACTGAGGGAGCTCGAAGAAGAGCAAGGTCGCTCCGACGGATATCTCATTTCTTTCGCCGGCGCCGCAGGACATTGGGTTTTGAAGCCTGGTAAGACTCACCTAGTCTTTTAATCCCTAGATAATACCTCGTTTGAGGGTACGATCTCGCGCAGTTGGTCAAGTACGTTGACTTCGTGAACGTCATGTCCTACGACTACTTCGGAGCCTGGGCTTCGAAATGGGGAGCTTTCACTGGTCCACCGGCTCCGCTGCACTTTGCCATGCCGAAGAAGTTTGTGGAATATGAGGAAAATTAAATGGCTTCAAGGTTTTCTGGACGGATGAATGTTCACGCTACTTTGAAGTACTACAGCTGTCAACTGAAGGCCACAAATAAGGTATTTCAAACTTCAAAGGGAAGAAATTCTCTCAGGAATTTTAGCTTTCTGGACTTTGGTTTGAGATTTGATTTTTTTTTTTTTCCTATTAAAAAAACGCTTCCAAGACGCTGATTTCGAAGCATACGAGCTCGGAAACGGCGGTGTATGTGCGAATAGTTCGACCGAAATAAAAAGTTCAAAAAAAAAAAGAAACTCACTGGTCAGACTGAACTCATTTTTGGAAGCTGGTTGGAGTTACCAGTTATGAAAACCTATTCTGTTCAAGATTTTTATAGCTTTTCTCCAAGTATTCCAAATATCTGAATAAAACTACCTCCCTCGTTAGAAAAACAATAGAAACCCTGCAGATAAACATGGGCGTGCCCTTCTACGGCCGCTTCTGGCACAACGTTGGAGACGCCGTCGACCCGGCCGACGACATGTGGAGGACGGCTACCGCCACAAACACCGAAGGCACCAAATTTGAGGTGCCAATAAACCAGAGAAGTGTTCATATCCATCCTAAGCTTAGGGCGGCGATGTCCAATGGCGCGATCTTGCTTCAAAGTTTGACGTCTCGCAGTCGAAGTTCCACAGCGGCGCCAAGAGTCCCTTCATCTGGCTCGCTGCCAACAAAACCTTCGTCGGCTACGAGAACAAGGAAAGCCTCGGACACAAGGTCGACTACGTCGTCGAGAACAACATCGGAGGCGTCATGATCTGGGCTATCGACTTTGACGACGACCAGCTCACTCTTCTGAAAGCGACGACGGAAGTCGGCAGATTCAATTGAACAGACACTTATGGATAGAGACTTCAGAACGGTTTGTGTCTCTCCTCGAAGGTTTCGTTCAACTACAAGTGCTCTCCGATCAACGACCAGCGCTGGTGGACCTACGACGACGGCGAAGTTGGTTTCAAATTGTAATTTGAAACACAAATTCCCACTCACATTATAGATCATTCTAGTCTTTCACGGTTTTCAGAAAGAATTAATATTATTATTCAGGATATGGCAGGAATGTGTGGCAAGTCTGCTCCATTGTACGACGGCTTCTATCCAGTCTGTGACCCGGATGATCCAGGACACGCCTGCTGTGGGAAGGTTCAAAAAAGACGTTTCTTGAAGATTTTTTGTCAAAACTGAGTTCAGTACGGTTACTGTGGATCAGGGCCGGAGTTCTGTTCTTGCCCCGAATGCGTGGACTACGGTGCCGACCCCAGCCTTATCCTGAAAGAACCGATCAAGCCTACTCAGGCCATTACTTGGTAAGGTCATTTCATTGATATTTTACTGTTTTCAGAAGAGTCAACTTGGTTCGGTTCAAAAAATGGCTATGCGAAAAACAAAAAAGGGTTTCAGGTACACTTCTGACGCTGGCGACGGAAAGCGCGGAAGATGTGGACGAGAAGTGAAAAAGCTCCGGATCAACACTAAATAACTGAAATAACGTTATAGGTACCTCCACTGAGCGGCGAAGCGCCCACATGCAATCCAGATGATCCCACAGCTCATTGCTGCAGCAACGGCGGATACTGTGGCAATACCAAGGTTCAGCCAATCATTCATTTTTTTTTTGTTCTGGTCATAGATGTATCCAGTGAATGAGAACTTTTAAAGCTAAAGCGAACAACCGCCTGGCGAACTTGTTGAAAGCATGGTCTCGTTCTTCTGCGCGTAGTCCATCCAGTTGCGCCTTGACAAGCTCAGAATACAGCGATGTTAGTGCTGGAGCCCGGATACCGTGCTCTAGGTAGAAGCCTCAGAATGAGCGACCTTTTCGAACGAATTAATCCAGTTCGGAAATAACCAAAACCCTTGAAGGAACACTGCGAGTGTGTCGGTTGCGTCGACTTCAGCAAGCAGCGCGACTTCAAGTACAAGCCTCTGCAATGGTGGACGTTCGGCGAGAACCCGGCCAACGTCGGTTAGTCTTCCGAAAGCGATGGGCCGAATAAGAAGCTTGATCTGCAGGACGGTGCGGTCCAGATGCGCCGCGGCTCTCGACTGGCAAGACGCCAAAGTGCGACCCGGACTCGGAGGCGTTCTGCTGCAGCCAGAGCGGCTACTGCGGAAAGGGCGAGAGCTACTGCACCTGCCTTGGCTGCGTCGATTTCAAGGCCAATCCCAACTACGAATACTGAAACGTTCCCCAGAGCATTTTGAAGTCGGAAAACACCGCTTGAACGAGTTTTTATCAAACTTTGCCCATTTTCGACTATTCCTAGAGCTCCCAGTTTTTGTATATAACTCAATGTTATTTATTCGAAAAGTGTAAATATTTGTAAAAAGGACGGAGATAAAATTAAATTAATCGGAACAACAGTTTTCATATAATTATGATGAGACCAACGCTATCAACAATGAACATTTTCTCGGAGAAAACAACAAGGAAATTGAGAAAGTTGAGACGAAACAATGAGAATGACGCAGAAAGACTACAGGAGCCCCTGTCGTTTGAGATCTTCGTACATTTTGCGCGTGACGACGTTTCCAGCAGAGTCCTCGTATTCTTCGTCCAAATCAGGGTTCCATTTTTGGCGCTCCTTAAACGAGATATGTTGTTTCACAAAAGTCATAGAAAATTGAACGTTAGACCTACTTTTCAAGTTTATCTATTCTATCAAGTTCCATACGTTCCATACGTTCCAAAAATAATTCAGCAATATTTATGAACTAAATTTCCAGAAAGAGGAATTTTTCATTTCGCTTTTAATCTTCGAAAAATTATGTTAAACTTGCTATATATCTTATCAGCTGTGGTAATATAGAAAATTTCCAGGAAATTTTTTTTTTTTCGTTTATTTTCCTCGCAATTTTAAAAAAATTTTTCCCTGCTAAATTTTTTTGATAATTATTACTGAAAAAGGACTATCACGGTATAATTACCACAGTACCCTCCATATGAACCGGCTTAATTTCGAAAACATGAAATTATATTATCAGGAAGTTCATAAACCATAATTTGATTCTATTAAGCCTCATTTGAACCATTAAAAAGATCAGGAACTTGAATAAATTCTGAACAAAAAAATGCGAACCTTCTCCAGCTTGATTTTGTTCCACAAATCGAGGGCGTCTTTGATCTTTGTGATGTTGGCGAAATGAGCCGTATTGGGTATTCCCAGACAACGCATTCCGTGCGAATGCCGCCATTCCTTCAAATAATCAGTTCATTGTGAAGAAAGCTTGTTTCGAACTAACGTTGAAATGTTTCTGGAAGGCTTTGGGGCCCTTGTAGGTTTGATTACCGCAAATCTCGCAGGAAAATGAAAGATTGAGGCCGTGAAGCTTGTAGAGCCAGTAGGGGATCGGCTTTCCGTCCCAACTGCAAAAAATTATAATCGATAAATAATCTAAATAAATGAAAAATAAAACTATTTCAGAATGGGGTGTTTGACATTTTTGAAGTTTGTCGAAGAGAATCATCTTTTACGAAAGTCAAAAAAATTTGAATGAGGTTGAAAACTTGTTTGAAAATCGAAAAAAAAAGTTGTCAGTTCCCGATCGTTTTCATAGATAATAAGAACAAAAGAGAAAAATAGTGATGGCAGTTTTCAAGATTCTAAGAAAGAAGTAGCCTTTTCAGAGAAATTTTGACGGGAAAACTAACCCAAGAGGCAGATTTTTCGGATTATAAGGAGCCGATTCGTCGACTTCTTCGTCGCTTTCCACCTGAAAATTTAATTTCAGAACAATTTCTTTCAAAATAAAAACCAACCACTGGTTCCTCCTCCTCCTCTTCGACTTCTCCAGCCGCACGAGCCTGCTTTCGTTCCACATTTTCCCTCGTCGCCGCCCTTTCCTCCGTTAAAACATTGGCCATTCTTAAATCAATTATTCGATAAAAAGGAAAAATTAAGTATTTTTTAAAGCAAATAAATCCGGCTGAATGATGAAACATAATTCCGTTGAAACTAACGCCTGAATATGGGCTTCGATCTGAGCGAGCTGAAGATTCCGTTGCCGTTGTTTTTCGAGTTCCGAATCACTCGAAGCCATCGCCGCCTTCTCCATATCCGACAATTTGTGGCCTTTCGTTGCAAAAAGACGTTCGGCGCGTTCTTTCAGTGTTCTGTAATAGAAACTCAGAGAGTTAATTTGATGAACTAATATAAGAAATACAATACTTCGCCTAAACACAAGTTTAAAAATAGTTGGTTTATAAAGCTCAAAATTCATTGCCAACCTAAATCTCATCTTTCATTCAATGATAACTCGAGACAGTTCGAAGAAAGGGTCTTCACACGATTAGCGAGTAAGTGAGCAAAAAGAAGAGAGTTGAAATACTCTTAGCGGCTTTCTCTTAAGCTAGCGACTATTAGTGTATAAATTTGATACTCGAATAGTCGTCAGAGAATGAAAAGATAACTAATTTTTGAAGAGTCACAGATACCTTTGGATTTCGCGAAAATTACTTCGAACATTTCATGAAAATCTTTGCATTTACAATTTATTCAACGCAATTTTCTTTCTCGATTTCCTCACCCTCCACACTTGAGACCAAGGGCGATCAAAGCGCCTTTGAGACGTTCCAAGCCAAGGCCTTCCAGTTCTGTGGCACTTCCGTACGGCGAAAGATCTACAGTAGAAACCTGAATGACGTCACTTTTGCTTCAGGTTATCGACTTCGGGACGAACCTGTGGCCCGGCTTGGTTTTTGTCGTTTGGCCAACCCGGCAAGTTTCCATCGTTGAAAGCTTTCAGAACCGCCGCATCGCACTGAAGAAAAAAAGAATTTAGAGCTAAAATCTTTATTTTCTATAAATTCGCGAAACTCGATAGAAATGAAGAGCTGGAAGTGATTTAAAATAAAGAAAAAAGCTCCAAATTCTCAACTTTTCACGTAAACATGTAAATACATATATTGATTTATTTTTCTGGTCTTATTCAGTCTGAACTTGAGCACATTCAAACGAGTATTGCGAGAAAAAAAAATGAAATTTAGCAGTTACGAAAAATATTTTTGAAAGCACATACACGATGTTTATCAATGACATAACTTATCTTCAAGTCAATCGCTTGCTTCAAAGTTTCGAAAAAACATTTAAAAATCCCGACCTTGGCGAACTCTTCATCCAAATCGTGTAACGGACGAGTTCTGGCCATAAAAGACACAAGGTAATCCTAAAACTCTCTTTTGATTATTTCCCTTCGATTAAAAATGCAACGGACCTTCAACGAAGTGATATAATCTTTATAAGCACCCGTCTTTTTCGTTTTTTCGCGTTGAATATCGTTGAATTTGTCGAACGAATTTAGGTACGTCATGTAATCCACGCGCTTAAATCACCAAACTAATTTCATCTCTTGGAAGTTTTACCTTGATTGATTTGAGGTTGCAGAACTTCATGAACAACTCGTGTAGATCCAAAAATCTTAAGTGAATATATTTTAATACTTGAAGGAAAAAGTGTGGAAAACCTTCCATACGATTCTTCGTCTGTAAAGTCGGCCATGTCTGGTTCAGGTCTTTCCGGATTGGCAATATCTTCCTGAATCCGTTGGAATTCGACGGAAAGCGGCTCTGCTAGCTGAAAAAAAAAATAATTTTCCCATCCAAATTCGATTGTTTACTTCTTCCGGGTTACGACGGTGAGCGTCCTTGAGAACTTTCAGCCTGGAATAGAACTCGGCAAACTCGTTGGGTCCTGCGACGGAGTCCAGCTCCATGTGCCTCGAATGGTCCTCGTCTGAGTACAGTTTCACAAGTTCCGACGAGGCTTCTTGATACCTCTGAAAATATATGATAGAACCAGAAAACTTTAAAAAGTGAACGTTCAAACTCACATCGACAAACTTCTTGACGCGAAGCTCACTGTTAACTTTTGCTTTATGCGTCCCTTTCGTAGCCATCGTTTCTTTGACAATAACGTCGATGAGACGCTCACGCTCTTCATGAAGTTTGCGCGTTAGTTCAAGTGCCGAGTCCATATCTACAAAAGTTGAAAATTTTCACAAAGAAGGAAGCCAGAAAATGGATTCAAAAACAAAATAAACAAAAGTGCTCTGATACCTTGGTTCTTGATTCAAAGATAGGAGCATAAAAAATTGATGTATACATAAAAAAATAGTTTTTTTGTATATTACCAATTATAATAAAACAAAAGAAACAACAGAACAATCCAAAACAGAATAAGGTTTCAGAGCAGCGCAAAAAAAGTTTGAAAAAAAGCCTTGACTACTTCAAATGGTGTGCATGTAATGAGTAATTTTTAATATTCCTTCTGCATATTCATAGCGTTAACAAAATTCTTTGAAGTTTTAAAATTAGAGAAATAAGTTTGAAAAAAACAAAATTTTGTTTTTTTAAAAAAATAAAGCAAACATTTTTTTAATTTAAAGCATTTTTTTGGCGTCATGGTTTATTGGCCGGGCGTGTAAGCAACACAAACCAATAATATCACGCGCAAGAACCATTCGGCTCTGCTCTATTTACGAGATTGATAAGCAGTTGGGCTTTTATCTTTGTTTATCCTGTTTTTACGATATCTTTGTGATTTTCAAATTTTCTATTTAACAACTCAAGCTACTTTTCTATTATTGCGATGTGAAAAATTTGTTTTCTTGACTAGCAGCTGTGTTATTGATAACATTATTGACACAGAGCGTTCTGACCTAGCAACATCGATTTTCCGCTGTATTGCTCTGATAGCGCATTTTTTCTTTGATAAAAACTATCCTACTTCTTTCTTGATCGATTGTTTTCGAATCTCAAATGATCTATACGAGTTTGATTTGCAGAGGAAACCATGGATATGAACATGATCCTCCATTTTGGGGAGCGGGAGATGATTCTCTTCTCTTTTTGGAAAACAGGATCACTAACTGGTAATTGCTTCATTTTTTTCAACGCTAGAAAGTAAAAAAGTTAAGGTATGGCTGTTTCAATGCTCATCACATTTTTGATGTGCATCGTGTACGAAGCCATCAAATCATTCCGCTATTTCTTGGCAGTTTACCATTCGAAGGTATTCATATTTATATTAGAACTTCTATTTCAATCGAATCTTGCTTTCAGCAGAGGATTCAAGGCCGTCAGAACTCTGGAGGGACATCGAACTCTGTGAATTCTGGCGCCGACGCCGTCTCAGAGGATTCGATTCAAGTCGCGCCTCTCATCCAGTTGTCCGGGTCAGTCCCTCAGTGCGTTTTATCCTACTTGGTTCTTTGACCTCTACTTTCGCTCAGCTATACTTTTATATTTCAGTTTCACTCGAAAGCTTTTCACTCCGTATCGGATTAGTCAGGCAGCTCTTTATGGTCTTCAGGTTGGTTCTTAATTTTAGGAGAAATAAAGAAAATGTTCGAGGCTGTCTTGGCGTACGCGCTGATGCTGATTGTGATGACGTTCAACGTGAATCTGATTCTGGCGGTCGTCTTTGGAGAAGCTGTCGGTTATTTTTTGTTCACCGGAACCCCTCTGGTAGATAATGCCGTAGCTGATTGCTGTTAAAAGGTTCAAAACTTTTTTTAAAAACCATTCTGTTGTTTTCCATCTTCCAAAAATTAAAATCAAAGTATTTCACTTACGCCTTCGAAGTTAATTTCATTTGCAGACGAAAAATTATTTCTTAACCCCTTGTTTCCATTTTCATCATTATTTTTTAGTAAACTCTCATTGTTCAATATCCTTCTTCATTTCAAATAAGTCTCCTCATAAATTCAAGCCAGTTGAAAATAGTATTTGTCACATGTTTCCTGTATTATGGGTGTTGATATCAACTTTGAATTTCGTTCCATTCTTTTTTTCCAAAAACTGTTGTCTCTGAGATTGTTCCCATGTTCGTCAAATTGTTACCATGTACAGGCAGATCAGAACTCCGTTCTTTATTCATATATTTTTCATTCTCATAAACTTTGACATAAGTTATAGTTGCATAATATTATTAGTTTGTACCGTAAAGCTTTCGTTAACTTCACAAAACTCTACTTGCTAATTGGTCAATGCTCATTCCAAAGATCGATATGGACATTTCGCATCTGTCCATTGGGCAGACGCTGATTGATCTGTTGGTTCTGCTGTCTGTAGGTGCCAGTTATTTCCTCCGGAAGTTTGTCGCCTTCGTTGACCACCGTCGGAACGATGACTTGAGGAGGCGGCGGATACGTGGGGTAGCCGGGGACGATCGGAGCAACTGTCGGCGGCGCTGCTCCGTTTCCTAAAAAGAAGTGGATGCCTTGAAACGTGCCGGAGACTGACCGATTATCTGTGGTGGTGGAAGAAGACCTGGAACGGTTCTTTCAGCAGAGCCTTGGTTTCTGGAAGCAGTGTTTTAGAAGGAAACTGACTCAATCTTATCACCCCAGGATGACTGCCGTTTGTCGAAAATCCGAAGGATTGGGCGCAGTTCGAGAAAGTTGGAGTTCTGCCAAGTTTGAAGGAAGAACGTAGCTGAAAGTTCGGAACTTTCTTCAGGTAGAACTGCGTTGCCATTGATTATCAAGACTCAAGAAATCAGAGTTTTGAAGCTAAAGTCCAGATAGTTCGGATAGCTTCAGATAAACAAACTCAAAAAGGCGAATGACTTTCATCATAGGCAGAACAAAATAAATTTTCAATAGTGAATGCTTTTTGAGGCGCAGACTTTTTTTCGCGTCATTTGGGTTTAGGTTCAGTTTTATTTAGGCCGATCCTGCTCTTTTAACCTACACCAAAACCTATTTTGAGCTTCTCGTTTTGCGAGAAACTCCCGAGGGTCTAACAAAATAACTTTTCTCTTCGAGAAAGTGTTCATAAAATTGAGAGAGGTCAGATAACCGATTAAAAAGGAAAAAGTGAAGCTCAAATCCTCACCGATTCGCTGGTCCAGTGGAGGCGAAGCGACCGACGTGCGTGTCGTAGGAATCGAGCGTTCTTCCTGACGTCATCGGTCTCGACGGCAGAAGAGGAGCGTCGTTCAACGTCTGCCACTGTGTGACGTCACCCTTCTCGACGCCGTTTCCTGAGCTTCTGAGTCGAGAAAATCTCAATCAGACTCACGGAGCATGTGTTGGTAGGCCTCCGCCGGGAGCGGAAACGTGTTGGTCGGCTGCTGATTCGGAACGAAAGCCGGCTGGGCGAACGACCTCGCCTTCTGTTGTTGCTGCAGCAATTCGCTAAGCTGAAGTTGAGGAGAATAAATATTCTCTCAGGCTCAAATTTTTTCTATTCGGCTTACATTTTTTGTGACTTTGATTTCGATTAACATTAAGACACCAAATAAATAAAATACTTTTTTCACGAAAGAGGAAGATCTGAAAAAGCTAGAATTTTCGTGCCCTACCTTTGATGGCAAGTCTTTTGTTGACTTGGTGAGAAACTCGGCGGCGTCGGTCCACAAAGACTTCCTCGGATTGAGCAAATTGGCGTCCTCGATGTTGTTTTTCTTCAACTATGTTTTAGTATGAGTCTTTTGTGAATGTCCTCTTACGGAATGGTCAACTGTGCCGACTGTGAGAGGACGATCCGTGTTTTGAGCTTGGATTTGGTGAACATTTCGTGATGGTTGAACCACGAGCTTTTGGAAGAAACTTTCTACGTTCTGGGCGTTGGAATGGACGATTCCGCCGATGTCCCGAGTGAGTTGCTGAGTCATTTCCTATGAAAATCCAGTTTCAGAAAGCAGTTTGAGAGCTACTCGAACCGAGCCTAGAGCTAAATGGGGGAACATCGCGTTTTGGCTTGAAGAGGCCACCGGCAAGCTGTCTGGAGGGACGTTTCGTTGGGGAATCGTTTGCGTTTCTGAGAGAACCCAATATACTTTTTTTTCCATAGTTTCATTTGATCCAAACCTTCTATTGGCAAAACGAGGCCTTGTTTTCGTGCCGATGAGAACAAGAGCTGCTCTTTCTCAATGGGAAACGACGCAGGAAGTCCAAAAACTTTCTCAGGAACTGGAGGTTCTACTTTCGATATCTTGATCTGAACGTCAATTTTTTATGTTTGAAATTTGAAACTTGCCCCCGGTACTTCTGCGGGAGCAGCCTCGATGACTGTGGAAGTGGCGATTTCCTGAGGAACGGTGTTCTGGGCCATTTGAAGTACTTCCTGGATCATAAGCTTAGATTGAGGTGGGATACCTGAAATCGTCTTGAATTGATATTTCAAAAAAAAAATAAAGCTACTTTGAAACAGTTGTTCTAGTCTTTGAGTTCGTTCGTTTCCACTTAGGGCCGGCGAAGTCGCAATTGTTTTTAGTTCTTCCACTGCCTCAAAATAGATAACATTAATCTTTTTTTTTTTTTGAAAGGAAGAAGTCAGATTCCCACTTCTCTCAGTTCCTGAGGAATTTCTGATGCGTATTTCTGCAGAGATGTCATTTTCTTTTTCTGGAGGTCCTGGTAGACATCTCTGAAACAAATTTCTTCTTTTAGTTTGAATATTTTTCTAACAGAAAGTCATTTTGCTTTTTTTCGAGTTTATTACATTTGTCACCAAGTTCTAAACCTGGTAGTTATCTGAAGCCACAAAAAAGCAGAAAAAGGTTTCAAATAGCAAGAAAATGAGCCGAGAAAAATTTTAATTTTTTCAATTAACAAGCTTTGGCAAACATTCGAAAAGATTTCTAGCTTATTTATTCAAATCTACGCTACAAAAAAGATCAAATTGACCAACTTCATTTGCTGCATGACTTTGGGCGAAATGGTGCCCTTGTCGAGCATGTAAACAGACACTTCGGTGAGCTTTTGAATCGGCGATTTATTACTAGAAGTGAAATTATTGACGGAAGAGAGAAATATCTCACCATGAGGCAAGAATGGCTTGAATATTGCCGACGACTCGTCGATCTTCGACTTTTGAAGAGGCGAGTTGTGTGGCCAAACGAGCGAATTCGCTGTCACAATCTGGCGACACCTTCGAAATTAGTCAAAATTAGAAAAATAATGGATTCGAGGTCATGAAGATTCTAAAATGTTTGAAAAAAACTTGAGGAATCAAGCATGTTTAAGAAAGTTCTACGGCGGCCGGTCAATATCGCGCCGCGTGTTTCGAAGCCAAAAATGTTTTAAGTTTTTTCCCTTTTTGTTTTTTGTTTAGATCTCATTTCTTGAAGTAACAAGATAAGTTACGTCTTAAAAAACACACAAATTTTCATTTGATAACCCAAAAACCTATCTAATTTACCGTAATACGAAGGGTCGCAATGAAAAGATGCTATTTAGTCGTCACCGCTAACAAAAATATCACTTATTATTTTTTTTTCTCAAAATCTCTTTGAATTTCAAAGAAACTTCTTTTGATCTCAGGTTTTCAGAAGGAACAAACTGACATCAGTTATCGCACCGAAAAACCGTTGGCCGTGGCCGACGGCGACGCTGACGCAGAACAAAAAAAGATTCCGAAGGGACATCATGACGTCATCGTTCTGAATGGAAACGTTCTGGAAGCAGCAGATTTGAGAGTGTAAAGAATGGGTAAAACGGAATGGCTATGGGGCAGGCTTGTGCCGCGGCAACCGGTCACTCGGCCGTTTGCCTCGTCGCGACTGGTAATCTTCCTTTCTCTTTTTACCTTTTTTTCGTTCTCAAAAATTGTTTAGCTTTGCTTTTTCAATTTCAAGAATCAGGTAGAGATAAAAAATAATTTGATCATGCTCGGACATTGGTAACGTGGACGTGTTTTGGACGTTTCTGGGCAATTCTAGGGGTCACTTAAGAAGGCTGAAGCTACTAAAGTGATCACTAGAAAAGTCCAGAAACGTCCGGAGCACATCCGTTATGCGCTATCAAAGTCCGAGTGATTTAAGTTCAAGTTTTTGCACCAAATTTTCCTTCTGAACAGCGATAAAAAACTTTTTTTATTTTAGAAGGAATTAGGAATGAGCGAATTTTAAACTTTCCTGGAAAATGCTTCGAATCATCATTTTCCAATTAATTCAAATCAGAAAAAAAAACTCATTCATATATTCCAGAAAAAATTTGCAGAACCTCTTTCTTCACATATCAAGGTGTAGAACTAAATTACGGAAAAATTTAAAAATATGAAAAACGTACAGAACGACGTTCCGATTCTATAAGTAGCTGTATCCAGAACGAATATAACGGATCGACCGGTGAGGCGGGGCTCCGACATGTAACTGGACACCGGAAAATCCATCGACTCTATATTATTGGATTCGGCCTTGTTTGTCCCGAAATTCGATCTGACCGCAGTCAAATCCCCATGATTCCTCGTCCTTCTGATCTTGTCTGAACCCGTTTAGGACTGCACTTGAGAATCGTTTCCAAAAAAGACCTCAAGTTTCCTTTTTCGAAGGTCCGTTCAAGTATTAAGAAAAGAAGCAAACACCTTGATAACATTTTTCTTTTCAAGATAAGATTGGACGTACAGTAGACCTGAAGGCCAAAGATCTTTGAACAAAAGGATCAAACACTTTTTAGGTGCCCCAATTCGCATTTCATTGAAATTCGAGACGTGTTTTTGTGAGACTTTTTATCGTCGAAAAGGCGGACAAGAATAGCACAAAGACCAGCAATGATAGTGGAGAACTCGGATGAAATATAAAATTGGCAAAGTGAAGAAAAAAAACGAAACAAAATTGGACAGGAAAACATAGCACAAACTTTGAATATATGAAGAATGCTCGTAATGAAAGACAGAAACTTGGATGGAAACTGAGGACCTCGTCAATTAATTATCTCATGATCGATACCGTAAGAAGTCAGGAATTTTTATAAAAAACCCTTGATCTTTGAAAACAATTCGAAAAAGAAGTGGCAATATGTTAGAATATGACAACGTTGGCAAGTTGCATTTAACAAGGAATAATTAAGTTTAATATACAGATATCGAAAAAGGGAAAAAAACTACGAAAACATGATGAGGAAACGAATTTGACTAATCCAAACAATGTTTAAAGTCAAAGTTACGACTAAGCTATTCAAAAAAAAAAACCTAAAGGTGAAACAAACTTTTTCTAGGACAGATACTGTCCGTGGCTCTCGTAGAGTGGAATAAAGGAACTAAGATTGGCTCTTGAAGAGACCGAAAATTTGAAGAAACTAGAGCTAGAACTAGAGGAAAGAGCAGCACTTGTTGCGGATGACCTGCATCTCGCCGATAGATTCGCCGTCCGTGAGAATGATCTTGCGCTTGGCCTTCTTGAGGTCGTCGACGTCGTCGATCTCCTCGCCGTTGGCGTCTGTCTTCACCGTCACGTTCCGATGCAGAATGTCTGCCGCCACGTCGCGCAGTACTTGTGTGAACACTGGAATTCAAAGAGATTGTACTTTTGAACAATGGGGTTTGTGTTGAACTGCTTCTTTTTGCTCTTTGAAAGTATATTAAAAATGTTAAATTTTGAAAACAGGAAATTTTTAATCGTATATTTTTGTCACAAAAAGTAGCCGAAATAGGCCAGCTATGCGAAATTTTTCTTTACAGTTTTTCCACTCTTTTTATAAGCAAAAAAACAATCTTTCATCTTAATATCTAATCGCGTTCTCAAACTTTTACGTCTTTATCTACAAAAAATTTTTAGAGAGCGCATGAATTCAAAAACAGAAGGCAACGATTGTCAACAAACTAATTTCGAAGCAGTTTTGTTTTCCGCTTCCAATTTAACTCTATCTGTCTGCACAAACAGATGGTTCACAATTTTCCTTCCAAAATGAAACGAACTGTCGGGAATCTCGCTGGAGACCTCGAAGAACTTGGCGTTGAAACGAGCGGCCTTGGCGAGTCCTTCGGCTTCGGAAACAACCCGTTTCTCGACGAGGTCCGTCTAAAAAAAATTGATAAAAAGAGAGAAAAATTCAAAGAGATAGAAAAGGTCCAAAAAGTTCGCAAGTAGAAAAAGTTGACTTCTCGATACCGCAGTAAAGTAAACTTTGATGTTTGAACGAGAAGTTAAGAAATCAAAAATTTGGGGACACAAACCTTTGAAAAAATGCTTTTGTATTTGAAACTTTCATAGAAATTTTTGAGTGGTCATTTTTTTAACTGTAATTGTAAACTTTCATTCAAAACTTTTGAGATGACAAAACTACTGCTGAGCTGACTTCTTTTGAAGTTTATCTTGGGCCAAAGGACAAATTTTCCATTTAACTAAAAAATCCTGTCTTACCTTATTTCCAATAAGGACGATTCTCGCCTCGTCCGTTCCACAACACCGTTCCAGCTCTGAAATAAAAACGCGTAAGTCTCCAGAATTCTGTTTTGCTTGAGATTTGAAAGAAGAAATAAATCACCTTTGACCCATCTTCCGACGCCTTCGAAGGAATTTCTGCAAGTGACGTCATAAATGATCAAAGCCGCAGCAGCGTTCCGCATGTACATCGGCACCTGTAAATGAATTTTTCGTTGAAATATTTTTTGAAAATAAAACTTTTTGGCCTTCTTGAATAACTAATGAGAGAAGAAAATTCCAACTAACCATGCATCTGAAGCGTTCCTGTCCGGCTGTGTCCCAAACTTGCAACTGTAGCCTTTCTTTCTCGTGTTCCCTAAAAACTGTTTCTTGAATTTCGATTTTTATGAAATATTTTTTTCTTCTTCCAAATAAAAAAAGATTTATTTTTCATTAGAAGCATTTTTCTAGTCAAGAAAAATCGGCGTGATGCACAAAAAAGTGAGTATCGGAAAGTGTGAAAGTGAGCTGATAGTCTAGTCGGATGACGTCAACTACTTTTCAGATGTGACCCGTCAAGACATTCTAGTTCAAAGCCAAAAACGACTACACCCTGTTCGAATTAAGATTTCTATTTGCCGTGCCCTAAGCAAGCGGCGGCATGACTATGAGCCAATTATCGTATCATCCCTCGGAACTCTTCAAAAACTGACATATCGAAGGAGACGAAGGAAGCGCCAATCGTGGCGTTAACTGGTGCGAAGTTGGTGCCGTACTTCTGGCGATAAATGATCGACGTCTTGCCAACACCTGCAAAAGCGTGCCGCCATTTTTGAAGGAAAATGTGCTTGGGGCAGCAAAAAAGGTCACTTTTTGCAGATACGCGATGACACACTTTTCTGCCTGATTCTTGACCAAAAGAAAACGATGACTTTGAGGTTTTCAAGAAACTTATCAACAAGAAATTTTGCAGAAAATGTAAAAAAAGGTTGATTATTTCTTTTCAAAAAAGAAGAGTTGGAAATCATGAGAATAACTCTAAAAATATTTTTCTTTAATCACTGCAAAATTATTCAAAAAAGCAATAGTTTCGAAATCTGAGAAAGAATGAAAGCAAAGTCAAAAAATTTTAAACTAATCCAAATTTGTAGCACATAAAAAAAGAAAATGGATATTTGGCAATCAGTTGAACTTGAAAAGATTCTCTTTTGAAGTAATAAAATGATCAAAACTAACCAGAATCGCCGAGGACGACGACTTTGGCGCGATGTTTGGCGACGGCGACGGCGACTGATGGAGCGATCGTGTGCTCGTGGTCGCGCACCGCCTCGCGGACCTTCTCGTTCGCGTAAATCGTCTTGCCGCAGTTTTGCATTTGATAGCAGTTGGGACCCAAACTGCAACGAAATGGACACTCGAAGGACCAAGATTGACGCTAATGATAACGATCAGTTATCGCAACCGACGAAAAAAAGCGAGGGCGGCGAAATAAGCCGCAAGCGCGGTTTTGAGGAAAAGTCGAGAATGATATCAGAAGTGACAGTAATCGTTCGATGTTAAGACTTCACTGCAAGTTTCGTGGAAGATTAAAACAGTGTATAGTTGATTCATCGCAATATTGACAGAAAAATTTCGCTTCTTACTGTGAAATTTATTTTGGCAAAACATTAATCTAACCGTTTTTCTGAAAAAAAAACTTAAAGATATACTAGTTTTCTGGTAATAAGAATAAAACTAGGAATGAAATCGAGTATACTAAAGCCATAAAATATTCAATAAAAGCGATACCAAATAGAACGTTGAGAGAGATGCTCGCTCAGCGGATGATTGAGCTCTTAGATTTATAGGAAATACAAGTGACATCAAAACTTTCATGAAGCAGTAATAAAAAAAGAAAATCAAGAACAAATGAAAAGAGAAAGAAGAGCAAAGGCTGTCTAGTAGGAAAACTTTGGCTCAAAATGAGAATTTGAGGGCGGAGCCACAGTATGGTTGCGAGAAAGTCCCACCCAAAATGTGCGAAAAATCGTGTGAAAAAGATACTTGACCACGCCCACTGAGCCGAACTTGTCACCCAATTAAAAAATTGTGGTTTGACGTTTGAAAATCAACAGTTCATCAACTTTAGATTGTTATAACTTTCTATATATTTGATGGGACGTCATAAAATTTGTAAAGTCCTTTTCTTTTTGCAAATACTTTATGAACAGAGGTTAAAAGCCTTATAAAACAATGTATCATGCATGAAACTTTTTTTAAAGGAACTTGAAAATCTCAGCCTAAATGAGATCAGAATTGAACTCTTTAGCGTTTTTGGAAAAGTTGGAAAGGATATTTTGGCCTAACTTTATAGTTTAAAGCTCCGAACGAGGAAGTTTCTTTCAAATCAAAGTTATCAAGATGAACAAACAATACAAAATTGAAAGAGAGTGAAAACTTTAATCAGACTGAGGATGCTGCGCTCAGCACGGAGTTGTTTGGCTCTGACAATGCCGGACGGCGACTTGATCTACGACGACCAACGATCTTTCCGATAAGGCAAAAGGACGGCCGGCCACCATTTCCTCTATCATTTTTAAACATCTCTCACTGTTCAAATAACACAAAAATCTTCGCCCAAAGCACGTTTTTCAAAAAATATGGGAACATTTTAATGTTAACACGTAGTTCTTAACGTAGGGTTTTCAAAAACAATTATAATCCTCATATACAGTCTAAAAACACGTCAAGTTCGTTCTCATGTCCTTTCAAACATTGTTTTTCGAAACCGTTCCTCGTCATTCTAAATCAAAATTGGGTTCAATTTTGTCTGAGGCCGATTGTATGGTGAGAAAGAGGTGGCGAGAAGACGCGATGGATAAACCGAGATATGGAGGAATAATTCGAATGACGTCAGGAAATCATAGACCAACATTCGCTTTGACTGGACTAAAGAAAATCCGAGTTTTACTCTTCATGCATACTCGTAACGAGAATTAAAAAAAAGTGAGATCTGAGCTTCCTTAATTTTTCCGTTCTTGTGCTAAACTCTACAATGAAGCTTGCATGAAGAAAAAAAAATCCGAAATAAACACTTAAACATTTTTTACTTAACTTTAGTAAGAAAAAAATGCTTGAGGCAGAGTCACTAATCTGACAGACTTAACCAATTATGAAAAACAGTGATAAGATAAACGCCTCACATACCAAACAACAACTACATTTCGTTTTCTATATAATAAAATGGACGGTTTCTCGAAGATTCTGGCAAGTTTAAGCTGACTTTTGCATCAAAGTATTTATTAATATTGTGCCGTGAATCATGACAAACGTGATACAAAACGGATTAGACGTTGAGCTCTATTTGGAAAGGGTCAACGGCGCCACGCTGTGCGCCGACGGAAACACAAAAGAGCCAGCGTGAGAACGATCCTCATAAGTATCCTAGGTGTTACATGGAAGACGTTTGAAATTCAAAATTGAATTTAAGAGTACCTTGAATTTTTGAATAAGGTATCTATTTTTTTGACTATATAATTAAAAAAACCTTCAGAAAAACCTCATTTATTTTTTTGATTTTTATTTTTTTGAAAAAAATCTGAGAATTTTTCAAAGATGTGCGGATAATTTAGGAAAAAGTAAAGATTTTCACAACAGGTACCATAATCTTCTATTATCACAACTGAATTTCTCTTCATCGTTGAGGCTCCAGTTAACTCAAGAAATTGATTGTTAGTGGGTTACTATATTGACAAATACAATGAACCAATTTTTTTGGACACTTATCGTCTAAGGTCAGAAAAAGGAATAATTACTTCAAAAAATGAACTCTCATTTGATTTTTGATGCAAACAGAACGAAAAATGAGGGAATCCCTGGGGAACACGTGAGAAGACAGTGTGTGAGAGCCGTGGCCAGAAGACTCGGCGCCGATAGCCAACGAAGAGGCGGTCGGTAGAGCGAGGGGAGTCCCCCGCGACAACGACGCCTCACGTATTTCGTTGACAACCTCGTGTCCTCCTCTATTCAATCTTTATCTATCTACCGTAATGCAACACAAGGGCTGTGAACATCGCCGTAGAACACACAAACAGCAGAGGCGAGGGCTGATTTCTCATTTAGAAATGTCGAGAAAGATCACACATTGTAAATAACTTTGAAATGGTGAGAAGAGAAAAGATGGTTTTTGAGAACTTGTGTGATCACTGTGAATAGAAGAAGTAGTAGAAGATTCACCAAGCATAGATTAACGGAATATGATCATAGTTTTGATATGAAGCTGTTTGCAGTATTTTTCATAAAACAAAAACTTCCTAAACACCGAAAAATTGGGAAAAAAAAAGGTAAATTAGTACCTTCCTTCTTGTGAAAGCTCGCCGGAGTTGCTTTTGCACGTCCTTTCATCTTGCGCAGTTAAAGAAACCTGAAATTTCCTATCAGCTTCATGAAAGATGATAAATAATTAAAAAACGACGCCTACTTTTAATTTTGAAAGTTTTTCTTTCTCACATTACTCCTCAAAAAGAAAAAAAGTATTCTAAATCAAACATGGGTTCACTGAAATACACTGTTTTATCGTCTCTCTGTTTATGTCAAAAAAATCTCTCTTCACAATGACAAAAATAGCTATGATCGTGAGATTCGAAGATATCACGTTGCATCCAAAGTTAAACTATAGGAGAGAAATGGTCTTTGGTCTCTTGCGCTGACCGCTCGGCCCTCGGAACAGAACGAACGCATCTTTTGTTGTGCCCTCCGACCATTCATCAATAATGCTCGGCAGAGCACAACCTTCTGGCATTGCAACCAATCAGAAACCCTCAATCAATAGGATGTGTGTAGTTTGAACTGATGCTCTATTCAAAATCTCCATTTTTCCGAGCGCCTTTCTCATTTTTCTACATCCAACGGTTTTTATTATAATCTTAAGAAACATTTATGACGGTAAATGAACCATCGGAGGATTTGATGGATTCAAACAAAAAAAAGATCATGTTTTGAAAATACCGATATCTTCGCTTTGATAAAATAATCAAACAAAAAAAAAATCTAATTCATATTAAGTACTTCTGAAGATTTCAAGGTGCAAAAATCTTTATCTAAACCCCATATGCATCCATGTATGAACAAGTGTGATTTTTAAAAGTAACGTTTCGGATAACATAAAAGACATGTAGAAGTGAGAACTTGCTCAGACGGAATATATGTCAAGAGGTGATGAAACGGCGCAAAATGTCAGGAGATGACGAAATCAAGGAGAGAAGGTGTACGGTTGATTTACATATTCGCAGGACTAATTACTAGCTAGATAACAATAAAACCTTAAAATTAGCCAGGCATAGATTCCTGCACGATATCTTAAATTAGAACAGAAAAAAACGGAAAATTAAATACTTGTGTCTTAGAGCGTTTTATAAATTATAATGCAATCACTACATTTTATTTCTGTTACTTATAAAAAGTACAACATTGCTTCTCATGAGAGCTTTTTCCTTTAGGAACATAGAGAGAGTGATTATATAAAGTTTGTACGTGTTGATGTCGCTTTCAAAGCTAATTTGCCGAGCCCGGCGAATTAGCTTTTGCGAATCAGACTCCAGATTTCTCCTGAGGACTGCTACTGCTACTTATCTTGAACTAAGTATTCTATCTTATTCGCCGCAGTTTCTAAAACTTTTCGACTTCGTTCTTAAGCTTCAAAGCTTTGAACGCGAAATGGAAAAAAAATTACGACAACGGCGTGTTCACTGGAGAAACGGAACATGTTTCAAAACGCGAAAGCCTGCTCATCGGCGCGCCAAAGTCGCTCCGAAACAGTACTAATTTTTTTTCGGAGCATTTTTCTTGCGTTTCGGAACTCTTTTCGTTTTGTACGATGAACACGCCACAGAAAATTCCAGGGCAAAATGCAGAAATTTTGAAAACGCGATTTCAACCGGACTCCAGTAATAGAAAGACGAGATCAAGTACGCTCCAGCGATAATTTTCGAGGCCCGCCAAGTCAAAAAATTTAAAAAAAATTACACGCTTTTTATTTCATTTTTTGTTTTATAAATATTTCTGAATTTAATTCGTCGTATTGTGCTATATCATTGTTGGATTAGATTTGTACACAGAAGAAAGATGCCAGAATTGGAAAATTCAGCTATTTTGCCGCCGCCAAAACCCCCACGAGGTGTTCTTCGTAAAATAGCTCCAATGAAGCCTCTACGCCAACCTTTGCGGGTTGAGCCTCTCATGACAAGTTTGTTTAAAATCCGTAAAAATGGATTAAGTTTTTTTCAGTTGACGATAACACTGCTAAACAGTTCTCCGCTACGGCACTTTATGAGAACATGAAATCGAACTTTAAAGACAATGTGACAATGAAAAGGTATGCCACAATGGGTCTTTAAAAAAAGTTATTTTTTATCAGGAGTGGCGGAGAGTTTACTGGTGTAGAAGCCGCGGACGTTCTAGAGGGCTTCATTACCAAAAATAGGCATTTGTTTAAAGCTGAGAACATTACTCGAATAAATGCAATCAAGGTTCCGAAAGCATCGTAATAGAAAGAAAAGCACAAATAAGATTCAGTTGCTGAACACTTGGCTCCACGAAAACGTTTTCCGGCAGCTGAATCAGCACGGATCAAAGGAATTCCAAGATTCTGAACGCGTTTTCTACGCACTTTGCCACGAAAAAGACTATAAGTTAGTGTAACAAAACAAAATTCAGTAATTCGTGAGAAGTACAATTAAATCGAATCAGTTAAACGAAAAAGTTGAAATCATAATTATTTATGGTGGGGAAATATATTCATCAGCTTCGTTCTAAGAAAATTCATAGCTTTTCTTAGAGTAAATGCGAATAATTACTTCGGACTTTGCATAATTCACAAAAATTCCAGAACAGGACAAATAATTGATCTATGTAGATCAGGCTAGGAAAAATGTTTTTTGATCTAAAGAATTCAAACATTTTTGGCTTTCAATGTTCTCCGTTTTTTCATTCCTTCTTTTTCTTCCCATTCCGGATAACTAGAAATAATCAGGAAACAGTAAAAATATTTTTACGTTGAGAAAAGGTTCGCAATTTTCGCTCTGTGTACTTTATCAAGAGAATTAGGGAAAAAAAGACTAGCCTATTCCGCCCCAGTTTGTCCCGTTTTTTTTATCTGCCAAATAGACGGTATTGTATCAAATTTGACCTCACTTTGTTTCAATACGTTCTTTCTATTTTTCGTAGAGAAAAAAGGCGAAAAAAACTTTTCTACTTTTCTACTTTCCTAACACACTCCTTTTTTCAGTGAAAATTTTTAAACTTTTTTTTCTTCATCTTATTTTCGGTAAAATAATGTTTAAAGGCTGTTCATCGCGCCTGCCTTTTCCTCGCCAACGCCTACGTTGGGGAGCGAAGATACGGCGAGCAACACCTCCTCGGCGCTTCGTCCTTCCAGAAGCAGCAGCTTTAAAAGGCTTTTTTCTCCAATGGGTTCGACAAATTCCACCACCTGGAAAAGCAATTTTGAAATTTTTAAGGGTTGGTCAGGAGGAATCGTTCAGCCTCTAGAGGAAGGGACAGTAATACGACACTTTTCAAATCGACGATGAGCCTTTTCGGAGGAGATCGGAGTGAGAAAAAGGCGGCTCGTGAATTGGAGAATCGGATTAAAGAAGGTCATCTCAACTTTTTCTTTGTCTTCTTTGACTTTCCTTTCAAAAACTGTCATTTATCGAGAAAAAAATTATTCCTGTTCAAAAGTATCACAGAGAATCAATATTATAAGAAAATAAATTATATTAGATATTCCAACCATTTTATTTTAGAAGAAGCTGAAATTTATGAAAGCGCCTTGTCTTGTCTGCTCAGTCTTGTCGAAATCCAGTTCCTCGAGGAAATCGCGATTCCTCTTGATTTTGATGCCAAGGTTTTTTTTCGCTTCGAAATACATTGAAGCTTCAAAATTGTTCAGAAAAATGCCTCGTTTCTCAGCTCCATCCTTGAGAAAATGGGTCTTGGCGGAGAAGAAAGGCCGGATTCGCGACTAGAAGACGAGATGGACCTTCTGATAGAAACCCATCCTCTCATTCGGTTCGTTCCGGAGTTATTTATTCTAACAAGATGATTTGTTTGCAGACCAGCGAGCCAATGGTTCCAAATGGCCAGATCTTGCGCTCCAATGCTACATTTGGAGAAGACTTCGGGCAAAAGCAGCGGGATGCAGATGTACATTTGGTGCAAATCTGCCCTCGAAGCGGTTCGTTTTGGCAAAAAAATTTTTTTTGGAAATTCGTGCATAATTTTCTTCTTCTTCCAATTTTCATTCCTAACGCTTCTGATTGCTATGTAATCAACTTAGAACTTCTGAATTTAAAAAAAATAGAGAAATTTTTACAAGCCATATTTATTCAATACGAATAATAATACAGTTCAAGGGCCGAAAAAGACCTCTAACAGAACCAATTTTTCAAAAAAAGGGAAATTTAAACATTGAAAACAGCAACAAACCGTTTAAAAAGTTAGAAGATATTTTAAGAAAGTCAGCGAGAAGATGGGTTTTGTTTTTCTAAATAGATTTTTGAATCGCATAGAATCATTAAATAGATCAAATACAACATCGGGAAGGGAGTTCCAAACATTAATTATTTTTAATACTAAAAAACGAGGCAACGATGTTACTATTATGTCTTATATTTGAACGTAAATAATAACGATGGCGACGCAGCGCTAATATTCCTTTGAACCTTCTCAAAAACTTTTGAATTGAATCGAATTAGGAAGAAAAAAAAAACAAAAATAAATTTAAGTTTAATTCAATGAAGAGTTCGGGTTTAAGCACAATTTTTTTAGATTTCGTAATTTTTATTTCATTCAACTTTAGATCTTGTTTATAGAATTTAGGGATAGTTCCATACATTCGATTTTTTTGAGGTTGAAAATGCAGAAAAAAGTTCTGTGTCGGCAAAAAATGTGAACTTGCTGAAAAGTTCTTTCAGGTCTCTGCAAGACTCGAGAAAATGACGCAACGGGGCGAAAATCCTCTGGTGCCACGGGAGTTCGACCGGCTGTTGACCGCCATGGCGGAAAGCCTCTTCGACCGCGGCAGCTCCGAACAGAAACTCGAGATGTCGTTGCAGTTGGGGCGCACTTGTGTTTGAAGTCTAGCCGGAGTCTGCAGGTATCTGTGGCTGATGATTCCGACGCCGCTGAGATCCATGCTCGACCTGATCCTCCAATGGCTCGAGTGGACCCAGAAGACGGCCGCCGTTGTCGACCTCCGCAGTCCTTACTACCTCGGACCCGATGTTGGTTTTTCCGTAGCTCAAAGTGTTTTAGGAGGGAATTCTGAGAAGAGTTTGAAGTAGTTTTGTAAAAAATGTGTGGTGGAAAAGCCAGGAATAGGTAAAATACTAGGATTGCTAGAATTATTTTAGTTAGAGCTCCAGAAAGTCGTCAATTTTTTTTTCGGTTCGATAAGAACTTTTCTATCCATTAAAAGTGTTGTTATTTTTCAATCAAGTGAATTTAATCTGTTTGAGTTTTTGTATTGAAATGCTTCTTCTCATAGAGTTCAGAACAATAAGCGACTTGCAAGCTTTAGTGACAGAGTTTCCGTTAATTTGCTTCGTCTAGGTTACAGGTGCCATTTAAAAACTTTACGAATAAAAAAATCTTTTTTTTTTCTAGTGTGGCTCGTCGAAAAACAACTGCGCTGTGATAATCGACGAATTGCGGCCATATTTGTTCCCACGAGGATGTCTTACCAACAACCAGCAGGACGCCTTTATAAATGTAACGTTCGATGATTTTTCTCTCATTTTAACTCCTTTTCAAGACCCTTCTCGAGATTCGATCGAAAGGATTGCTTGGCACGCATCCGGCGCCTCTAGCCAACGCCTTGAAGTTTTTTATTCCGAATAAAAATTCATTGAAACTTCAAATTCAGGCGTAAGGCTGTGATGGACCAGGAAAACGTTTTTCCAGCCAGAAATTCCCCGCCGAAGGCTCCGCCCACGAATATGGAGCAAGAGTTGGTCAACGTCATGAAGGTCTTTAGAGTTTTTTCTCGTTTCTCACTAGAAATATCCGTTCTCGCATGTAGAATGGCTTAAAGCGGTTTGATTTGAACGAACCCCTCTTTTTAATGTTGGGCTGGCCTCAAAGTACCTGCGCGCGCAAACCGTTTTTTGGTCGGCTGATTTTGATTCCACCGCATCACAATCATCGATTTTCATAGTCGTCTTAAATTCACTAGATAAATATTAAGCTCCAGGAAAAAAATACTCCCCAAAAGACCTTGATTTTTTGCACTTGAACAAGTTATCTCAGTTTCCATATCATTTCTAAATGTTAATGCAATTTAATATTTTTCAAACAAGTCCAAATAATGAGCCTTTTTTGCAGCTGATCATCGACAACACGCAGATGTCCTTGTCGGAAAAGAAGAAACGACTCCGAGATTTCGCCAAATTTTACCCCGAAATTTACGAAAAGCATTTCAAGGACCTTCGCTGGTAGCATTAACTCTAAACTTTTCTAGGATATCAAATGAGCGCATTTAATCAATTTTTATCTGTAAATTACCCCAGTTGCCATTCACTTGAACAGGGCTCAGAATCGCCTAAATAATCGTCGATCTCATCGTTTTTTTGTTGTAATATTCCTCACCTGCCTATATATTGCAATTGTTATTTGTGATATGAATTATCACACTCTGTAAATCTTTTTCTGCCAAATGAATTTTATTTTTTTATGAGCCTTGTTCGAAATTTGCAGTTCATTATCTTCTTATTTATAAAGGCTATCAATTCAGGAGATTTGTTAGTGATAAACTGCTGGTAGGAAATCAGATAATGATTTGAAAAGTGAGGTTTAAAAGAAGTTAGAACAATACTTTTTCCGGGTTTTTTAACGACCCCACAAAAACCTTGAAGCTAAATTTCGAAATATTACTATATTTTTCTTCAAAATATTACTATATTTTTCTTCAAAATATTACTATATTTTTCTTCAAAATGTTTTTTCATAATTGAATTTTTCAAAATACCCATCAAAATTGACTTCACGTAGGTGTATTTTTTCTAATATCTCGTGTACTATTTGCACTTCTCTTTCATGAAAGTTCAGAATGAAATTTTTCGTCTGACTGGTTCTATAGTATCATTCGATTGAAAAAAAAATTGCAAATCAGAGAAAAGTTGAATTCATTCAAATCAGGTTAGCTTTTGTCATGTTCAAAGCGATCACGAAATCCAAAATAGCTGTCAGAGAGTGAAGTTATAACTGACTTATTGAAAGGTTTGTTTCAGGATTTCGCGAAAATTGTTTTGAACATGGCATTTATCGAGCGGACAATCAACTCTTCGACAGAGATGGCGGTTACCCTGGACCACGGCTTTCAGGTAGATTTGTCAGCTTTTTTCAGTTGAAGTGAACTTTTTCTATGAAATAGAACTTCCATTAATTTGAGCCGATCTTGATAAAATTACATGTTTGAAGTATGGAAAATTAGTTCAGAAAAACCTTTTGCATCGATCGATTATAATAATTAATAGTTCGAAGCGATATTTCATTTCCCTCGGGGAATGGTGGTCGAAAAGAAGCTTCAGCGATTGTTTGGATCTCGTTTCTATACATAAGTTATCTTTGCGACGCATCTATTATGAAGGGGAATTTATGAGGAGCCCAGGTGAGACAAACTATGCGAAAGCCAAGGGAAATCGAGAATGATCTGAGATCCGATCGGAAATATTCCATTTCAACGCTCCTCTCACCGACCCCTTTCCCTCTTTTCCATTTCTTTCTTCAAAAATCATAAATCGTCAGATATTTCTGGCAAGAGATATGTAGAATAATCTTCCATTTTGGAGGTCAAATACGTCATTAAGAAAAATAAACCAACGATAAAAAATTTAGATTTCCGGAAAGAACTTTTTTTCCGCCACTAAGGGAATTTTCCGAAAATTGGTTAGGTCACTCCTAGATGGTCCAGAGGGAAATCTTGAGCGTCTCAAACACGATACAACTTTTTAGTTCTCGATAAAGGACACCTTAAAGTAAAGGAAACACTGAAAATCCGTTAAAATAGGCCAGTTTTTGACTTTGAGCCCCTCGAAAACTAGAAAGTTGTGCAGCTTGAAACTTTATGGATCTTCTTCTGGTACATCAAGTAGTTTTCTGAGTAATCTTACATTCTCGAAGTAGAATGACCCTACTTGTAAGCTTCTAGAATTTTTTCAACCAGCCTTTTTTGTCTTAAAAATGTATTCCTCTCTCGTGTATAAAATTGCATGATTTAAGCTCCTCCTGGTGAAAAAAATAATAATAAATATTCAGATTGATCATATTACGTCTCAATTATCTGAAAAAAGGCTTAAACGAAGCTATCAAAGCGATTTTTGGTTGGAAAACCGTTGGATCCAAAACGAACGCGGCTAAAATGAAAATTGCTCCGGACGGCCGCGACTTTATGGCTTTATTGGCCGATTTACGGTCTCGCGCCGCTTTTTTTTTATTTGTTCACAAGAAAGGAATCTTTAATGATGATTGAAGGAATTCGGGGTCTGTTGGAGTTAGACGAGGCTAAACTGTTCGGATGAAGAAGTGGAGAGAAGCTTCTCTTCTCCTCTAGTTTCCGGGTTTTTCTTAGCTGTTGCCGGTTTTTTTTTTTCGATTTCAATGGATTTTTGGCCAACTGATTTTCCACCTGCTGGGAATCTTTCTTCTCACTTGCCAAAGTCCTAGAAACTTTGACGACAAGAGCCAGTTTTTTCGGCTAATCCCCCTGGTTTTTCGTGGCCGCTACTCTTTACACCGACTTTTTTTATGCTTTTTAAATTTCAGAAATCATTCAAGTAAATGTTTTTTCTTTGTGATTTATAGTTACAAAGCTGGTTTGAGAGTCTGAAATTAGTAAAGAAGTACTAAATGCGATTCAAAAAGAGGTTTATTTGATTTTTTTAAAGATTTCGGTTCATGTTTGGTTTGTAATAAAGCTTTCACTGAATCCACAAAGAATCTTTGGTTCTTCATAACCGAGATGGCCGTCTGAGATTACGGTAGGATCCCAGCTCCTCCTCCCCCTTCCTCCGGATCGGCTTCGCTTTCCTTTTCTTCTCCTTTTCACTTGTTGACATTTTTTAATCTTTGTTCGTTGAAATTTTTCCCTCATTTCGAACTAATTTTTGAACAGCTTTAGGAAATTTCATCCATAAACGAGTCAAATTTTTCTATAGAAGAAAAAATATCTTCCTGAAGCTTTTTTTTAAAATTTTTTTAAATTTAAAGGTTTCAAATTCACTTGCTGTATCTACTTCTCTCACCGGAAGCTCTCTTTTTCACGTTCTCAGGTTGAAGCGTGAAATTTTCCGTTTTCCTATTCACAGCCAACTTTTTTTTCGGTTTGATGATCCATCGGATGCGGTGTGAAAGGTGATATTTGAACCGACAGGTCATTCCCAGGCTCGCTTTTTTGCCTCCCCATCTGATTGCGCTTGAATTAGGCTATCCACTGACACGAGAAGATTCCTCACCTTTTCACAATCTTTTCTGAATTCCTTTTTTCTTGAGTCAGGTTCCGATTCAGTTGAATTTCATCAAAAATGTGCGTTTTTCTCGTTGAAAAGCTTTGCTGCCTTTACTACGGCTGATCGTTCTCCCATCTCATTTTTTGCCTTTCGAAAGGCGCAACTTTGAGACAAGCCAATCGTACCCCGACTTCTTTTTCGGCATCCCATTATTCGAGATTGGCGCAGCGACTTGATTCTGCCTCGCAATACTTTTGCATCTTCACTTTGGGCCAATATTAAGTGAAACCAATGAAACTGTTTTTTCTCCTTATAATGATAAGAGATCAAGTTGATTGGATCAGTTTGACGTAGGGACCGCAGACGAATTTTCAAAAAATTTTTTTCAGCATCGAGCTTTGTATGGTTTGATAGCTGTTTCGATTCAAAACTCAGAACCGTTTAGTTTTTTTCGAAAAAGATTGAGGATGAAAAAGTTATGACGAAAAATGTGGCGCGCCGCGCACCATTTTTTTAGTACTGAAATTTTAGTATTATTCATTTTTTTGACATTTTTTTCTCGATTTTTTTCTTCTAGAAAAAAAGTTTTGATACTGGTCTATTATGATGTAACAAATCATAATAGAGTGCTAAAAATGATGCTAATCAGCTATTTTTGCCGAAAAAAAGTCGGTATTTTGCAGAAAACAAAAAAACTGATGCTTGCGGGTATCGAACTCGCGACCTAAAAATGAAAAAAATCGCAGCGCACGCACTGCGCCAAGCTGTCAGGTCTAGCGCGGGAGCTTCCATCCGCCTTACCCTTGAGCCGTTTAAATAGCACAGATTGTCTATTTCAAAAAGAAAAAAACTTGAAGTAATTTAGCTATTTTTTTATCAGAATATGTTCGCAAAATCTTTACTCAAACGTTTCGTGGAAATTCACTTCGAAAAAAACTGTTTTTTTCAGTGCTTTTTTTGCCTCTTTTTAACGATCGCTGCCTTAAAAACGGCCCCGTAAATTTTTTTGGCAAAGACGAATTTTTTTATTTTATTCTTTTTAATTGAAAGATTTTTTTACTAATAAATGTATATAATCGTTTGAAAAAAACCTGCGTTCGACCGCTTTCGGTGTGATAAACGCCGCTAATTTTATTCTCTAGTTTCAAGAGCATTTTTTTGCGTATCACAAAACTTTTTTTCAAGTACATATGCTGTGGAGAAAAAAATTTAAGTAAGCCCATGGTCTAAATTTTTGAAAAAAACAAAAAAACTCGATTATATTCGCTTGTTAACGATATTTTGAATTATGACTTTCGGCACTCCCTAAAAATTTTTTTGGCAAAGACGAATTTTTTTATTTTTATTGTTTCAAAATTACCGTTACTTGAATCAAAAATCATTATATAAAAAAAGAAAGAGTGCGTTCGACCTGAAAAACACATGAAAAAAAGCAAAAAAATTACAAAAATTTTTTTAGTTCCATTCACGTTTTTTTGTACGACATTCCGCGAGAACGCATCAAGAAAGCGTGAAATATTTTTTAAACGAAAGAGGAAGCTTTTCTGTACATGTGTGTCAAATTTTATTCGCCAGTTCCACATATTTTACAACTACAACAAAATGAAAGTTGAAAACCAAAAAAAAGCCACTTTTTCTATCGCGAAAAGGGGCGTGGCTTTGCGGTCCCTAGTTTGACGGCTTGATCTGACGAAAAATTGAAGAAAACCTTCCTGGTAGATGATTGAAGTCAAGATTATTTTTGAAATTCTGACAAAATCTTCGAAAGTTCGTTGAATTCTTTTCGGCATTTCTGAAATCTTTTTTTCTAACCCCGTAAAATGATGAGTTTTTTTTGTGAAGATCTTGAAAAACTGGATAGTGACGACGATTTTGTTCAGGAAGCTATTTATTTGGGAAAATACTTATTTTTCATGAAAGGAAATTTTTTTAACTTTACTTCTCCTCTTACCCTTGACAAGAAAATGACACACTGTTCAAATAAAAAAATTT